CATATTTGACCAAATTATGCAGGTCTAAAGTGAATTTGAAACTAAAGTAAAGGTAAATGTGATGGTGATCTTTGGTAGATGTTGATGCAGTGTACTCACTACTCACTAGACTAGATCTAGTCACTATATATAGTGGCAGTGGTATATTTCTACAGCAACAGATACAGAACCCATCTCTGAAATCATGCCAGGTTTGCCACATCACATTAATTTAAGTTCTAAACATATACTGTAGCCCACAGATTAGTAGCAAATAAATTGGGTCTGTTGTTATTACGATAACCCCAGAATCTAATTTAATGGGTCCCGTTCATTGAGCGAAACATTTTTAAATTGTTTGCATGCACGTGCTTTGTACACTAACACAACCCGCTATATGTGGGACTGGGTTTACGAAAGAGGAAATAATCATAGGGTAATCACCAATTTAGTAGAGGTTTATTTACAATTTTATAGATAACTCAATCACGACGTGCATACATTTTCATTGAATCGAGAACAAAATAAACCTCAACTCACCAGTTCCACGCAGACTCGAAGTTTAAGCATCAGATTTCGGTGAATCCTATTCTGCTAGCAGACTAGTTATAGCTAGGCGTGCCGGTTCGTAAAATCAACAAATTCCCTTTTCGCGCGTTAACTCGAGCTTTACGAACTGGCATACAAAGCGCACATATTTTATAAAATCGAATAACTTTTTAATTAAAGCGTTTTATGACCTAAAATTTTGCAGAAAGGTTGATCATGGTAATATCATTCAGAATATGTAAAAATATTAAAATCGAAAATTGACACGAAAAACGCTTCGTATGCCGGTTCGTAAAATCAGCGACGATATGTATGTACCCTCCCCCCCCCCCCCCTCTCCCACGAAAATATATCTACATGCTGGCATTGCTGGGGGTCATAATATATCCACTGCAGGGCTAAAAAAAAAAGATTATTAATTCCAGGATGTGCAACATAACATCATTTTTTTTTTTTTATATGGGAACCATTTTTGTTGTGGATACTCTGTGGATACACTGTCGCTCATATAAATTTTCAATAATTCATTGCTTTTTAAATAATAATAATAATAATAATATTCATTTGTAAAGCGCAATAACTATGTGGATATATTCTATTGCGCTGCAAGAGCTTGTAAATGCTGTGCTATACATACTATATGAACAAGTGAGTTTTCAGTTTTGATTTAAAATTATCTAGTGATGGGGCTTTCCTTATTTCTAGTGGTAATTTATTCCATAATCTAGGGGCAGCACAGAGAAATGACCGGTCCCCGCGGGTTACTTTGGTTTTATATGGGGGTATTTGCAACATTAATGTGTCTTGTGTACTACGAAGGTTACGACCATGAGTTTGAGACTTGATATGCAACAATTCAGTAACGTAACTAGGAGTTTGACCATTTAGAGCTTTGTAGACTGGTCCCCAACATAAACAAAAAATCCAACCATGCATTATGGCTCAAGGCATGGGCACACAAAAGATTTTTTTTTTTTTATGTCGGGGACCGGGGGGGGGGGGGGGGGGGATTCAATGAATTATTGAAATTTTATTGCATTTTCTTTGTTTTTATTTTATTTGCGGAAACTGCCCCCTACCCTAGCCCCCGCTGCGTACAGTCATGGTTCAGTGGCAAAGCAATGGTCTCGTAACTGTGAGGCCCCATGATCAAAACCGTGTCGATGTGCCATATAGTGCCCTTTTGTGGGGCATTAATCCTCATTTATGACTTATAAACTCTCTTTAAAAAAAAAGTGAATTTTCACTCTATTTTCACTTTCTTGGGAGTGACGTCCGTGATCACTTGTTTAGGAGTGAAAATCGATTGATTTTAGAGTGCTCTCTAAGAAGAAAAGAATGTTCACTCTATTTTCACTACATTTTCACTCTCCAGAGGAGTGACGTCCGTGATCACTCGATTTATTTTTAGAGAGTAATTAGGGCGTAGGTCCTCTAGTTAATAAGATAGTAGCATACACATGCTTTAGCAGTCACGCAAAACAAACACTGGCAAATTATTATTCAATAAAATCTGAGAATGTATCCTATTATCTAGATCTATTAGGAATAAATCATTGTCAAAATAATTCCATAAATTGGGGTAAAAAAAGAAATATTCCAACTATATAAGCGACAGTGTATATTAACGTGTCCTCTGTCAGTGCCTATATAATATTTATTGAGTGTTGTTTTTCCAGAATTTATGTTGTAACTTGATTACTATACGACTCAGATTTACATAGAAATACACGGATTTGATATCCAGACAGACGATTTCAAACACTAATTTGAAGAAGTTTCCAAGCAAAATTTCATAATTATTTTAAGGTTTATATCGGATAATGTTATAACGGAGTAACAGACACATAATTCATAGTGGTTAGTGCTATATGATTAATATTTTTCATTAAACCCAAAGGTAAAAGAGAGGGTTTCACTTTTTAAGTGTCTGGACAAACACAGCCCTCGTCATAGTCAAGTTGGTAAACTTGGACAGGATGAATGATTTGATCATTATTTTTATGCCATTCGAAATTACGCCATCTAGTGGCGGGATGGAACGATGAAATCGGCAATCTACTTTTTGTCTTTTCTTCTGAATTGTTGTTATTATTATTATTTCACATCAATGGGCAATACAGTACTAAGAATAATTATGTAATAATTAAATATTCCAAGTAAATATTCCTGGTGATTTGGGCCTGGTCAACGGTCACGAGAGGGAGGGGGGGGGGGGGTGCATTAGCCGTGGGGCGTGGCTATGGTTGTGGGGACTTGCCGCCTACTAGTACCTGAATACCCCCCCCCCCCCTCTCCTCCATCGAATGGTGAAGGGGAAAAAAGGGAATCCCAACAAAAAGAGAGGAGAGAGAAAGAGAGAAGGAAGTGAGATCGAGGTAGAAAGAAAAAGGAGAGGAGGGGAAATGAGAGAGAGAGAGAGAGAGAGAGAGAGAATGTGATCATTTCCATTCACGTTACAAATATATTAGTATAAACATGTGCATTTTCTAAAGTCATTTAAAATAAGCGCCCCCCCCCCCCCCCCCCTGCTCATCGATCGACGTGCGACACTGTACAGTTAATTGCTTAGGGCTATGAGTTGCATTTGGGTTTCACTCACGGTTAGGTTTGAGTTAGGGTTAGGGGTCTGGGTATATTGGATCAAGGGCATATCCAGGATTTTTTTTAAGGCGGTGAATAAAAGAGGGGGAGGGGATGAACTCTCCTTTTCCCCCTCAATATCCGACCCCCCCCCCCCACCTTTGAGCAACCAACCAAAATTGTTTTACTCTTTTCTTTTTTTGCCAGGGGGGGGGGGGGCTATAGATAAAACACAGATAAATAGTGTCTTTAAAATTCTAAAACACCCCCTATTTGCCAAATGGGAGGGGGGGGGGGTTTGAACACCCAAAACATCCCGTCCGGCCCCCCTGGATACGCCAATGACCAATGGAGGGATCTGCATGTTAGTGTAATATATTGACGCAGCCAAGCCAAGTGTCGTACTACCAAATTCGGGTGACTCCTCCTTCGTACAACTTAGATCCGACTGGCTTTCTGACAAGCTTTCAATTCGGAGTCGGGATCTAGAAAAATACCCCTAAACGCGTACAACAGGATTGTTAAAAATTACCCTAATTCTTGAAAATTGACGCTTTTTAAAACCCAGGTACTGTCCCTTTTGCAGCCAAGGCATCGAATACTGTAGAACTCTGCAGGAATTATTATGTCTATCTGTGAAATTTAAATATTAGCAGTGTCCTAATATTCAATGTATGCAGGAAACTCGTTTACCTTCTAAAGATCACTGTTAGACACTATAGTGACTGACTGCATGACTGACATTTTTCTTCTTTGGTAATGACATAAAATGAGCTGTAACAGGTACATGAGCAATTGTCTATACATCAACAAACCACTACTTGTAATGGCCATAATTAAACTGATTGAATCTTTCTCAGCACAAAACGTACGACCATTCGTTACAAGGGTCTGAAAATCAGAATATTACTTAGGTGATTGCAATCATTTAAGTCGCTTCAACAACTAGTGGTCGTTATTTTCCCACTAAAAGCCATTTTCAAGCCCTTTCGTTTTGAGGGAAGTTTTAAATTAATATTGTCCTTCAAATGCCGTTGGAATTTAACTTTTCTGTTTAAAGGTTAGGTTTGGGTTTAGGGATATATCAGTTGGACCGAGGGTAGAAACTGTAAGTGTATTGACGCAGCCAAGTGTCGTAGGCCTACTAACAAACTCTGATGACTCCTCCTAGTACAACTTTGTTTACTTTGGTTTGATGCCTCGATCTACATCTACACAACTTGATTGACAAATCTTTTGATTTTCATACGTCTCGCGATCCGCGGACTGCCCTTTTTCTCGACCTGGCTATGTTATCACATCATTCGATTTTTAGCTGGAAATAACTAGGGCATACTACATGAATAGCCATCATTCTGTGTTAAATCATAGACGTAATAGAATACAGGCGCAGGCGTTTATTGATTGAGACCAAAAAAGTGACCTATTTTATCTCCTCTGTTTTCTTTTTGTTCAACTTGTCAATAAAGGACATGTGCACAAAAAGTAGGGTAAGGTCAACCAGAGTGGTGTGAGAACACCCTTATGAATTATGCATAAGGGAGTGTGGGGGGCGTGATTGTTTTCATAGTCTATATATAGACACCGTCTTTGTAATATCATGGATCCTATGGTTCATGTTCACTTATCATATGATAAAAATAGTACAAAAATCACATTTGATACGTAAGAATAAATTGAGAGTTGCATATTAATGTTTATCTAAGATTAAATATAGTTAAATTGCTATTTTAGCTTTAAAAATATAATATTCATTCGTGTTTAATAAAAATAGCGCTTGGAGTACAGACTAGGTATACTCAGTCAGCCGACCGATTCGGGCTTCTAATTGGTTATCCATTTTGCATAAATTACTATAATAATAATAATGATCGCGCGATCGTACCACAACAGCTGAGCTGATATCTCTGAGAGCGGCGCGGGCGAGCACAAGTGACCTTTCGTAGCATACGATCACGTTAACAATTTTTATACGAGATTTGGAGGCCAAACATACGAAATATTTCATTGCAAACTCATCTGATTTCGACGAACGACGTGTCAGCCTCTGTTCGAGCACTAGGTGAGTGTATTTTTTAATTCATACAATTTGGAACCAAGTTTAATTTGCAGTTTCTTATCAAAACTAATGACAAATGTGTCTGAAAACTGATGAATTGAATGTTGTTGATGTTAGCTGCGAATACGTGCATGGTTATGATTCAAGCGAAATGTGCTCCACCATCAAGTGCATCTGTGTTGTCAGACTTAGAATCTAGACGAGCATGATCATGATGATGAATATGAGATAAATTGTCTCAATTTCGGTTAGATCAAGATTCAAGTTAGATTTTAGCATCTACTGTTAGATCATCATAATTTGGTACGTGATTTGTTATTAATTTGAATAAAGGATTCAACACAAAGTAAATTCTCAAAAGACTCCAGACCAAAGGCAAAGCTGACAGTAAAGATTCTCCCGAATATCAGTGGACTGAGAGTGAATATGTAAATCTTATCATGTTCATGGATGGATGATGTTGAATGTTAATTGACAATAACACATGACAGGTTATAGATCTAGGTCTTGATCTAGACCTATATCATGTTTTCATAGGCTGCCTTGGCCTTGCATTTTAAAGTCTAAAAAAAGGGTTTAAAAAAAGAGGAGAAGAAAGGGAAAGAGAGAGTGAGAAAAAACATAAGAAAGGCCAAAGACCAGCAGATGGATAAGACGATGAATAAAACACTGTCAATAATTATTAGGCTAGAGCCTAGTAGAGGGTTTCAACATCAATGACAAGACCAGACCCTTCATTGGACGAGGCTTGTGTAGCTTTAGTGAATGGAGAAGGAGGAGGCGTGATAGCTCAGTTGGTAGAGCAGCGGTGACCCGGGTTCAAAACCAAGTTGATGCGCTAGTGCCCTTTGGTAAGCCATTAATCATCATTACCAGGTCCCTCAGAGAGGACCTAAATTAAGCCGTCAGCCGTCTGGTTGCTTACTAATAACAAGCATTTATGCTTTCTTAGCAGCCAGGTAAAATAACCACCGCCACTTAAACTAAAGAAGAAGAAGTCCAATGGCAATGACTTCACATATAGCCATCTGGAAAATATCCTTTATTGACCTTTTTCTTTTGCAATTTCCTCTTTATTTAACTGCTGAATATGTAAATAAATTTCCCACAGCACTGATGATAACACTCCAGCCCTTGAAAACGAAAGTGCGTAGAGTACGTTTCCCCTGTCCTATATCCAAGTTTTCAAATTGGATGGATGAAGATTAGAAGCATTGAACCATAACACACCAAAAGGCCCATTTACAGTAACAAAGCTCAAACAACACCATTTTGAAAAGTCATCAATTTTTTTTACTGTTATGTACACCACTGGTACTAGAGAAACCCATTTAAACTTTGTTTCTTTATTTCATTTTTTTTGCGCTGTTCTGCATGTGATCGCACAGAAGCGAAGAGTGTCACGTGACAAGAAATGGAATCGTCCGTAGCTTAGAGAGTGTGCAGCATTTAAACTGAAAAAAAAATCAGTGAAATTTTGGCAGGCGTTTAAAAAAAAAGACACAATCCAGAGGTGGGTTTTTCAATCTTGTTTTTTCGTCGTGTTTGCCGGTAGTTGCTATCTACCGACATTTGAGGACTTTTGCTTGCATTGCAGGTAAATGCAGCTACTGACATTTTATGATTTTTTGCTTGCAAACAACAAATGCAGCTTATGTTGTATTCTGGTCTCCCATTTGTTGTGCTCTAAATGGAAAGGGCCAAAATCTCAAACCCTTCAAACCCAAATTTAGATGTTCATTCTGTTAATTGATTATCAAATTTAGCAAGGTAATAAAAATTAAAAAATCCTGTTGTTAAAACAATTGTTAAAAATTGTTAAAAATAATAATGTTGTTGAAATGAAAATGATCAAGTAAAATCATAAAAATCATAAATAACCAGAAGATAACTGTTGGCCCAAATTAAGTGTCTACCATGTCAATTTTAAACTGTTATATGAGCCATAACACATTATAGTAGATAGTATGTTCAATCATTCCCAATCTTGTGTAATATTAATACTGTATGCCTTCTATGTGTACGTGTACATACAGTAGTTATGTTGATAATGTATAGAGCTGCATTCATGTTCATACATGTTCATATGCCTGTAGTGTGCATACCACACACACTGAAGTGGGCTGACGTCCAAATATAGCTGTTGGAGCAGCTTAATTGCCACAGTGCAGATGTTTACTTTAGTCGTAGAAGTGAGACCACTTTCACTCTAAAATTAGGGTCATATAAGATATTTCTTGAGGAAACATATCATACATGTATGTGAATCAGTGATGTACATAATGTAGGTCACTCTTCCTCTGAGATAAAAGTGACCTCAAACTCCTGGGTTTCGCAACTAGCAGTACAGCACAGCTACATGTACATAAAACAGCAAGAGTGTGAATTGTATAGTACTTTGTTGTACATGTACGTCATGTACTGTATAGAGCAGAGAGGTCAGTTTGTGCACCAAAGATGCAGGCTCAGTGTAATGTAGGTCACTGTTTTGGTCGATTTAATTTGCCTCGACCTCGTAGGGCTTTGCAATATGAAGCGGATAACCTGCTTCAATTGTGCACTGGTCACGTTTGCTTGTTCCCAAAACCTAAAGTGGCTAGCTGTACTGCTTTGTCCCTTTTATAAGATTAAGTATAGTGAGTTTGAAGTGCAGTGTGCACTGTACATTTCATTTAGGCCGGGTAGCCTTTTGTTGTACAGCACATGTAAATATATATATAGGACAGGTTCACTATGGAGGTCAGTTTGTGCACAAAAGATGCAGGCTGCATGCAATGTAGGTCACTGGTCAATTTCAGTTGCCTTGACCTCGTAAGGATATATATTGGAATATGAAGTGGTCAAGCTGCACTGGTCACGTTTCCTTGTTCCCAAGGGCGAAAGTGGCCTGTCAGCTTTGTGTCCAGGCTCTCAGAAGCATGTTTAGGTACATGCATCTGTACATGTAACATATTTAGGGGCAGATTTAGGGTTTTGTAAGGGGTTGGGGGTTAAAATTTCCTTTAAATATGACATGCAAAAGCAATACGACGCAACAAAGGTTATCAAGCTTAAAAAGCCGGGTTCTATTTGTGAGAAAATATCTGACACTGACATAAAAAAACAAAAAACAAAACATGGGGGGGGGGGGGCGGTGGGGTTCCCTCTGTGATCCTCCCCCTCTGTCCTGGTACAATGATTAAGATTAAGCCATGCAGATTACTCCATCTTGTGTTGGTACACGTAGCTTTCTAGCAGAATGTATTAGAAATCAATTTGCATGGTATTTTATATCTTGCATGAACCTGTGTGTCCCCATTTATGTACCCTACAGTATATCTGATATGTGCGTGTAGATCGATGCAGCTGTACTCTCCAACTCTCTATATCATGAGGTAGTGGTTATGAGATTTGGAGAAAAAAAAGTCAACTTCTATTTCCTGTTGCATCTCTCAATTTGCCAGACAGAGTCCTTGCAGGGAAGTCGTACACTTTCGATGAGTTAGATGTTGTCTGTTACACGTATGTAAAAGCATAGTGCATGTCTGCATGATTGCACTTTTTGGGAGTTGACTATATAATTGATGCCTACCGGTAAATTATATACAGTACATTAATACTTTATGTGAGCTCAATTTACAAGCTACATGTATTTTGCCAATAGAATGTTGGTAAGTATGTCTACTTTCGACAGTAGCATTATTTTCTAATTGCAGGCTGAGCTACATGTAGCTACATGTACATTGCTTTCTCATTTTTCATCATCCACAAAGTGCACATTTTAATTTTTTAGATTTAACAAAATTACTGCAATAACCATTTCAATATATGGTGGTTTAACTTTTGTGAATTACCCCTTTTTGATAAAAATATTGACCTTTTCATAGATCAAAGGTTCTGACTCATTTTCAGGAGTACATCGACTTTTGAAAGGTCTTACTGTATTAGTCTGTGACTATAGTCTCTTTGATTAGTGCAGAGTGCTGTTCTTGCATGTACATGCACAATGTACATGTGCCTTTTATGCATGTGCCTTCATGCATATGACTCTGTAATATACTGTATGTGTACATGTACATGCTTGACTAATGACCAGAAAAAATGTAAACAAAGTTATATTTGCAAGGATTTTCAATAACCTTGAGCTGTAAATTAAAGGATAGGGCAAAGATAACTTTTGGCTGAATTCCAAATGATCTTGTTATCTCATAAGGTTATATGTGTATAAAGGGTGTGCAGAAAAAGGAAGCCTGATCGAGGACTACAAAATGGGTACAAGAAAGATAATGCCCATGCCTGGATGATTGACATTGGCCTGTAAATCATTCAAGTCGATTGGAAAGAATGTTTACTGATGTTTGGTGATTGTCATGTTATTATCTTGATGTTGCTTTGCAGTTTTCCTCAAAGCTTTGTGTGAAGTGTACATGTATGCAATGAAGTAGAATATTCATGACAATTATTGGATATACATGTATACAAGAATCCCTTGGTTAGATTATTGTATTATATATAATATTACCTGTATTTTTAATATCTGATTGTTCTCTCCTTTGTTTTCCACGTACAGATCCCATCTTGCAAAGGTCTCCTAATCCCAACCTTCATGTTTTCCTGCTGAAAAGTCGCATGATCTGGTTTCCTGTCTTCAAGGACTTATAGCAAGGTTACACAAATACTGCAACAGTGAGCTCAGTCACTGCTTGTTCAACTCTCAAGTGCATGGCTCGCCATCCTTGTACATTGTAATTAACCGACACATCTTGTAAGAGACTGTAGAAGAGATACAGTCTGCCGAACGAACGAGTCGTAATCGAACAACAAACATGGCTTCTCAGGGGACACCTTCCCCTGCACAAAACCCCAGCGGTCAACCGTCCATACCCAGCGGTCAGCAGCCTAAGGAGAGCATGAGCGATCATTCCTTCGGCCACACCATGGCTATTCTACTAGACAGACAGAAGGTCAAGGTAGGTCACTCAAGTTTTTATCCGTGTAGCATAATGCCTATATAAACATCATGTCTACATTAAATACAATTTCGAGCCCCAATGGTGGCAATTTATTTACATTTGATCATCACATTTACCTTACCTTAATGATATTGATGACACAGGCAGTTGCCTGTGGCTCTTCAGGCATGTCAAGATGCAAGGTACATCCCATATGTGCACATGAATTGAATGAATTATTTATCATCAGGGGTTTTGAAATTACACCCATAAAATTACTGGTTTATTATTATTTGAAAGTTTGAAGCAGATCTCATGATCCAATGTTCTTTCTGCAATAAGATTATTTTTACAAATTTATTTGACGCAAACAAAAGGGAGTAAATAAATACATGTTCCCATTGCATAAATGACAGCGTGATGTAAAGTCTGTGTTTGTACTCGTACAAACCACTCATAAGGGACAGACACATGACATTTACAAATTACAATGATGATTGAGTGCCTAATGATGTCTTTTGTTTTGTTTACCGAATCCACAGCTGTGTCGATCCCTGTGCAGACGCGGCGTGGTTCTCTTCCTCATTGGCATCGTGATGGCCCTTGTACTGAACCTACTTCAAGTCCAAAATAACGTCACCTTGTTTCCTCCCGAGACACTCGACAGTATATCCTCCTCGGCCTGGTGGGTCGCTCCCTTCTGTGGCTCGGCTGCTGGTAAGTTGGATTTTTTTTCTTCATGAGAATATTGTTGATCTGAAGATCCCCACCCCCCAAAAGAAGAAGAAAAAAAAAGTGGCACTCGAACACTGGATATTATCATTGGGATGCCCCTATTGTGGTTCAGCAGCAGAGTGCTGTATTGAATGGTTTACCTTTAAGTTACAAAGAAAATGCGCCTAAGTTTCACATTTTGCATCTATGAAATCTCTGAGGAATATATTATTAGTAAATTTTTAAACAACTTCCAATCATGAAAAAAATAAGAAAATTGTTGTTTATGAAAGTATGTTCCTACCTTCAATATCTTTACTTTCAAGATGTTTTCTGCACAGAGGCAATTTCTTTCATACCAGGACTTTGGATATACAGTGAAACCTGTATATAAAGACCACTCACAGGAAACATGAAAAGTGGCCTTCATTGGCAGGTAGTCTCTATGTACAGGTTCCTCAAGTACATGTTTCAATGAGAAACTATATTCAGAGGAAACAAAATATGTGATCTTTATAGACGGGTGGTCTTTCCATACAGGTGGTTGCTAAAGCAGGTTTGACTGTACCTTTAAATTTGTGATTGAAAGCCCATCTGCACTAGTTTGGCCAGGAGGGATTAGACCTCCATGCATGGTCACTGGCAGGTTGTTATCTAATCAAATCAGCTCTCAATTAACATAAGAAAAAGGGCATCATGGGGACCGATGGTCACCAATTAGGCATTGTTTGCCTATAGAGGGGGCAAGTAGCTATAAGTAGTGCAGTGGGGCTTTAATCAACCCAATCATTCTACATTCTGTTTCTTCTCACCACAGTACTTGTAGGACTGCTGTACCCTTGCATAGACGATAAGCTTGGAGAAACGCCTTACTACAAGAGAGAATGGTCTCATGTCATGCGATGTCTTGCCGTCTTCGTCGGAATCAACCATGCTTGTGCTGTATCCTTGTAATACAAATCAGAGAATAATCATGTTCACACTGTGATCTGCAATCTACTCTGAAGCGTTCACTTCAGGCTTTATTTCGTCAAAGATTTTTCGTTTAGGCTGGGGTTGCTATTGAGTTTCAGGTTATTTAAGTTTTAGGTTAGCTTTGGGTTAGGGTTTGGGGTATGCTTTTCGGGACAGGTTTTTAGTTGATAAATAGAAATATGATGTTCATGTAGTGTTGAGTCAAATGTTGCAGCTGCATGGAATTTGATCAGTACTGTTGGCAATGTATCTAGGAGCAAATGTTGGTGGAAAATGTGCTGTACACTCATACATGTAATTGCATGTTTTATATAACGGATATCATTTGAAATCTGTTTCTTCCATTACATGCTTGAAGGAGTGGAATTGATTATCATTGGAAGTAAGATAGGAAACAAATGTAAATTGATTTACCAGGTGGTAACAGGTGATTGGTACTTTTGCATTTGTGTGCTGATGGTCACAATAGGTTACCTTAGCTTGTACATGTACCTTTGAGAAAAAAGAAGAAATCATTTTGCAATGATTAGACCATGATATACAAGGTAAATATCAAGCTTTGTAATAGAAGAATTTATTCATCAATTTAATCTGAGAATCAAAAGCACTCCCTCGTTTTCTCTGTATTATTTTCACAAAAGGTGCAAATTTATCAATACATTTATCAATACATTTATCAATATGTTTGGTACATGGACACAGAGTCGTATTTCTTCCTTGACCAGCTGACAATTCAGAAAATCGAATTTGCCAACAACCTCCAGTTTTCTCTCACTTTGGCTGCAATGTCTCTTGGTTTGTGGTGGCTCTTTGATCGGTCAAGGAGTGGATTTGGTCTGGCCCTGACTATTGCCTTCTTAGCGACTCTCATCACACAACTCCTTGTGTATAAAGGAGTATACAGGTATGGATATAACAAGTATTTGAATGATTTAATTTAATTACACTACTGTACTTTGTCATAATTTGCTTTATTTCTCTGTAATGTTGATAATGATTGATTTTGATTTATCTTGTCCTTATGTTGATATTTCTTTAGTTCATGAATTAGTAGTTATGTGTAATTGTGTTGTTTTATTATTGTAAAGCGCATTGTTATTTTATTTGAAGATGAAATGCGCTATAGAAGCCTAGGTTATATAATAATAGTAGTATTAATAATGTATGAGATATGTAAGGTGCCAAATCCACTCGAAAGGAAATGCTCAGCTCAAGGTGCACTTTTAAAACAAGAAAAGAAGAAAAGAAAAAGAGATGTAAAGATTATGTGCACATAATAATTCCAAGCATACTTTCTCTTACAGATACACAGAGCCTGACTTCCTGTACGTGCGATCCTGGCTTCCATGCGTCTTCTTCTCGGGAGGTGTAACGATAGGCAATATAGGCAGACAGCTTGCTCTGGTGAGTTCATCAACAAAATGTATAACACATCAACAACAATATACAGTCAAACCTGCTTGAATGACCACCTGTCTACAAAGAGCACATTTTTTGTTTCCCTTAAAAATGGTTTCTCATTGAAACATGTGCTAAAGGAACCTGTCTACAAAGACCACCTGTCTACTACGACCACTTTTTGTGTTTTCCTTGGGTGGTCGGCTGTCGCTATAGACAGGTTTGACTGTACATGTCACTAAAGACCAGTAGCATATTTGGGGGGGGGGGCGGAGACGAGATAATGGGGCATCTACCAGATTCTACCAATTTTGCGCCCAACCTTCTCATCAGTAGTCATGTATTGAGATGTCAACAAGCATCCAGCTACAATGTGTACATACCTCTATGCAATTAATCCAGTAGATAGTGTTTAGTAATATAGTAATTTGTAATTGGTATTAAAAATGTAATTTGGTGATCCTACACACACTATCGCTACATTTGCTACAGGGTTTATTTCAACCAAGGTATAGAGTTAGGTGTAGGTTCACCATTGGCTTTTGTATTATGTTCAGGATTATGTATGATGTTGGGTTCTGGGTTAAAATTCATTATTTGGATAGTGTTAGAAATTGAATGTGGAGCAACTGATGCCAGAGCACGTCTTGTAGAACCTCTTAAAGTTTAATCTAATTTTTGTCTCGCCTGCGTAGCAAAAAGCGAGACATAGGCGCCGCTTTTCCGGTGACGGCGGCGGCGACGGCGACGGCGACGGCGACGGCGTCAACATCAAAAACTTAACCTAAGGTTAAGTTTTTGAATTTTTGGTATAATTTTTAAAGTATAAGTTCTTAGTCAATTAAACTTTGACTATAGGGTAATCAAGTATCCCCAATCATGTGAGTAGAATTTCAGGTCACTAAGTTAAGGTCAAAGGCCATTTAAGGTCAACAAACTTAGACTTTGTTGTGGCATCAACATTAAGTTTTTCAAAATGCTTCTTCTTCGTTATTTTTCAACCGATTTTGATTCTGATTGTTTCATATGATAGGGCTAGGAGGGAATTTAAAATTTCTACACAGAATCGTGAAATTCATTATCTATGCTAATTTATGCAAATTTATTCGAAATCACAAAAAAGGCTTCTTCTCCTTCATTTCTCGACCGATTTTCATTTGGTTTGCTTTATATCGTAGAGCTAACTTTGGTACACTAAACTTCTACACAGAATTGTGAGATTTTGCTCCATTGATTATTTATGGTACTTTATGCAAATGAAATGAAATTATGTCCCTTCCAGGGCATCAAATTTCTATTTTTTGACCAGTTCAAAAGTGTACCACATAAAATTTACGATATTTGTTGTTGTGAGATGCGGATGAGCGCTACGTCATTGACATTCTGGTTTATCATATTGAATTGCGTTATGCAGGCGAGACCGCCGAGAGCGTTTCCCTTGTTTATATACATGTTTTATTCTTCCTCTTTCTCGCAGGTTGATCGTCAATTTGTGAAGGAGCACATGAGTTAAATCAGGCAACGTTTGAAGAAAGAGACTTTTATTATAAGATTTGTCTTGATACAAATCCGAACTTACAACCGCAGCTGACTGTATAAAGTGCAACGAAAGAGGCTAGATGCCACCGAGAGCAAACCAAAATGACGCAAGTGCAGAATTCTGATTTTAGTCAGGAGAACTTTAAGTAAGTGTATGTCTGCTCAGATGCAGCTTCAACAGGATGTTGCCAGCTTCAAGATGTACTTCCATGCTGCATGCTTACGGCGATGTTTGAACACTTCAGACAGCCATGGCCGTCCAGGTTGCGGGTGAATAGTTCTGCGAAATCTGCAATACTTGCATGGGAAATGGATTTTGCCGAAGATAAAAAGTTGAGTTGGTGCCTTCTACTTTGCCCGTTATATTCTCTTCACCATAGAAGAGGAAATAGAAGTTCTACTTTTTGTACTTAACCTACTCTGTACCATCAAGTACCCTTCCCAACCAAGGCTTTGACTGACATTGCCAAATTGGTGATTCCTTAGCTCGCCTTCAGCATTGAATGCATTCATCTCTCTGCAGTGTATCACAAGGACGTGAAGTAGAATTGTGAAGATTGTTGATGATGCTATGTTAAATACACGATGACAAATTTTGTGCTGAAACGTGATGTCTAGAGTGAGGGTGAAACATAGCTTCTTTCCTAATCTTCATGTATGAACAGTAGTCAGAAACTAGTCTTGTAGACCATGGTTTTGCCGGCCCTTAACACCCTTGATGCGACGACCAAGCATTTGGGACTTCATGGAAGAAAATACCAAGTGCGAATACTCCCAGACAGGTGAATCAGCAAGTAGTTTATGTGATGATGCATGCTTTCAACCTGCAATTAAATTGCTTTGGTCATCCCAAACCACCCCTGGGGATGCTGGAAGGACATGCACCGCACCATTTGGACCAAGTTTAAACAAGTTCCTGGTGAGAAGCCTGGTGAAGACTAAAGGTAGATAATGGGAATGAAGTCTTCTACATCTTGTTGTGCCCGCAGGAACTATTATTGACCCTAGTGCTGCTATGGTAAGGAGCGACTGGTTGAATTTATGGAGATGCAGTTAACATGTCACTCAATTTCTTAACTCTGTTCATTTAAGCTTTAAATGTTAGTGAGAAAGTGGCAGATACGTGAGGATACCTCTCACAAACTTAAAAGGTCTTCCTGCTGATATGAGCGGACAATGCAGAATTTGAAGTAGCCGTCCTGAGCCATAACCTGCATACAGTGATTTGCAGATATTTTACTTTATAAATGCTGACATCAATTGCCCTCGGGTCTTCCAAGTTTAGATCTGATCATATCGTCTGTTTGGAGCCAGAAGGGTGCTAGCGCTCATCGTCTTGCACCGAGTGAACGCCCTCCTGGCTCCAGAGTCCAGACAAGATGATATTTACTTTGGTTTTGACCATTGCCACTTGATTAGTATCAGTAAGTGTGAATGAAGTTGCAGAGCAGCCATGAAACTCATCTGCATTTCAGTCGCATAATCTGTTCTAACATGAGAGATACTTACTGATTGAAGTTATGGGACAAAGTGTCTTGACTGATGTTTTTACTTTGCATATTACAATCATAATTATGTTATTATTTTATAGATATGTACCTGTTTTAAAGCTACTACATAGTACGACATGGCTGTACATATATTTTTTTAAGGGGATTTCATTCTATATCTTTGCTTAAAGACCTCTCACTTTGATGAATGTATATGTTGCTCAAAGTGTGCTTTGATATTACGTCATATCGTCCATGTCATAGATGTTTTAAGACTTCTATTGTAAAAGTGCACAATATTTAAAAACATGGAAACAATGTTACATGTTGAGAGTACGCATTTACAATATTACTAAAATCCTAGATTTTATCTCTTCTTCATTGTAACTATCCATGACACACACTAATAGATATTACATTATGTTACCATTTACCACATTCAGGTACACAGTGCGTTTAACTTAGCAACCATAATGTAAACTCATTGTGACATTGTGAGAATGTGTTTCCAATTCCAATCGATTTAAGGCATTTCATCTCCTCTTACTCAGACTTTGCATGTGCATGTAGATCTAAGTAAACAAGGGTATGGGAAGCAATCAGTCTGTTTTCAAACAGAGACAAAGTCCATTAATGACGAATGAGATTATCTCATTTACAAAAGAGTTTGCAATGATAACAAACTTTGTTACAATATTTTGGTCTCTCTGCATCGAGTTGTGAGATTAGTTTTTGAAAGAGTTTGGTGGACTTCTATGCTGCCACGATCGGCGCCTGGTACAGGCCCAGGCAGATAAGCTTAAGCTTACAAAGTCCCCTTGAGGCTCTAACTAAATATTGATGAGGATGATTTGCCATTTCATTATCTTGCAGTGCTGGAATGCAGTGCCATTATGTGTTTGCGTATCTCAAATATTGATAACAATGTGGAAAGAATGTGTTGTAGAATCCATGCTTTATCACCCAGTTCTTTACTTTGTGACGCAGCTACTGCTGAACCTTAAACCAAATGAAACGTATTTTGGGACTTTGGACATTTGGCGTTATCCGTACTTACATCAAGGAAACTTTTCTCTTTGTTTTAGGCAGACCAAACGTTATTGTGTGTCCCTAATCATGTCCAATTTTTTTATTTCTTTTGCAAATTACAATTTTTTGAACATTTCATTATTTCACAATTCTTTTGATGTATTACTCCAATTGATGATTAGTTGAGCTGTATTTTAGAATACTTTTACAATCTGTTGGAAAGGGTTATTGTATGGAAGATATGATCACACATTTGATTGTACAGTAATGTACCTCTTTTGAACCATCTGGGGGCGTTTCACAGAACTTGTCATCAGTGACAAATTACATTTTTTGTTATAAGCTACTGAAATCCTCGCTTTTGATTGGTTATCAGCAGATTTGTCACTGATTTTTTTTTTTGTCATTTGTCATTAAAAAAAGGCTGTGTGAAACGGGTACTGGTGATATATTTGTGTAATGTGTACCAGGGAATGGTATTCTTGAGCCAGTATTACATAGATCCTTGATACCTACAATGTAGGCCTACATCTCGTTACACCACCGAGATGGACACCAGACTGACAATACTCCAAATGAAAAGGACATAACCCCCCCCCCCCCCCAAGAAAAAAGAAGAAGTTTGTTTGTCGTCGGTGTTTTGATGCGACTGGAGTTTAAAAACAAAACAAATTCACACCATGAAACATGTCGCACAAATAATGCTGGTGAGAAGATTGAGCACCTGTATTTGCCTCCCTCCTTGTAAAATGATGTATTGCTTTATCTGCTTTATATATGCCTTGCTATTGAGTAGCGTATACATGTATTTATTTCTTTTCCTTTAAAATCTACTTGTGCATTATTTCTATTATATAGAAATCATGTATCTTCCATTTTGTTTATTGCTTTTGGTTGTATTGTACTTGTTTTCATGGGAAAAGAAAATACCTTTTGCTTTGCTTACAATAGGCAATTAGAATGCAGCTCTAGGAAGTCTCACTGGTTGTAAAAGAAGTGATCAACTACATCCTGTCATCATGAACTTGCCACATGAATGTTTGGCTGATAAGATAAGGTTCAGGTTTGAAATATTGTAATTGGGGATTAGTCATCTTATACGGGTTCAACCAGAAAATTGCACAATTTCTTCATTGGTACTGGGACCTGTTTCATAAAAAATGTTGTTTATAAAATTGTCACGTTTCCAGAAGAAATTTGCTCATGCCCAATCAAATGCAATGATTTCAGGAGCATATAAGAGTCATTGTTACTTGTTGTTGATATCAAGTTTTATGAGACAGGGCCCAGATTTTTGATAGATTAAAGCTACAAGAACTAAATTACTGTAATGATATGGATATTCTCGTGTTTACGTTTTCCTCAAAGGTTCATTGACGTACATATACAAGGCAAATTCCTTGTATGCTATTTTTAACACCTGTTCCGAGACGTTGCGCTCTTAATTTTGGCTCTACTTTTTCGGCTTGGCCGATTGGATTAGGTGTCGTTGGGCGTGTCGCCACAGTTGACTTAAATTTAATCAGGCAAATTTGGGAAATAGATTTGTATTACAATTGGAAGGGTTTTTCCTTGTTGCCGGGTCTGTTCACACTATCGAAATAGTATGAGAGGGGAAGTGAGGATTACAGGTGTGTAATAGCCAGAAGCATGTGGGCTCGCTAGTGTGGACGGACATAGCAACATTTATCCCTTGTTATATTCCAGGGTTGTTGGGTCTCCGGGTGATTTGCATCTCTTGTTTGAGAGATTAGAATGTAAGAGACACAGGTGGGTGCGTGAAAGAAGTATGTGAGGAATAGAGATGCGGATCATCCGGAGCGCCTTATATCCTGGGGGTAAATTCGCCAAGAAATATAGGACCTTTTAATACGGAAACTAATTATGGGTGGATTGATATTACGCAATGCGTCTGTGTGACACGCCTCAATTTTTGGGTGCGCGAGGCGTGTCAGTTCGGGGGTATAAAAACCGAGTTGCGTCTCTAGAGCGGGACCTCTTTTCCGTTACGATCGACATGAGTTGCTAATTTGTTTCGATTGGGTTGCCCAGCCCCAAAACATGAACTTCGTGATTTATTAATTCTTCGTTTATTTTAATAAATCTTCAACTCCAATCAAGAATTTGTTTCAGTGACTTTGATTTATCTTCGTTTTCTACACTTCAAGAACTAAAGCTATACTTTAACATTTTCTGAGTCGGTACTAGGCGGGGCGGTTTTGGCCACCGGGCCGTCTCGCCGTGGATCGCTTCAATTGGTAGTACGGATGGGGTTCGAACCCATGCGGACATTACGTCCATTGGAACTTCAAGATATATTAGCGACGTCAGCGGAGAGCTGCAGAGATTTTTGTTAGCTCACATCCGTCAACTAGTTATATGTGGATCTGTTAGGGTTGTCACGAGGACGGAGTCCAAGAACCCCTGGGCTTCGAACTAACTTTTTTTTTTTGTCGGCCGCTCAGCATCGAAGAGTATTGAGAGGAGTGAAATTTTCTTCTGCTGGTGGTTTCCTGACGAGGGGGCCCAGGAGCTTATTTCCGCAGAGCTACAGCGCGACGAAGCGACGGTGGAAGCGTAGCTGGTGATTCTTTTATGCTGGGAAAACGGTAGTACTTTAGGGCCGCGTGGGTGTCATCTTGAAGGGGCTCGCTGCTTGTGTCAGCGGGGAGGTGATATCGTCACTTCATTCATGGTCGGCGGCACATGCCTTCAGTGTTGCATGCTTGCATCGTTCCGGTGAATTAGAAGGCCGCGGTGCCGGGAAACTAGGTACGTTCAGCTGGTCTCGTAGCTGGTCTACGGGTTTTCTGCGTAGCCTAACGGTTCGTCCTGTGATCTCCGTAGACGTGAAGTCTTGCAGTCAACTACATCGACGCGACACAACATCATCGCCATCGAGAGGGTCTGCAAGACTGTGTATTTACGGCGATCTAAGGCGTGTTCAGACATCATCTAGGAGGGAGTATTTCTGAGGGTGACGGATGCAGGCAGCGGATTGACATCTCTGGTATGTCTTGAACTTAGAACACTTTATCTATATATGATAATTGATTCTATGCCTTGTTGCGTATGGCATTATATACAATTAGATACATCTTTTGATGTATACCATTATTCAGAACATTTAGTGTATTATCTGACGGCATAATTCATTAATTGACTGGTAAATTTATATAATCCTTGTAAACGAGAACAGTAGTGAAGGTGTGTTTTTTTCATATATACATATGGTAACTAAGAATATGGTTCTGGTTTCACTCTGGCTCGCCTACATGTAGTATACATCTCTTCAAAAAATTAAGGTAAGCAGTATTTAGGGGTTTTATACTATATATGGTAACCCGAGGTTGCATCCCTTGCCTTAATGTTCATATTAGACTAAGTATTTAATAATATTTACATTAGATAATAATTATGGCGGAAGAGTTGGTTAAAGATTTGGTAACGGGTTTTACCGAAGCTCTACAGGGTATCCGGATTACACCTACTGGTAGGACAACCGCTACGTTGGATAGATTTTCAGGGCAGGGTGGTATGTTATTAGAAGATTGGTTAGGAGAGGTTGACCTATATTGTGAACAGTCACAAATTTCAGAGACCCAAAAGGTCAGTGTGATCAAGGCTCATTTGGAGGGGCCGGCACGTAAAGAGTTACGATGTTATTCTGAAACACTAGATACAAATCAAATAGTTACTATTTTGCAGAACCACTTTGGTAAGACACAGACTGTACAGTCTCTGCAACAGGCCTTTTACGATCGTAGTCAGAAGGAGGGTGAATCGTTAATGGAGTTTAGTAGGGACCTTATTGATTTATATGATAAAGCCATAGCAATAGCAAACTCCACACAAAAATCATCCCTTGAAGGTTTGCGAGAGGAAGCCCTCATTGCCCAATTTGTTGCAGGAGCCCGTAGTATGCCAATTCGATTAGAACTTAGGCGCCTTGAGTTAGCTGGTTCAGCCAAAACCTTTGTAGATATGAGGGAGTCTGCTAGAAAGTTACTTAAAGAATTGGATACTGTTCAAACTAGAAGGGGTGCAGTAAGGGAGGTGGGGGTTCGTCAACTCTCTGAAGGGCATCACCGGGCATCGGGTTCGCACCTTCAGAGCACTGAACCCCCAGCCCCTGCGCTGCTAGACCCCTTGCATTGTAATCATTGTGGTGAATTTGGACATGTAGTAGCTAATTGTAGATGGTTAGAGCAGACACCAATAAACCGGGGTAGAGGCTCGGGAAACTGGATACCTCCCCACCCTTAAGCCAGGTGAGGGAGGAACAGAGTACTCAAAGCAAGGCTGACTCCACTTCTGAATTATGGGATAAATTAGTCCGTAGTTGCCCCAAAGTAAATATTAATTTATTTGATATTCCCTCTGTTTGTCTTTTAGATACAGGGGCAGAGACCTCTCTTATTAGTGAAACTTATTTTGATAAATACCTATTACATAAAGTTCAGGTGGAGCAGTTGGGTATTCATTGTAATATTATAGGTGTAAATAGTACAGATGTCCCAGTAGTTGGTTATGTTCAAATTCCAGTACAAGTTTTTGGCATTACAAAAATTGGACATTTTATTATCGTTAAGCAAGATTTCAGGCAAGGAATGTCGAATACACCAGTAATTATTGGGAGTAATATTTTATATGAATTTATAGATGTTCAAGTACCTAATCAAGATAGAGATGCACAAGCATGGGTATTAGCATTAAAATGTCTTAAATTAACTAGGGCATCAGAAAACACAGTAAATCAGCAAAAATGTAGTTTTAAGAGTCCCGTTGCATTAAGAGTAGGGAAGTTAGGTGTGGAAATACCACCTAACTCTGTTAAGAGAGTTCCCATTAGGGTTCGTAAACCTCTCCATCATTTTGATGGGAGCTTAGTTTTGATAGAAGAATTGGATAGCGATAGTGCTGTAGATTTACTCGATACATTTCAGGTTCTCAATGGTTGTACTGTTGTAGAAGGAAATACTTTAGGGATTTTCGTTGCAAATTCGGGAGTCAATCCCATTTGGATTCCCCCTTATAGTCCAATAGCTAGAATGAGTCCAGCTAAATCGACTTCACATGTTCATTTAGAAGAAGACGAACAAGGAATACAGGTTAATACATTTTCTGTTATAAGTGATGTTTCGAAGGGACAACCCAAGACTCAACCAAAAGTTGAAGAACTTGAAAAGAATCCTGATAGTGAGATTTTTGTTTTTAGCAATGGTGATACATATACATTACCACCAGGATTAAGTTTACGATTGTCTTTATTTTCTACTGAGCAGGCTGAACAATTAGTTCGTTTGGTTCAGAAGTACGATTTTGTATTTTCTAAGGGTGAATTTGATGTAGGATTTTGTGATAAGATTCCCCATGAAATACATACGGATGATGAAGTTTCAATTAATTTACCTTACCGTAGGATTACACCATCTTGTGTTCAAGAAGTTAAGAGTTTAATCCAAAAGTTGCTAGACCAGCATATAATTAAGCACAGTACAAGTCCCTATGCCAGTCCTATTGTTTTAGTTAAGAAGGGAGATGGGTCGTTAAGAATGTGTATAGATTACCGTAGACTCAACTCTAAGACTATTAGAGATTCGTTCCCACTTCCTCGAATAGAGGAGTCACTAGAGTCCCTAGGGGGTGCTCGTTTTTTTAGTTCATTAGATTTAGCTCATGGATATTATCAAGTTGCTATGGATCCAGATTCTATTTATAAGACTGCATTTAGGATCCCCTTTGGATTGTTTGAATTTAGGAGAATGCCCTTTGGGTTGAGCAATGCTCCAGCTACTTTTCAAAGGGTAATGGAGAATTGTCTAGGTGATATGAATTTGTCAGAACTATTGATTTATTTAGATGATATTTTGGTGTTCTCAACAACATTTGAGGAACATCTACAACGCCTAGGTAAGGTATTTGCTAGGCTTCATAGTTTTGGTTTAAAGATTAAGGGTAAAAAGTGTCATTTATTTCAGGATCAGGTCAATTACCTGGGACATGTTGTTAGTGCGAAAGGAATCGAAGTAGATGACGATAAGATCTCGAAGATCCGAGACTGGCCTGTGCCAACTAGTAGCGAACAGTTACGTTCATTCCTGGGATTAGCAGGATATTATCGTAGATTCGTAGATAATTTTGCGAAGATAGCAGCTCCTTTGTTTAAGTTAATTCCCCCTTTAGTTAAGGGTAAGAAACCCAAATTTCAGAGTTTAATTTGGAATGAAGAAGCAAATGAAGCATTTCAATTGCTAAAACAAACGCTTATTGAAGCACCAGTACTTTCTTATCCCATCCGTACTACCAATTGAAGCGATCCACGGCGAGACGGCCCGGTGGCCAAAACCGCCCCGCCTAGTACCGACTCAGAAAATGTTAAAGTATAGCTTTAGTTCTTGAAGTGTAGAAAACGAAGATAAATCAAAGTCACTGAAACAAATTCTTGATTGGAGTTGAAGATTTATTAAAATAAACGAAGAATTAATAAATCACGAAGTTCATGTTTTGGGGCTGGGCAACCCAATCGAAACAAATTAGCAACTCATGTCGATCGTAACGGAAAAGAGGTCCCGCTCTAGAGACGCAACTCGGTTTTTATACCCCCGAACTGACACGCCTCGCGCACCCAAAAATTGAGGCGTGTCACACAGACGCATTGCGTAATATCAATCCACCCATAATTAGTTTCCGTATTAAAAGGTCCTATATTTCTTGGCGAATTTACCCCCAGGATATAAGGCGCTCCGGATGATCCGCATCTCTATTCCTCACATACTTCTTTCACGCACCCACCTGTGTCTCTTACATTCTAATCTCTCAAACAAGAGATGCAAATCACCCGGAGACCCAACAACCCTGGAATATAACAAGGGATAAATGTTGCTATGTCCGTCCACACTAGCGAGCCCACATGCTTCTGGCTATTACACACCTGTAATCCTCACTTCCCCTCTCATACTATTTCGATAGTGTGAACAGACCCGGCAACAAGGAAAAACCCTTCCAATTGTAATACAAATCTATTTCCCAAATTTGCCTGATTAAATTTAAGTCAACTGTGGCGACACGCCCAACGACACCTAATCCAATCGGCCAAGCCGAAAAAGTAGAGCCAAAATTAAGAGCGCAACGTCTCGGAACAGGTGTTAAAAATAGCATACAAGGAATTTGCCTTGTATATGTACGTCAATGAACCTTTGAGGAAAACGTAAACACGAGAATATCCATATCATTACAAACTCCCCTACTGAAACGATCTGTCCCATAAGATCGCAACAAAAAAAAACCAACAAAAAAAATTGAAATTCTCGTCATAATCCGTTCCCCTCTAAGGTACATACACGTACATGGCTGCCCAGCCCTAAAACATTTACAATAACTTCATATACATCATATAAAGCCAACATGGCTTCCAAATTACAATATGTAAACACACATATCAAACTGTCAATCCAACTCACAAAAATACCCACTAGTTCAAACATACTTAGAAACATCACCTCCCATTAATGACGCCCTTTACATATTAAAACAGCATGTCAATACTTTGCAAGTAAATGCACAACCTTAATGCAATAGTCAATTACACAAACCCCCAAACTCCAAAATTTTCCTTTTTTTTTCCTCTCTCTTCATCCACATAATTAACCAATTATGTGGTTCTGCCTAAAGAGGCAATAACAAAATTAAAATTTTAATCCAAAAACCTATTATAAACTCCTCGAGTGTCCTATTCCTGCATGGTTAACAAAAACGCCCAAATTTCCCTACAGCAGACTATGAAACCTACTACTATCATGTCTCCAACTACTCGTAATTATAGCCTGAAACTGTTTGCGAAGCTTAGGGAAGTGTCACAACCCCGGCGGTCAGAGCCGGATACCCCAGACCTCCTCCAACCGGTTGTTGGGACTTCTCCTGCCACTTGTAAACATCCATATGTAATCAGAAATTACTTAAAAATTGAAATATACTAGTGATAATACATGCACATTCTCCGAACACTGGAATAGACAACGATACATGTAACTGGAAAAATATAAAAATTTGTAATATGCAAATCCATGGAATATACAACCAATTTCAATACGCGATTAGGCAAAAATCACCATAACCATAAATGACCCCAATTAAAAATCACCACAATTACATCCAAAAATTCTTTCGACAAAAACTAGAAATCCGACGGAGCGTACGCCGATACAACTCTGTCCCCCGGGGAGTGAGGTGCACTCCATCAATGATAAGATGGGGTGCGTGTGGGAGCAACCGATGCTCCCACACCCACACAAAGTCCCGGTGGAAAGAACCATCTGACATAAGTCGGTTGAATTCCTGCACACGGGAGTTGAATTCCCTTAGAGACAGAGTCGAACCGGCCCATCTCCGAGTCCGTGGGAGCACGGGGAGGAGAAAGATCGCCGTGGGGAACAACCCCCGACGACCCAACTCATCCACGAACTCCCACAGACGCCGAGCCACGGTCACGGGCTCCGCCTGACTCAAGTCGTTGGTACCCAAATCGATTACCAACACAGAGTGCGTGGAGCTGGCCTCCTCCAGAATACGAAAATACCTTCTCGGGTTAGCCCGCATCCTGGAGAAGCTCAGCCCCCCCTCTCCATAACACTGCACAGAACGCTGCTCATCAGCTACGATAAGCGACAACTCCCCAGCCCGCCGGCCCAGAGTCCGGCGGACAAAGCTATGACCAAATAAGAACATGACTCATAAAATCAGGACGGGTGCCCAGCCCTAAAACAGTAAAAGTTGGATAATTAAAATTATTAACTCTCCAATTTGATGTAAACGACTAATTACCGTGATAATTAACCGTCAATATTACGGTCCCTTCAATAATTGGTGAAAAATATCGCCTTAATTTCTCAATTTTTACTGTTTTAGGGATGATATGGATATTCTCGTGTTTACGTTTTCCTCAAAGGTTCATTGACGTACATATACAAGGCAAATTCCTTGTATGCTATTTTTAACACCTGTTCCGAGACGTTGCGCTCTTAATTTTGGCTCTACTTTTTCGGCTTGGCCGATTGGATTAGGTGTCGTTGGGCGTGTCGCCACAGTTGACTTAAATTTAATCAGGCAAATTTGGGAAATAGATTTGTATTACAATTGGAAGGGTTTTTCCTTGTTGCCGGGTCTGTTCACACTATCGAAATAGTATGAGAGGGGAAGTGAGGATTACAGGTGTGTAATAGCCAGAAGCATGTGGGCTCGCTAGTGTGGACGGACATAGCAACATTTATCCCTTGTTATATTCCAGGGTTGTTGGGTCTCCGGGTGATTTGCATCTCTTGTTTGAGAGATTAGAATGTAAGAGACACAGGTGGGTGCGTGAAAGAAGTATGTGAGGAATAGAGATGCGGATCATCCGGAGCGCCTTATATCCTGGGGGTAAATTCGCCAAGAAATATAGGACCTTTTAATACGGAAACTAATTATGGGTAATTATATTGGCATCTTATGATGGCATATATCTCTGGTTTTACAGTAAACGATGGAATGATTTCTTAACAGGAATTAATACCCTTTTGCATGTAGTATCCTCGGGCACTAACCAGTGGTATTTCTTACTTCCTTTGTCTCTGTATGTTTTTGTTTTTGTTCAACTTTGCCTGGAAATTAAACAAATAAAGAAAGAAACGTTGCAAAATGTAAAAGAAAAACCCCTTAGTATATAGAATAACAGAGTATTATACACAATGGAGTAAGCGACATATTGAGAGCTATCCATGCAGTGTATTCAAATTTATACCATTCTAACATTCACATGTTAAATGGGCAATGTACTTTCCGCTGATAATGCTGAAAAAAGCCCTAGAAACTGCCTCTGATATTTAGGAAGAAATACACATTTTCAATATTTTTGTCATCGAAGTACATGTTAACTATACTTGAGAAATAACTTTTGTTCCACTTACGGAGTAGTAGTGTAAAATGCCAATGGAATGCAATTATGGGATTGTATCAACACCAAATATGTATAAAAGGCAATACATATTGTGATTATTACTCAGAATATTGTTCTATCTTGTATGTATCTTTGCATCTATTATGAAATCTTTTATGATATTACAGAATAAAATTGTATTAAAACTTTAAAAGACATTTATTATTAATGAGCATTTTATTTTTATTCAAAGTGCAAGTAGTTCTTACACTGTTTGGGAAATTAAGGTACTTTTAAAAGGGCTAGAAAATAATCTTAGAATACACACAAAATGGAGAAGACAGGATGGAGAGGGAGACAGATCAAGAAAGTAGGGGGAAAGAGAGAGAGAGAGAAAGAAAGAAAGAGTGGATGAGAAAGGGAGAGAGAGAGAAAAAAGGAGGGGGAAGGGGGGGGGGGGGTGGTGATAAAAGTAATTTATAACACTGTCGACCATGGTCAGGTAAATTTTAAGCCCCACTGCACTACTTATAGCTACTTGCGCCCTCTATATAGCAAACAAAATGTTAATTGAGAGCCGGGGAAAAATGAATATTTATTTTTCGGGGCCTACTTTTCAACCCTGCCTGCATGAAAATAACATTATAAAATTGCATTGAACTCTATGCAAATTTAAGAGGGCTCTTTTCTGATTTTCAGGGGCTTTTTGGGCAGGCACGTAGCCAGAGTTTGATGTTTGGGTGGGGGGGGGGGGGGGGGGGGGCACATACCTGTAATCGATCGAGGTAAAAAAAAGTTCAACCGATCTTGGAAATTCCCCCCCCCCTTGGCTACGTGCCTGTTTTGGGGGCATTTCGGGGGCTATTTCGCCCCGAGCCCCCGTGTATTTTTTTCACTGAAGCTGACTTGAGACCACCAGTCAGTGACCATGCAGGGAGGTACAATCCCTCCTGGCCAAACTAGTGCAGATATGCTTTAAGAAAACCAAAGTAGATAAAGAGAATTGAAGAAATAATAAGAAACATAAGAAGAAAACAACATGAAAAATTAGGTAATCATAATTGATAAGGGAAAAGTCCCGAGAAAAGTAAGTAAATAAGTCGAGAAAAACTGAAGAAGGCATCGAATTGGGCTTGGCCGTTACTAAAGTTTATGTAAGCAAAATAATTTTAGTTCAATGATTTGCTGTATTCCATTCCCTCCCTTTGTATTTCAAGTAGTGCGCCATCTAGTGGTCTATATACCGACACAAAGTTCTAAAAGAAAAAAAGAAAGAAAGAAAAATAGAAAGAAAAAGTGCTGAAAATGACTCAAACCACTTAATAAATGTCACATAGAGGAATAGATTTAGAAAATAATCATTCATATTTATTTTATTTACTTTATTCTTTTATTTGTTTTTATAAAAACTACTTTGCTTGTCACATTTGTAGTACATCAATAAAAAGCGAGAAATCAACATTCTTTATGTATAAGCCAACATATTTTCTGAATAAGCCAAATACAATGTACATTCTCTTTAAAAAATGGTACAAGTATGGGGAAAATACCCTGTGTATGTTACGTTTTCCAATGACACAACTTTCTTTATCAGTAACTGGCTTACTCGGATGAAATGGTATTTCATATTCACAAAAATAGTAACAAATGATTGCATTTTCAAAATATCATAGATTTACAAGTAGATTAAGATTAAGATTAATCGCGTGTCAATAAGACAGTCTTATGTAAGGTAGTGTCCATTTTATAGCAATGCATTTCAAGTCTCTGCCGCATTATATAGGGCCCGTCAGCAAGTAGTGTTGCATATCGTTCAAAAAGCGCATGTAAATTGCAGAGTGGAAGCAATGCGTAATTGTTTTAGCACTTTTTTTTTGCGAAAGAGCGTAGTGGGGTTGTGTTTCCCTTTTTGTTCCTTTCAATCGTGTATACATCGGCGCGTCATCATAGTATATACACAGCGAATTCCAGTACTGCACAAAATAATACTCGACGATGGTGAAAATATTCAATTTCTCAATGATTCATTCGTTTCGTATAATGCCTAAACTCCCATCTCTGCGTTCCTGAATCATTGCATTCGTTCGTCATGAGTTGTGGTTTGTAGATCCGTCCGATCGCTACATCCAAGCAGTATCCACTCTCACGATGCTTTATTTTACCAGGCTGCAGTAAAAAAAGAAGAAGACAAGACTACGTGGTAAACAAAAAAGAGAATACAGTGAAACCTGTATAGAAAGACCACCCGAGAGAGACAAGTAAAGCGGTCTGTATTGATACAATTGTAGGTGGTCTTTAAAGGTAAAGACCAGTTATGGTCATGCGATTGCATTGTGAAAGAAACGTTGTGGAATCGATCACAAAAGGTTGATCATCTAGCATCTAGCATCTGCAAGGTTCTGGAATCATCAAAATGATAAGAAATTTGGTCCATTCTTCGTAAAGTTACAAGCACTATACACAGAAAGATGTATATGGGACTACGCTATATCTCTCACAGCCCATGAGAGAAACAAATTTACCAAATATATGAATTAGTAGGCGGTTTCCCGGCAAATTTTTTATCATCATGTATTAGTCAAAACATATTCTTTCACATGATTGGTAATGAGAGCTTCCATTTCATTTTTTGAAATTGGGGCGTTTCCAATACTGGTCTTTACCTTTAACGGTATTTCGTTTTACACGAACCAATCTTTGTTGATATGCGCAACAGGACTGCCAAAATAATGTAGGGGTAATGCCTCTTACGCATGACGCTTTAAAAATGGAATATGAATACTGTGAAACCCTCCTTCGAGTTCTTGAAGAAGAAAAAAACGGAGAATCATCTTGAAAGAGAAAACGTCAAGATTTAATGTCACAGAGGTGGAAAAGGAGGAATGGACGACCCTGCAAAATTTGATACGAACGAGGAAAACAACAAACTTAATTCAGGTTACGATGATGATGAACTGCGGTCATTATTAACCGACTCGAGGCTGGTTCAGATATGATGCGGTCAACCGCCCCCCCCCCCCCCCCTCAAAAAAAAAAAATCGCCGCCGCCGCCGCAGTTTTCACTTTTATTACACTTTACGTCAGCATTTAAAAAACAAAAAACAAGAAACATACTTGGGTTGCAGAGAACTGCTAGTTTAGTAATAATTATTTTTCTGAGCTTCGCATTGTTCTAATACTTTGAAATAGCGCCCTTCTCAGTAATAATGAGCAGACGACATCCTACCTTGGAATGTATCCATTCTTGTGTTCCCGCCATTCCGTGACATGCTTCGAATGTCACGTGCTGCCCTACTCTGTAGTCTGAGAGATCCAGACACAAATCTTCAAAACGGATCTCAAAATCTTTGGTGAGTAATAACGCCTGTATACATAAAAGAAAATGTTAGAGGAAAACATTTGCCGAGATTCATAATGTGGCAGTTGATCATCTGAGTGGATTCTAAGCCTTTAATTCTGGTTGACAGCACTATCATCACAAATATAATTGTGTGAAAGGTCAGATTGGAACATAATATATAGTTCAAGTTGAATACAGCCAGACAAGTTCTGCACGTATCAAAACTAAATGTCAAGCCGTTATTTCAATAAGTGCCCATTATACTACTATCTGATCAAAACGCATTATGGTACTGTATGTAAAAGAGACTTATAAAATACTTTTCCTTCCTACTAATTGCTTACCCATTGGGACTTTGAGTGGGACACATTTTTGGCATAGAGGTAGGCCAGAATAAATTGGGTTTGAAAGTGGGCACCTGGGTGGTCGTAAGTGTCCACGTCCCGGCCCCCCCACTCAGAGGTCGGAATGACCGCATGCGTGTTGCCAAAATGTCCGGTAAAGGGGTACTTTTCGTGTGACAAAGTCCGGCCCGAGAATTGTAAAAAAAGGGGTGTATTTGACTTTTCACCCGGAGATTTCTTTAAAAAGGGGATGTTTTTCTTTTTTTCTCTCATCTCTTTGGACTCCTGAGAAATTATTCCGAATTTAGGGGGGTACATTGAGCATTTTTCCTGATTTAGGGGGGTCTCCAAGGCAGGAAAAGCACGCGAAAAGCCCGCGAAAGGGGGGTTCGGAAATGTTGGCAGTCCTCAGATAGGGGGTGCTTTCAAAAAAAGGGTACGAGCATATTATGCGTACCCTAAATAACACTGAGTGGGGGGGGGGGGGGGGGGGGGCCGGGGTCCACGTACAAAAGATCATAATTTGCTGACACGAGATTTGGTGGAAATACCATTAGTGGGTGTACAGGTCTAGCACACGGCCAACCCGTAGACCTATCAAGAAATACCCCCTAGTCTCCCAGAGAAAATGTAAGAATGTAAGATAATGACTGTCTTAAAGGTAAAGACCAGTATTGGCAACGCCCCAATTTCAAAAAATGAAATGGAAGCTCTCATTACCAATCATGTGAAAGAATATGTTTTGACTAATACATGATGATAAAAAATTTGCCGGGAAACCGCCTACTAATTCATATATTTGGTAAACTTATTTCTCTCATGGTCTGGTGAGAGAGATAGGGTAGTATTTCTGTGTATAGTGCTTGTAACTTTACGAAGAATGGGCCAAATTTCTTATCATTTTGATGATTCCAGAACCTTGCAGATGCTAGATGCTAGATGATCAACCTTTTCTGATCGATTCCACAACGTTTCTTTCACAATGCAATCGCATGACCATTACTGGTCTTTACCTTTAACCATAATGGGCGATGGGTAGAATACAAAGCATTACAAAAGGTCTGTTTGTCATAAAACTGACTGCCAACATAATTATTAAGGGAACACCTGAATGGTGTCAAATTCCCTATGAGAGGCCATGGCCAACAACCACTATATGCATCTTTAACTTGAGGTAAACAATCCTTACCTGTTTTTCATTGTAATTGCTGCATATGTCTAGGACCAACTTCTTGCCTTCTTCGCTCGGCATGAAACACACATCATGGTTTTGATTATGAACCTGAAAAGGAGCGATATAATTATGATAAAATTATAACTACCTTAAACATATTTATTTCATGATCAATATAATAGGTTCATAGACACCCTCATAATTATAACAATGGTAAAAACTAGACCAGTATATAGTTACTACTCGACAATTTCTACATCAATTTAATTTCGTATAATGAAAACTACCCCGATCCTCCAACCTTGGCTGAGGCCTGAGGGCACCCCCCCCCCGGGGGGGGGGGGGGGGGTACTCACATATTAAGACATACGGTGGTGTGCCGCTCTAATGGGTCACTTTTTCACACAAAAAACCATAAACATGGGTTCCATTATAATCATTAAACATGGGTCTGTTTTTTCAAAATTTCAAAATCTTTGGAAATTGTGAAAAATGGGCCTTTATTTCGAGAAAAATCCCCCCAAATAACCCTAAAAAAATGGGTAGGGGTTTCGAGGCTTAAGTGGCACAGCTCCGTCCAAACCAAATCTGAGTACCCCGCCCCGGGACCCCGCCCCAGGGAAGGGAACTGATGTTAGGGGGAAGAAATGCGTCAAAACCATCAAGTACAGTGGAGGGACGCGTGAGGGAGGGAGGAGGTGGTTGCCTCCCCATCTTCCTTTCCACCTCCACTCACTCTTCTTCTTTCTCCCATCCGATTACGAGGCACACACCTAATTCCTCCTGTTGCCCATCTACGCCATTACAAATTGGGAAACTACCCCCACAGAGATTACCCTCTTGTTCATACTTTCGATACGAGAGGGGTAGTTGGCCGCGAGATCATTGTCCTATCATGAGATAATAATTGTCCTACGGGGCAAATGCCAGTGGGTAATTGTCTGCAGACTAGTGAGAAAATTGTCCTAGGGGCGGTTGTCAGCGGGTAGTTGACTGCAGGTTAATTGGGGAGGGGTCATTCATCAGAGGGTGGTAGTCTAGGCCGCCCCGTTACACAAAGCTTATCTTTGCGATTAGTTGCATTGATCACTTATTGCAATTAATTGCAAAAATCAATCGTATGATCAATTATTGCCGTTGAAGCTTTGAGTGTCTAGTGGATTGTTTTTCCTTGGAATTCGACCATGTGGATAGAAAAATCTTGCATTTCTTCAAATTGTTTACACAATCAGCCAGAGAGTGTTGCATTTCTTAATGTTTATGAGCATGTATAGCGATCTTTTTTGGTTGCTCCTAACGATATGTTAACTTTATTCATGTAGGCTATATGATTATGTCAATATGTTTAATTGTATTGTACTATTTTCTTATATCGTTGAATAAAGATGAAATTGAAATTGTTTTCTAATAATTTATGTTAGAACTACAAGCGTTCTAGAATGGCCTTACCCGACCCCATGCTCTTCTTGCGTTGTTTGCGGTTGCTAGGAGAGACGGTGTCACGTGACTTAGATACCAGTCAAAGCTGTGACAACTCAGACGTGCTCTCAAAGATTTGATCTCCGAAACATCGCCGAAATACCTGTCCTATAACAATAAAAGGTAGAAGCAAAAACGATTCATTATACGTTAACACTGTATTTTTGTAATCAAAAGGCACTTCTTAAAACTGCAAATAAAACGATTAAAAATGACCACCTTGAACAAAATAAGTTTGAGACGTCCATTTCAATATTTCCACTATTTGGCGTCTTTCATAATCGGCTTAAAAGGAGGGATTTGCATAACTTCAAGCTAATTGAATATTCTTCTCTCAACAATAAGCGATATAAAATTGAATCCTGCGTATAGTGATTTAAGGTAAAGGTTTTGTAATAATAACAAAATGCGCCCATGATGGACATTAACATTTTTCTTGAAGTAAGGAGAATAAAAAAAGGCCTCTTATTTTCAAACCGGTAGAATAAATAATCATAATTACAAATTTCCAGACAGTTAAAGATATTCTGCCAGAAATTTCGAGCAGGGGAGGGGAGAGGACTGGGGAGGGGAGGGGAATAGAAGAGATAGTGGAGGGGATGGGAGAGGGTTAAGGAAATGGGGAGGGAGGTGAACAAGGAGGAGGAAAAGGGGAGGGGAAGGGGGGTGAGGGAAGGGAAAGCGGAATGGGAGGAGAAGGGGAAGGATGGGTGAGGGGAAGGGGAAGGGAAGGGAAGGGGATGGGAATCAGGAGGGGAAGGGGTGGGGAATTGGGAGGGGAGGGTTAAGAGAAGGGGGAGGGAGGTGAACGGGAATGGGGAGGGGAAGGGGATGGGAGGGGAAGGGGAGGGGAGGGGAGGGGAAGGGGAGAAGAAAGGGAGGGGAAGGGGAAGGGGTAGAGGAAGGGAGAGGGAAAGGGGAGAGAATGGGAAGGGGTGGGGAATGGGGAGGGGAAGATTAGGGAGGGGAGGGGAGGGGAAGGGGAGAGGAGGGCTAAAGGCATAGTCTACATACTCTGGCATCTGGTACTGCTGAATAGAACTCGTCTTTGTATTCATCCATCCACGTCTCGGCGATCCTGACTAAATTACGCTGATACGATGTCTGGATGGAACCTGGGAACGAGTATGGAGGCACCTGACGAGTCACGTGACCCACCCTGCTACATGGTACTACGTAGACTGAACCACCGCACATCCAGGTCTGACAAATATATTATTTGAAATATATTAGTTAAAAATACATAAAATGACAATAAAATGATATCCATTGAAACCATATAGAGCTAAACATTATTTGTATCCATTTAAGTCATTTAAAACGGTTGGTTGATAAGAAATTAGTCGCGGCCGAATGGCCGTATTGCTGATTCTTTTACAACTAGAATAAATACAATAGATACATCAATTATTAATAATACATTGAAAATGCAACATGTTGCGTATACATGAGGGTAGATAAACAACATAATCCAGGGCATCAATAAAAGCTTATCATAATAAATAAATGCTATATACAGTCTCCGCATTTTCAAACTGGTCGAGGTTATTCCTAGTGATTGGAAACATATCAGCTGAAAATATTAGTTGGAAATATCTGTTGACAATATTTGAAGGATATCAATAATTTGTATCAATTAAAAGCATATCTGTTAAAATGAATGTATAACCATTTACAAAATATATAAGGTGAAAAATATATACTTCTACTGATATATTGTCAACTTATATTGTCAACTATTATTTTTGTTTAAAAAATGATTCAACGATTAGTATATGTATATAGTAAAAATTGCTTTAAATTACCGGCGTAGGCCCTATGAGCTAATTGCTTTAGCGCAAATAATAACGTAATCGAAGGACGCCTCGTGTGCACCGGGCATTACTTTTTCACCTTGAAAGAGAAGTCAAGACCATCTGCTCCCTAACCGTTAAGACCTACGTCAAGAAAACCAACCTTCTCAACGAAATATTGTCAGATCAACATTGTAGGGAACTTTCTAGCCATTCAAGCATGCGTCAAGCTTTCGAACTTCTCAAAGAATGACTTATTAACTCACCTTCATAGAGAAGTCGAGACCATCAGCTCCCCATCCGTCAAGCCCTGCGTCAATGCCACCAATCTTCTCAAAGAATGACTTACTGACGGCAAAGATCCCTCCGTTGGTGAGGGGTGATCTGTCAATTATGAGTTTGAGATCATTCAAATAGAAATATCTTAGTACTGTATGCTACAGGATATAAAATGACACCAATGATGTTACCAAATGTCATAATAGCACTTAAAAGTTTATACCTATACCGCTTATTTAGGTTCTGCAAACTGACATTACCATCATGAATTAGTCATTGATGTGATGGAAAAATATTCAAGTGCTACATAGTTTCTTACATAGTATCTTTAACGCAGTTCAACCATAATTGCTTGGTCTGGATTGAAGTTTAATCTGTAATATTATTCAGGTCTTGCACATTACGCAATAAACAGCATGACAGAAATGAAATTATAAAAAACGACGTAAATGGGGGGGGGGGGGGGATTACAATTAGTGAAAACCTGCAGAATTCCTAGGTGTGGCTTAGGGACTGACCTAACGGGCTCCAGTGGGTTGAGTCTCTCTGCTTTTTCGATCTGACTGAGCGGGATCCGTCGAGTCTCCAGGCTCCATCTGAAGGTGACCCGAGCCAGGGAGCCGTCTTCGAAACCAAACGTCTCGGGGTCGATCTTGTCAATGATCGGCGAAACGACGGTGGTCGGGCCTTGATGAACGAGGTCCAACATCGGCTCCAACCTGACAATGAGTTTACAAAATGATAGAAAGTGTTGCGTCTGTGAATTGATAAGCCACTATGGACTCTAAGATTATTATATGCGCGTGTTATTCTAGAATAAAGTTAATTTGTACAAAACTGTGAAACCCATCGAACGCGATAGCTCAGTTGGTAGAGCAATGGTTTCGTAATCCGGCGACCCGGATTCGAAACCAAGGCGATGCGCTATAGTGCCGTTTGGTATTAAGGCATTAATCCTCATTACCAGGTCTCTCGGAGAGGACCTAAAGCCCTTGGCCCTCTGGTTGCTTACTAACAAGCATTTATGCTTTCTTAGCAGTCAGGTAAAATAACCACCACTACCAGACGATTGCTGGATACAGTCATGTTCATGAAAGTTAAACTAACTTATTGAAATCATCATGCATTTATACACCGACGTTACATGTTAAGATACACAAGTCATGTGGTATTCTTTTGAAGAGGACAAACAAAAGTATTCATAAAGCACCTTCATCAACTTGGCAGTGATTATTCTAAAATGCACAAAGCGGGACTTCTGAACGTTTACAAGATCTGTGAATATTTCTGGGTCATTTGTATATTATAATTGCGATAAATCACCGACTGGTCTATTGGGTTTTTAAAAGCGCGCGATATCAATTAAATTATTAATGTCTGGGGACCGACCTTTAGTGTCATCTTCTAAAAGACGTGACTCAGTTTCGAACTTGGGCCCCGCAAGCGTCAGTGTGTAAGCGAAGTCAGAAGTCAGAAATACCTTTGACGGCCCCGCCAGACTACCTCACATCCAGGGGCGTCGCCAAAGGGGGGGGGGGTGTGGGGGGTGCGACACCCCCCACCTGTCAGGATATTGTCGGTAAAATTGCGCTGCCGTCGGGAAAAAGAGAAAAGGGGGAGGGAAAAAAGAGAGGGAAAAAAGAGAGGGAAAAAAAGAGAGGGAAAAAAAAGAGAGGGAAAAAAGAGAGGGAAAAGGAAAGAAAAGAAAAAAGAAAAGGAAAAGAAAAGAAAGAAAGGAAAAGAAAGGAAAGAAAGAAAAAGAAAGGAAAGAAAAGAGAAGACAAAAGAGTAAAAGGGAAACAAAAGAAACGGGGGATGAAGAAAGGAGAGAGAGGGGAGGTAAGAGTCTGAGAGAGGAGGAGTGGGAGTAAAAGAGAGAAGGGGGTTGTTGGGTGGAGTCGTCTCGTCGAGGGAGCAAGAAAGACACGGGTAAATATGTTGCTGTGTCGGGTCAGCTGTGTCGGTATTCTTCCTCGATCCTCGTGTACTATATCAATGCAGAAGTTTGAAGTCGGTGAGAGGTATATTGTCGGTCGCCGACAAGTTTTTTTTCCCTACGAACTGTGACTTCTTATCAGCTGTGACGACTTCGAGAGTGACTACAACTACAATACTTGTATTTTCTCGAAGTTTCACTTTCCTATAATGTCAGCTAAAGAAATCAGAGGTTTAACATTTTCGGGGAAACTAAATTCAAACAAGGTTTAAGAGTCAACAACGGTACGACGAATCGTCTTCCTTTCTTTATATTGTGATGAAACGCCAAAAAATCCGCGCTTCGCGCGGAAGGAGAAAACTTCATTTAGACGAGTCGAGAATGGTACAACGAATCGTCTTCTTTCTCTAATAATTTAAGGAAACGTCAAAGCTTCCGCGCTTTGCGCGAGAGGGGGAAACTGAATTTAGACAAAATTAATAGGGCTTCTTTAGAGACGAAAACGGTACAACGAATCGTGTTCTTTCTCTAAAAATATGAGGAAACGTCAAAGCTTTCGCGCGAGAGGGGGAAACTGAATTCAGATGAATAGGGCTTAATAACAGTCGAAAACGGTACAATGAATCGTCTTCCTTTCTCTATATAGTGATGAAACGCCAAAAATTCCGCGCTTCGCGCGGAAGGAGAAAACTTCATTTAGACGAGTCGAGAACGGTACAACGAATCGTCTTCTTTCTCTAATAATTTAAGGAAACGTCAAAGCTTCCGCGCTTTGCGCGAGAGGGGGAAACTGAATTCAGACAAATTTAATAGGACATATTTAGAGTTGAAAACGGTACAACGAATCGTGTTCTTTCTCTAATAATTTAAGGAAACGTCAAAGCTTCCGCGCTTCGCGCGAGAGGGGGAAACTGAATTCAGATGAATAGGGCTTATTAAGAGTCGAAAACGGTACGACGAATCGTCTTCTTTCTCTAATAATTTAATGAAACGTCAAAACTTCCGTGCTTCGCGCGGGAGGGGGAAGCTTCATTCAGACAAAGATAAAGAATCGAGAACAGTACACCGAATCGTCTTCTTTCTCTAATAATTTAATGAAACGTCAAAACTTCCGCGCTTCGCGCGGGAGGGGAAGCTTCATTCAGATAAGGATTAAGAGTCGAGAACGGTACACCGAATCGCCTGCTTTTTCTCATAATTTAATGAAACGTCAAAGCTTCCGCGCTTTGCGCGGGAGGGGGGGAACTGAATTCAGAAAAGGACAAACAGTCGAGAACGGTACAGCAAATCGTCTTCTTTTTTATTATAATTTAATGAAACGTCAAAGCTTTCGCGCTTCGCGCGGGAGGGGGGAACTTCATTCAGCCAAGGATTACCAGTCGAAAACGGTACAATTAATCGTCTTCTTTTCCTAATAATTTAAGGAAACGTCTAAGCGTCCGCGCTTCGCGCGGGGGGCCCATCACCCACACCCCCCTAATGAGCGCGCTTTTAGGTGATTCTCTTGCTCACTACCGCCCCTCCCTAAAATAAAATCCTAGCTCCGCGCCTGCATTAAAATATATAGCTATGATGCTGACTAAATTGAAGAAATAATTCGTATATTTATGTCGCCGAGGAAAATGACCATTTTGCGCATATGCAAGTACTATAGATAGTCCATAGGGAAAAACAATTTAGCCTTCGGTCCCAGGTTTATAGGGTTGAATTTGTAGATATTCGACATTTAATTTTGTCGGTAATTGGGGGCTAGTTTTGTCGGTAATCGTTGGCCTCTACACCCCCCCCCCCCACTGAAAAAGGTCTAGCGACGCCCCTGCTCACATCTCCCTAGGATTAAGCCATTAATTACTTATCGTATAATTCATGCACTGTGGAAGTAGTGATTAGGTAATTAATTAAGAGGGTAATGACCTGATAATTAGTCTTATACAGTAACAGGGGAGAATTGTGATGATGTAATGTTTTGCCATCGTGGTTATGTCATATTTTAATTGCTGACTATGATTAATTTAAATAAGAGTGTGATGTATGTATAGCGAGGCCAAGCCCTCTAGAATGGATTGACATTAAGAAACTCTTTATCACTCCAAAGCTTTCAACATCAAAAAAACATTTTAAAAAATCAGCTTTAGTGTTTAAAGGTACTATGTCCCTTTTGCAGGCCAAAAAAATGAAAAGGTTAAATTCCAATGGCATTTGAAAGACAATACTAATTTAGAACCCCCCTTAAAAAATGGGGTTTGAAAATGTCTGTAAGTGGGAAAATAACGACTATTAGTTGTCAATTCGACTTAGGAGCTATAGAGCCAATAAGTAATGGTCTTGATTTTCAGACCGTTGTACCGCATGGTCGGCATGGTCGTACGTTTTATGCTGCGCAAAGATTCAATCAGTTTAATTTTGGCCATTACAAGAAGTGGGTTATTTGATGTAGACGAATCCTTTACAGCTCATTTTATGTATGTTATTACCAAAGAAGAAGAAAAAGCCAGTCAGTCACTCAACACTGACAACAGTGTCTGACAGTGAAGTCTAGCAAGTAAACGGATTTCCTTGCATAATTTGAACATTAGGATACTGCTAACGTTTAAATTTCACAGATAGGACATAGATGACATATTCATAATTCCTGCAAAGTCCTACAAAATTTGATGTTGGCTGCAAAAGGGACATAGTATCTTTAAGATACACTTGAGATCTGGTAATAATAAATTCTCACAGAATCAAACGAAATGTTACACTGAATGTTCCAAAAAATTTTGGTAGAAAATGTATAGTGGCTGAGTAATGAGCATATAGGAAATCCGGCACAGGGCATAATACATTTTTTCCTATACTAAATGTAAGCGTTGGCTATCTTGGGAAATTGTGTTCTCCACTGGCAAACTTAACGACCCACTTTTTTGTCTTTCAAATAAAAGTCGATTAATTTAATGTTTTTACCAATTAAGCTCTATAAAGTTGGTCGCGCATAAAATTGTAGTTATCAAATATTTATGAAAGGCAAACGTTTAAGCTAGTAGTAGTCTTGGAGATCTAAAGTCATTTTTGCAATAACGAATAAATTCACTGCAACCATGCGATGGCATGCAAAACCTCTTTACATTTTTCTGAAGAAAGTTCAAGTCGTAGACCTACATCGCCGGAATATAGAACCTGTTTCTCTCACACGTAACCAATAAGGTAGAATATTCGGTTGATTAAATTCTGTACGTGATGTATTTATCGAACAGACGTTACCCCGGTTAGCACATGTGGGAAACGTGGATTACATTTTCAGAAGTAAATATCGAATCAATCGGCAATTGCAAGATGTGTTTTCCTTGAGTTTTGGGTTTGTATTTATTTTAGATGAAGAACAGGAAACCGAGTGGAAGTGCACATGGTAGATTAAGTCGGTTTTGAAAGGACTGAGGTGATAAAGAAATGCTCGATAATCAGTTTAATAGAGGGAGTTTACGGCTGCACTCCCAGCCCCTCTCATATTTAAAGGGGCACTCCTCCCCTCGACTCTCTTTCCGTGGAATGTTATATCATGTCTACTATTAATATCTCTATCTCTCCCTCTCGATCTTTCTGTCACTTCACTTGTCAAAGTTTCACTCTCTCTTTCACCCTCTCTCTCTCCCTCTCTCTCTCTCTCCCTTACCATGTCTTAATTACTCCCCCTCTCTCTCTCTCTCTCTATCTCTCTCTTCCCTCTTCCCCTTCCACTGTATAGCATATTATATCATAGTCTCTCCCTCTCTCTCTCTCTCTCTCTCTCTCTCTCTCTCCTTATCATTCTCTTTCTTCTCTCTATGTACAGTAAAATAATCAAACTCGCCCTTTTCGCCTCCTTTTTAATTTCTATCAAAGTCCCCTCTGCCCCCTTTCTCCCTGCTCTCCACCCCCTTTCTACCTATCCACTCCTACACCGTCTTCAGAGTCTCCACCCCCTCCATATGACCTCGATAAATCTATCGTTAAAGATAGGATCTGGATCGAATTATTTCTCACACGAATACATCATCAGAAAGTGCACGTGATCAAGAGGGTTTTATGGGTCACAACTTAGAGGTCAAAGCTTCGACAGAGCCATGGTCAAAATCACATAAGGTTTAAAACAAAACAAGCTTTCTTTAGAAGCCAGATGTGCGTTAACTCTGTGTTAAAATGATGTGAGTAAATGTTCTTCTGGCTCCAAACAGACTGTGTTTAATATGGGACCTGTAAAATGTCCAGGTACACGTATATTTAAACGTATTTGGGTGCACTAATGGGAGGGATATCCAGGGGTGCACGCAACCCAGACCCCATCGACCGGCGGAAAAAAAAATCAAGAGAAAAAAGGTAAGAAAAAGAAGGGGGAGGGGATGAATAAAAACAAAATGATAATAGGACCCTCCCCCTCACCTTCCCTTAAACGATGACCTTGGAATTCGCATTTAATTTCATCAACCCAGTAAGACGGGACCCCCCATGATACCAGTGCCCCTTACATCAATGTTTAGAACCAGACCACCCCCACAAGACCCATGGTACATTCAGAAATTCGAACAGTGTTCCATTACTATATTCATAATCATGAATTAATAATGTATTGTTCAAAGTACTTGCTGTAGGGGTTTCAAGTTCAAGTTCAAGTTCAATTTATTTCTCCACAAATGCAAAACATAGGGAGATACATAAAATAAAATACATACATACTTTGTATTGTCAATACAATAATAGAACATGTACATCATATAAAACGACTCCAGTATGAGCAATGTATGTTTTAAAAAGAAAAAAAGTCAGCAAATGTGGAAGGAGTAGTGAAATCAAAAATGATTTGTCGAGGACTACCCCCAGTAATAAAGGCATATATAGTTGTTTATCATAATTATAGCAGTTGCATTCATGGGCGTATCTACGTTAAAAAGTAATGAGCTTGGCATATGCCCCCATCCTGTTTCTATAGCCAGAAATATAACCATGTATGTTTATCACATTGATGCAATGTTTAGATAGCAGTGCCCGAGCGGATTAAAAAATTGAAACAATATAAGTATCGTAATCATCCTGGGGGGGGGGGAGACCCCTACACCGAACCATTTCAGGATAGGCCTATAATAATATTATGGCCTATACATCTATCTTGAACAACATAAATACCATATTATTAAATAGAAACAAGTGATAATAAAGGGCTACCAATACTTTATAACATCCAAAGCATCAATGAGTGACGTCAAGCTGTCAAAGGGGCACGTAATTGCGACATGCTGGTACCAAGACAAATTAGATAATAAATTGCGACAGAACAAGGTAATGCATAGAGTGAGTGGAGCGTGTGGGAGAGGTACTATCGTCTTATTCCACGTTGTCCTTCGCATTCCCCCCCCCCCGTCCCCCTCCCCCTCCCCTTTCGCACTCTCGCTTCCCCTTTTCTTTCTACCCCCCCCCCCTTCTCCAGTCGACCCATAACTTCACGACTGGTCCATTTTAGCAATTTTTCCAAAGAAGTCTCTTCAAATTGAAGAACATTCAACAAATACCTCAGGAAGTCGGATCATTCTTCATGCTCCTTATTTGTTTTCGTCCAGCTCTCAAAACATACCCGGTTTCCTCTCAGACTATTTTTCTATCGGGTTCATTAAACATATACTTCCCTGGAATTAATGTGATCGAGACATTAAAGGTAAAGACCAGTATTGGAAACGCCCCAATTTCAAAAAATGAAATGGAAGCTCTCATTACCAATCATGTGAAAGAATATGTTTTGACTAATACATGATGATAAAAAATTTGCCGGGAAACCGCCTTCTAATTCATATATTTGGTAAATTTGTTTCTCTCATGGTCTGTGAGAGATACAGGGTAGTCCCATATCTTTCTGTGTATAGTCCTTGTAACTTTACGAAGAATGGGCCAAATTTCTTATCATTTTGATGATTCCAGAACCTTGCAGATGCTAGATGCTAGATTGTCAACCTTTTCTGATCGATTCCACAACGTACTTTCTTTCACAATGCAATCGCAGGACCATAACTGGTCTTTACCTTTAAAACAGTCACTTTGTAGTACTGCAAGCTCATGTTTGGAACACATGTCATTTTGTTTGTTGGGCAAGATTTTCATTACTTTATGCCCATTACACTCTTTCATAACGGATATAAGATCTATCCTGATGTTAAATGGATTTCCGGGGGAGGGTCGTCTCCGATTAAGATTGCTTACAGGTTATAATTAAGTACAGTGACATGTCCAGAAACTGATTTACAGGGGCGTAAGTGAACTGCATGTAAGATCAACTGCTGACTTCTCAGGAAAAGTAGTCCCCGAAAGTACATGTAGTAGTTTTAATATTGATCAGGCAACCTCGGTAAATAAATCCACATCATTATTTTAATGATTTCCTCCCTGAATTGTCAAACGGGGATGGGGTGGGTGTATCATTATATCTCTGTAAATCTCCGCTGGTTGCACCACTATAAAAAAAATGGAAACTAATTTTCGGATAACGGAAAAAGCTATTTAGTCCTGGGAGCAATACACCACTAATTAAAACAGTCCCAACGATGTATACGAGCCAAGACGATGCACTTTCCAAATTTTGAAGTCCGTTGGGAAAGGGGATGTGCAAAACGAAAGTTCTTTTATTGGGTAAATGGAAACATAGCATGCCTTTTAGCCGGACGCTTATTTCATTAAAAAATGTTCCTAATAATAGTCATGTCTCAAGAAGAGGCTTTCTTGTCTTGGTGTGGATACGTTTATATCATATTTACTTTTCACCACTGACATACTTACAACAAGAGGTCTTCGTAGACTGACATTTTCTCATGGAGCATTTTCATTTCCATTGGTTTAAATAGAAAATGTCATATAGACTGTTTTCCATAAAGTCGGTAATTTGGTATATTTTTTTTCTTACCTTTTTCATTAAATAATTGTGACAATATGTTTTATTCTTGATCTATTAGGTTTATATCTCATCAGAACTTTATTTATCAATCTCTGTGTTTCTTTTTAATCAAGAATAAAGGATATTGTCACAACCACTTCATGAAAAGAGGCTACTATACTCATAACGATAGGAAACATGGGAGATCTACACGATAAAATTAAGGATATGCATGGATACATTAAAGAGGAAAACGTGTAAAGGATTTTCAAAGTGAGTTCAGATGTGAACAGGGGGGGGGGGGGAATCTTGGGTCTTTGCACTATAGATTCATCACAGCTAGCTCGGAGAAACAAAGTTTCTGGAATCGTCCACTTACCAATGGGTGTTCACTTCGCAGTGCGCATCCAGAAACACGAGAACCTCTCCGCGTGCCTCTCTGGCCCCTCTCATTTTCGCCCTGGCCACCCCTTCCCTGTGCGTTGTATGAACCAACCTCACTTTGCCCCGTACCGATTTCGGAATGTTCAGGAGTTTTTTCTTCAGGTCCTCTGAAAGAAAATGTATCATAGAAATAAATTTAAACATGAAGAAATATAATCAAATTACGAAATCAGAAAATGTACTGTGTCATGTAGGGATATTGAAGCATAGTATATAATTTATATTAAAAAAAGACAGAAGAGAATTAAAAAAATCGAAAGTTAGAAGAAGAAATTTTAGGCGGAGGGAGTGAAGAAAAGGAGTGAAGTAAAGGCGAAGTAAGATAGGGAAATAAAAGATATGCTTTTTTCTATACAGCCTATTTTATTATTACTTGTGCGCCTTGTGCATTCAATTGTCAAGCCTTATTGGATTTTATGGATGCACCATTTTCCATTTGAACTAGGGTTTACACTTTAATATTTTAAAAATATATTTTGAATGTTAACTGGTGGGATGACGAAAGCCTTTGTGTTAGTGATTGCCATATGTCCTCACGGTGATCATATGGTAGGAATACTCCCCAGGGAGTGGAGATGGTGCATATTGTGAATGAATAAATCCGCTGACCGGGGTAATAATATATGTAAAGCGCATAATTCGTATCAAGCGCCATATTAAACCAGATTCTAATGTTTTATGCCAGTTTATATGTAATTTTGATATATTTCTATCTGTTATGATATTCCAACTCTTTATCTTTGTATAGAATTATTGTGATGATCATGGAAATAAATGTCAATTCAATTCAATTCAATTCAAATGTATTATCTACTACACGATTGCTATGCGCAAGCACAAAACATTCCCCAACAAATGACCCGGTTACCTTATTATGTAAGTGCAACTTTATCTACCGTTTGCACTTCCAGTGGATTTCCTGCTTTTCCTCTGTAATGAATGCAAACACAAACTGGGCAAGACTGGAAAAATGTCTCGCAATCGACGATTGATTTGGATATTAGGTTTCAGGGGCGGATCTGGGGGGGGGGGGTGTTTCGGCGGTTTACCCCCCCCCCCCCCCCCCATGGGCGGCCAAGTGAAAAAGAAAAAAAGTAAAACAGTAAAGCGGCGCGATTTTTGGATTTTTTTGGTCACCACCCCCCCCCCCCCCTTGGCAAAAAGCTAGATCCGCCCCCGGGTTTCAAGTACAAAAACGAAGGAGCAAGTTTAATATGGCAGGTATAAAGTTATCACGATCCTGATCAATCCAATTCAAAATGTATTTCATAGATCTCCCGCTTCATGGCTCCACGTGTCTGGGCAACAGAATAATGTTTACGAAACCAGTCTTAATCACTAAGCAGCAAATGCAACTGAGACTTCTATGGGTCCAAAATGAAAAGTATTGATGTAGACAGTGTACTTTCCATATTTTACATTACACAATAATCTTGCAGGCAGAGAAAGAGAGAGAGAGAGAGAGATAGAGAGAGAGGGGGGGGGGGGAGAGACAGACGGAATAAGATGGAGAACACCGTGAATAAAAGAAAGTAAAAATAAAGGAAACAGAGAAGAAGAAGAAAAGAAGAGAAGATGAAGATTTGATTTGATTTGATAAGGTTTTTATTCGAATATTCAACAATACAGCTGGAGGCTGATGCAAGTGAATTTACAAGGTAAAAATAATTCCATAGACATAAAAATATAATTATATGCTTTAACACTTTTAAATGAATCCATATATAAACAGTACATAGTACATAAATCATAAAGATGAAGAAGAAGAAGAAGAAAAAGAAGAAGAAGAAGAAGAAGAAGAAGAAGAAGAAGAAGAAGAAGAAGAAGAAGAAGAAGAAGAAGAAGAAGAAGAAGAAGAAGAGAAGAAAGAGGAGGACAAAGAAAAGGAGGAGAAGGGGAGGAATAGTAGGAGAAGAGGGAGGATAAGAGGAAGAAGGAGAAAGAAATCAGACAAAGTAGAAGAAGAATAAGATTGGGCTGAAGAAGAAGGGGGAGGAGAAAGAAGAGGAGGTAGAGGAGGAGAAGGGGAGGGCGAAGGAGAAGAAAAAGAGTAAAAATTTCAGTCCGACATTAAAGTGGATGAAGAGAAGTTGAATTTGCAGAGTCTCAAACTAAAACCTAGACTATTCTGCACTAGCGAATTTAAAGGAGGGGTAGGGGGAGGAGGGGCCCACCCTGTAACAAAAAGAAAATGCATTTAGATAGGAGAGAGAGAGGGGGAGAGAGAGAGGGGGGAGAGAGAGAGAGAGATTAAATGGATTATGGGGAAAAGAAACTTGAAATTAAAGACGATTTGTCCCACTCCCACACAGCCTACCATAATCGATGGTCTTGTTTTCTCGCGTGTCATTCAACGAATACGACCAGAGCCCCCCCCCCATGCTGTAAGTGCCCCCTCCATGATGGCTGGATCATAGGACTGGACCATCGCTATAATTAAGTCACTGCATTCTTAGACCTTTCTGGATTTTCTGGATTTTCTGCACTGACATAGCTTGAGATCAACTTGTCAAGTGGGTATTTTTAGGTATAACATTTTTTAACAAGATAATCTCACCGCATATCATATTTGGGGAGAGAGATGATTTATTCCTATCTTTCATACTGTACCAGGGTCCCTGATCTCACTTTATGTACTTTCATGATAGTCTTACATTGTCACTATGATAATAAAAAGTCAAAATTTTGCTCTCTTGCTTCGTTCCCTCGCAAATCTTCAAAACTGTAAAATTGATCATTGGTATAGGCGCATGGCATCAGGCCTCTGACGTAAATTAGTTATGGGTGCCATTGTCGACAAGAAATTGTGTGTGTGTGTCTGTGGGGGGGGGGGGGGTGAGTTTTATATAATTAATGTGTCTGACAAGGAAATATTTGTGGGCGTAATGTTTTTCTGGAAAGCTATTGTTTCTAAAGACAAATTGGAAATCCGGTTGTTTTCATTTTAAACATTTATATTTGTCTGAACTACTTCAAAGCCATACATTACCCACGTAAAACATTTTTTTTTTAAAGTAGTCTGCAAACGACTTCAATAAAGACGAAAATAACGGAAATATGAAACCCATGACACTGCGTCTGGTATCAGACATTTGCAGTTATAGCTGCTGCTTCCCAGTATTAATTCAGAGTAGTGAAACTGAATATAATTATTGTGATATGAAAGATAATTTTAGAGAGAAGTGACAGCTTTGGTTAGTGTTCATTAGTTTTTTTTTTCGGACTGCTTGGTCTTATTATAGACCTATTCGTATTTGTTTTCAATTATAGCTGATAGATAAGCAACATTTTTAAATCTGGAAATTATTATTAGACATGAAAAGAAAAAGACACTTCAAAACTATCATGTTTTTGAGGGGGTCAAACGCTAAAATGAATATTAATAAATGATTATAATTATATCTAGGATATGATGTATTATTCAACGCATTTCCAGTATCAACTTTTAGTAACTGAAGGGGGGAAAGGCGATTACCACAACCCCGGCCATTTTTACCATTAGAGCCTCTAACGATTCTGAAACACAGCCTCCAAAACCAGGGAGATGGGAGGGACCCTGCCAAAAATATACCTGCATCTCTACAAGTATCCCATCCTCTCAGTGTCTTCATCAATTTCAAGACACATTCTTGGAGAAGATACTGGCCCTTGTTGCCAAGAAATTATGACAATCTAGGGGGCAGTTCCGATCAGCAGGGCCTATAGAATGCGCTTCAGCCAAGTTCTTATCTAGTGTCTTCAGATATTATGACAGTATGACGTTTACTGGCATTCAAGTGCAAAGAAGGTCCTTCTAAAGTAAACATAAACAAATATAATAACACCACAACAACAACAAAAAACACGACCAGCCTCCCCCAATAAAACAGCGAGCTAAAACGAATATGATTTAAACAAATTAAAGACGCGCTGATATAATGACAGCTATGGGGCTGTATACACAATAAAATCATCATCATCATCATCATCGTCATCGTCATCAACCACACAACAACGACAGCAACAACAACACAAATAGGGGCCTGGATATTAACAGGGCAAGACAAGAGACAAGATTTGAGTTCTTTCGTGTAAACGCATAGGACAAAACAACAACAGCACACCAATAACAACAACAACAACAAAACATGAACAAGAACATTAACACTCATGAGTAAACTTGGAGCCCAATATTTACACACCAACACATATTAGAGATCCTTCGTATACAGTAAAGCTTCTTAAATTGTTAGAGAGGCTAATATATCTGTTATTAGGCGGATTGAGACACAATTTTCCCGATCCAACATGAATTATCGAGATAATACATGTATAGTTATCTAGATAATTCACCTGCGTAGGTGACAAACAGGTGAAAGACATGCTACGAATTATCTAGATAAATCTTATCCAGATAATTGGCTCTGTGTGACACCACCTATTTAATCACATCATGAATCCTTCACGACGTTCATGTGGAAATACTTGATCAGCTAGGAACATGATCTTGAACTTGGAATCAGTAGCACTCATGGGTAATCGATCGTGTGTAATTACGGAGGCGCATCTGGGACCAGTTTAGGTCACTGGGATGTTATTTGTTTCGATGACTCAAGCAGATTGGGCCTGAAAGTTTCTTATAATACTTCGTGACTATATCATGCACGTCGTATAGACTTTTTAGTTGTAGAGAAAAGTCAAAGCAAGTTCATCTAGTTCCCATTAATTAACCCTTTCCTATCTTTGGTCGATTAAGGAACAAGCAAGGGGTTGCTACAATCGACTTTAGCCACACGTATATTATGCACGATAATCCAAACCGTAGGGAATTCTAAATTTCTAGCCACGGTGATTAACGAATTAACAAGTTTAACAACTTCATCTTAACATTAGAACATAAAAATTATGGTTATGTGCATATCTTGTACATGTACATTAAAATGGTATGCAGATGTATGTCTGAATATCTTTTTAAAGCCATAAACTGTACAATCAACAACAGTACTCTTCCTTGTTTCATTATATTCAAGTATTCAGATCTACTTTTGAATGTCGTTTTAAAACAATTACTGCTCAATCAACAGTACTATTCCTTGTTGTATTTATTCATGTATCATTATTATTCTTTGCATGGTGTGATTGTTCATAATACTGTCATTATTGTGAAGTATCGTGTCAATAAATTTAATTCCATTCAATACACACGTTGCAATGCTTGCTCAAGTGCATGGACGGATGTAATTAGAGGCACCACGTTATTCCGCTCGCCAAACCAAATCTTCATTATTTTAGATAAGAGTTCTGCGACAGATCCTACTTTAATAAATGACTATAGTGCGACAGTTACATTTGGATGTGATGTTGACCCTTTTTCTAAACGATATTGTCCAAACAATTCTGGAGAAATTGTTCAGCAATAAAATCTTCCAAATTTGTTAATACACACCGTGTACTCGTGCACTCCGCGCATGGTTTAAAATACCAGCGTAGGCATATATTTCATCGATGGAGAGAGAGAGAGAGAGAGAGAGAGAGAGAGAGAAAGGGGGGGGGCAGAAATAGAGGGACGGGGAGACACGTCCTTAACTATTCAGAGAAGAAGAAAAACGAGGAATAAAAAAAGGTACATGTATAAAGTAGATATTGAAGAAAAGAAACAACCTTAAAGGGCTGTGAAAAAAGGCATTAGAGGGGAATTCTAAGTGGGTTATGGTGAGCTTGGAGTAAGGGCCGGGTGGGGTGGTGAACGGCGAAAACGAGAAGGGAAACCGGTCGAACTATTAACCTCCTAAATCCGTTCAGACGTTCAAATGGTACACAATCTTCTTTCCAGTCGCCATCCGAACGAACTTTATTAGCTTGATGACGAGGTACGGTATAAAGAAATCCCCGGCAGCTGACGGTACTTACACAGATGGCAAATAATTATGTGCTGGCCCTAAAATGAAAATATGTTATTATCCTTCACTATGCCTTCCTTCCAAGGAATCCTTCCTCGTGTATGTTTATAGACATGACTGAGAGGTATTGGGCCAGCTGCCATGCTAGTTTCGTCCCCGCTGATAAACCGTGATATATTATAACACGAGAGGAAACCCGAAGGGTGAAAAGGGAAAGAGAACCAGTTCAAGCTGTCGGAGTTTCGCATACAATACACAGTAAAAACGCTGCTTAAAAAAGTGATGTTCACTTACAGTTGTACACTATCTTAAACAACAGTTGAACAAATTGTAAACAATGTTGCTCGAAACGAAAGTAATTTTGTTAAACATTCGCTGTTTAAAATTTAATGACTGCTTTATTTACTATACGAGAGCTTTTAGACAGTGTTGTTTACATATGACGTCATGTGTCACGTGCCAGTAAAGTGCGCGTTGGCTAAAAGATTTGTTTCAAATCATGGCCAACCAAGCTGTAGACGTGTCGTGGATGAGTGGAAACGTCGCCGGACTGTCGATCACAAGGTCCACGGTTCGAGTCCCGCCGCGGAACTAATGTCCTATGGCAGCCTAGCATAGCCGGGTAATGTTGGAGCACCTTGAGGACCTTGCAAGGTCGATACGTGCGCTATATAAGAATCAAATATTATTATTATTATTTAACAACAGCTCCTTTTTAAACAACTTTCTTTAAACAACCCAGTTGGTGTAAACAACCCCCACTGAACAACAGCTCCTTTTTAAACAACCCAGTTGGTGTAAACAACCCCCACTGAACAACAGCTCCGTTTTAAACAACCGTCTTTAAACAACACCAGTTGTTTAAATTGTGATTTTAAACAAGTTGTTCAAAATGTTGATCAACTAAGTGTTTAAACTTTAAACATCTCGAGTTGCTTAACATTTTAAACAACTCTTAGATCAGGTCACCCGTTAATCAACAGTTGTTTAAACTTTTAAACAACATGTTCACTAAATTTTTAACTGTGCAGCATGCATGTTGATACATCAAGCTAGATATTGTATTCAAAATGACATAGCATTTATTTGAAGATCGAGGAAGGGTGCTGGAGGGCACATCGCCACCCCACCCCGAAATCTGTCTATGTTGATATGAACACACGTGTGCCCCCATTGGCCAATTTGAGAAACATGGCTCTCATCTTTTTTTAATAATCTAAATTTAGTACGCACACACTGACAATACTATTACGTAATATCACTGGAAACTTTTTAACAGATACAATATTTAAGGAATAACAAAGACTTTCAGAAATTAAATCAAGGGTAACTTATTTTAACCCCTTTTTGTATATCTTATAGAAATCATGTTTACATTAAATAATACGTCTTCACGTTCATTGAAACGCTCGTACAATTTTCAAGGATGGGCGATGTCAAGGCTATCAAAATTGCCTGTGTTTGATTTTTTTTCTCTAAAATCTTTGCGTTATAATAAAAGGTTTTTACATCCATCTCATATTTATCAATCACAATATGTTTTCCAGTACTATATCATGACAGTTAGTAACTGATAAATCACTGAAATGAGAATTTACCATCAGTGCTCGCGTCGTCGACGAGTACGACTTCGGTAAGGATGTCGCGTGGTGTACGATTGACGACGCTGTGCACCGTCCTCATGAGCGTCGACCACGCCTCGTTGTGGAAGGCGATGATCACGCTGGCTGTGGGAAACTTGGAGAACCGGTATGTGATGTCCTGGCACCTGTAATAATCATGGAAATCGTGAAAAAATCAATTCAAATCATGTTTTTGTTTACGTTGCCTCATTTACCTTTCAAAGTCGTCAATGGTAGTAATGCTGTTAATCGTTATCCAAATCATAAACTATAATCATGACATAAACGTTGATTTAAATGTGTTGAAGAAAAGGTGGAAAATAGTTTACTGCATGGTTTAAGTTTTAATAACAGTTAACTTACCTCGTGCTGACATGTACATTTTAAACAACAAAGAGAGTGTCCATGCACTTTAATTTTTTGTTTTACTGAGTGTATAATAAAAACAATACTACTTCTAATTCTATTAATATGAATGATAACAGTAAGTTATAAAAATAATAATAATAATAACAACAACCAAAACAATAATGATATTAACAACTATAATAATATAATGATGATGATGATGATGATGAAGATGATGATGAGGATGACAATAATGATAATGAAGATGATGATGGTGATAATGATAATGAAGATGATGATTATGATATGGTGATGATGGTGATAATGGTGATGATAATGATGATAATGATGATAATGAAGATGATGATACTAATGATGATGATAATGAAGATGATAATAATGATGATGGTGATGATGATTTTAATGAGGATAATGAAGATGTGATAATGATGATGATAATGATGATGATAATAATGATGAAGATGATTATGATGACAATAATGATGATAATAATGATGATAATAATGACGACGACGATGATGATGATGATGACGAAGATAATAATTAAAATAATAACCTTGAATCTCTTGTGTCCTTGACGGTTCTCTCCAAAGATATCTTATCACTGACCACCAGGTTGAAATTATGCTGGTCTCTGCTCTTCTTGGCCTTCTCCATATCCTTGCCCGACAATATCAACGGTTGGCCCCCTTCCCCTGGACCAAAACGGGGGATATCCTTGTCCAGTTGGCCCAGGACCGAGTCAAGGTCCTCGTCGTTACCGTCCAACTTTCTTGTTAGTCCACCTCCTCGCGTATCGTGGACATTGTGCGGGTGGATGACAGGCGGTCCGACCGCTGCTATGTCGGCAACCATGGCCTGTTTGATATTCCCCATAATCTGCTTGTTCTCATGATGTATGAAGAAGAGGAGAAAGGCGAGGGAAAGCCAAGCCGTCCCAGAGATGACCACCGTAAAATATACCCGAGGCATTTTGGACGATCGAGTTCTTCAGAAAGAAAATGTAAACGCGCGAAATGTATGGCGAGACTCCTAAACAACACTGGTGAATACCATTTCTAGAGACGTTACTGTGCAGATTGTATACGGCTATAAAGGTACCAGCATATCAATGTTGGGTGTAATGGATAGTATGAGCAGTTTTTTTTTTACTCGCTAACATAAAAATATGCAAAGGAAACCATACACGTTCACGAAGTCCTTCCAAACAGGAAACGAGCAGAATGTTAATATTTTGGCGGCATCCACACTGTATTAATATTTTCGGTCTGACGATGACGCTTAATGCGCTTGCGCTGAAAGTTTACTATGAAAGCATCAGTTTGCCATCAAAAGTGGCTAGCCAAAATGATGATAGTTGATACGCTCCTGGTATTGAAAATTCGGTCTTGCAGAGATGAGTTTCGTCCATGAAACAGTTAAAGTTTCAAATGTAATGCACAGTACTTCTCGACTCAACATCAAAGTTTCCATGCAGGCAATAATTATTGAAATGCTAGTTGTCTCAGGTCAGATTTCACTGGCCATTAAAAATGTACAGTTCATATTCAATGAGCTCTGTTCGCGTGTTATAATCTATGCAAGATGAGGAAATCTGGAGAAGATGATGGTGGTGGTAAGAGCGACCACTAAACAAAACTCGATTTCTATGAAAAAGCATCCAGCAGCAGCATGCAGGCATCAAACATGGACCCTACATCGACACACTCACACCGTTCCTCTATACTCGGCCTCACTAAAAGTCAGCGAAAGTAAACGAAACTGTCAAAATTCATCCTCGGTCTCTTCACTTGAATCTGGTCCAAATTTGGCCCAGATGTAGATCGATAAGCCAGACTAGAGCTATAGGTTCAGACTGGAGTTTGATCAACTTGGACTTGATCAAGGTGCATGATGGTGAGGTATACCACGAAGTCTTCAGCAGGAATGAACCATGCGTGTGGTGTGCCCATGGGATTATGTGAAACAGGTGATAAAAGGAGTATTCGTCATTAGCTGTAGCTCTCTCTCTCTCTCCCCCTCTCTCTCTCTCTCTCTCTCTCTCTCTCTCCCTCTCTTAATGTTCCTTACCCGGCTTCCCCCTCTTGGTGTTTGTATAAGACCCATACGTGCATGTCTATCCAACAGGAAACTTATTATGAAACATTATTTTGATGAGCAAATTCGATGGTTTAGATATTTGTTTCTCTCTCTCTCTCTTTCCTCTTCATCCCTTCCCTCTTTCTTCTTCCCGCCTCTATCCTTCCCTATGTCACTGCCTATCTTTTTTTTTTAGCCCCCTGCTCCCCAGTCTCCCTTTTTGCCTCTCTCTCTCTCTCTCTCTTTCCCTCTTTATCTCTCTCTCTGTCTCTCTCTGTCTCTTTCTCCCCCTTCCTCTCTGTCTTAACTCTTTTCACTATGTCTCTGTCTCTTTGTATCTCTCTGTCTCTGTCTGTCTTTGTCTCTGTCTTGCTCTCTATCTCTCTTTCTCCTCCCTCTCTGCCCTCTCTCTCTCTCTCTCTCTCTCTCCTCTCTCTCTCTCTCTCTCTCTCTCTCTCTCTCTCTCTCTCCTTCTCTCTCTCACCCTCTCGTCCCGATCCACCGTTCTCTGGTATTGGTTTTAGGGCGGATTTATAGGTCGCGGTGCTGCATGACCTTCATGTGTACAGAGGTAATGCTGTCTAGGAAAAGGGGGCGTGGCACTATTCCCAGGAAACAAGAGCATATGCTTTCGGAAGAGTGGTAGAAAACCTAGATAAATAAAAGTAGATAGATAGATAGAGGAAATATGAGGTAGAAATGAGTAGAGACAGAATAGATACTTTTGAGAGAGTGACAGATAGAGAAATTTTAGAAAGTAATGTGTGAGACAAAAAAATCAAGACAGAGGAGATAGAAAGAGAGTGACAGAGAGGGTACACTGTGTGTAGAGAGAGAGAGAGAGGGGGAGGGGGAGAGAGAGAGAGAGAGAGAGAGAGAGAGGGAGGAGAGAGAGAGAGAGAGAGAGAGGAGAGAGAGAGAGAGAGAGTGAGAGAGAGAGAGAGAGAGAGAGAGAAAGAAGGAGGGATCAAGATAGAAACAAATAGGGAGAGGGGTGGGGAGGAACAAAACTAGAGAGATAGAAAACGAGAAGAGAGAAATAGAGAAAGAGATATATGGCTGGAAAAAGAAAGAGATACTAGCGCCCTCAGTGTGCCGATGGGGTATATTATCAAACTAAATTTCACAATCACTGCTCTACCATAGGCCAAAAAACATCCTTTTTTTTTTCGTTTCACTTCCTCAGCCAACTAAAAGACTCTTGTCAGGCACAGTCATTTTCCCTTACAAATCACTACTTTGTGATGGTTTGATTCACCTGACTGCTAAGAAAGCGTGTATATGCTTGTTAGCAACCAGGGACCGACGGCTTTAAGTCCATTCCAAGGGACTTAGTAATGAGGATTGATGCCTTGGGGGGGGGGGGGGGGGGGGGGGGGGGGGGGGGGGGGGGGTAAGCGGACACTTTTTTTTTTTTTTGGTCTCAAAATTTCAAAATTGACATTTTTTACGTATGGGGGGGGGGGGTAAGGTCACCTTATTTAGGTTAGCCGTGGGTATAATTTTTTTTTTTTTTTTTTTTTTTTTTTTTAAATAAAAAAAAAAAAAAAAAAGCCAAAGGGGGGGGGGGGGGGGGGGGGGGTTTTAAGGTTTTTTTAGGGGGGTTTACATACATGAAAATACCAAAGGGGGGGGGTTTGAACCCCCAAAACACCCCCCTGCGTACGCCCCTGCCACTCTCCACCAAGGTGTTAATGGGTTTCTGATAATGCTTGAGCGCTAGTTACTTTGGCAGCTCGGCTACAAGTCAACCAGGGTAATATGTACAGCGCCATCAGCGTCAGAGAAAGGCGGATACCGGCGCCATATAAATCACTGATCTCTACGGAAAATCAGTGCATATAAATATAAATCATAATTATGTCCATAATATTATTTTTCTGAAACCACTGCTCATGAGGATGAGGATCCAACGTTAGAATTATTTTTAGTTTGGGATGGTTCTTACATTGTTTCACTTTCTATGTGCATTTCCGTTTCTCTCATCTAGCTTGCCATAAAAAAAATTGGTTTGGAAATCAGAGATATTCGTACGTGTGAAGTTTTTAATGTTTGTTTCCGTGTGCCACCTTATAATATTATTACTCTAGGACGCTGCTCACATGTGCTTTGCTTTAGTAGGGTATCCCACCATTTTATGCTATTTTTTCTTGATGTAGGTCTGCTTTATGAATGTAAATATTTTGTATTTTTTAAATGGAAATAATTAAATTGAATGAAATTATAAATCATCATAGTCTAAATGCTCGCACAGTTTTGACAATTATGAAGAAAGGATACATCATTGTCAGTTGGGTTATCGTTAATATCTTTATTATCAATCATATACTATTCATATTGTCAACTTTACAATAATTCATCCTAGATAACCACATGATATACATAGTACATGTTAATGTGAACCCAAACTTCACACCTAAATAATTATAAAATATAAACTCTGTCACAAAAAAGGACTATTACATAGTACATACATTTGAAGGGTTTAAACAGTTCTCCGGTTACAAGTAATTAGACGATTTTCGTAATCAAATTCAATGCACGAATCTTTGTTCCCTGCCATGTTGCTAATTGATTCATTAACCTGTAATGAAAATTGTATTCAATAGTCAGAATACGAGTTGCATACATTAATTGTGCTAGGTAGGACAAACATCATGGCTTGCCCTACCTAGCAACACATAATGCATGCGATTTGCATTCTAACTATCGAAATACAATAATACATTACAGATGAATGTAACAATGTGTAACATGGCACTGAACACAGATTTGTGCAGCGAATTTGATTACATTACAAAAATGATCATTGGCAAAAAAATTGTATCATTTTCTGAGAGCAGAATGGCATTAACCCTTTACAGTTTCCAAGTTTCAAGTTAATGCCCTTCTAGCTCCATAAAGACAGCAATAATAATAGAGAGTTAATTTTGTCTGGCTTTGAACAGGTGTTAAATATCTTCTTGTTTTCAAGCAAGTAAACGGGAAGAATTGTTATGATATAGCAAGAAAACGTAGGAGAGAAACTATCTCCAAAGCAAATACATGCATAAAACGAAATACAAATTAATCTAAACAATATGCTGACAAAGTTAATATGCACCTTTGACTGTTGTCAATAAATGCATAGATTCCTATAAAATAAATATATATCAATGAGGCATTGCAATTTGCAAAAGCAAACATGAATATCGAGATACCTAAGTTTTGTCCAAGCGAAAGAGCAGTAGAATTATAGAAAGGTTAAGCACACAAAAATAATTATTTCTTCCACAACCAAGTTTGCATTAGCAGTTGCCTTTCATTTTAAAGATTTAAAAAAATGTGGCTGCTGTTTTGTGGCGGTTTACGGCGTCCTATTTGAACGAGCCGTAACGGATTGAATACAAACAACTGCATTGCACCTCCAACATATAATTGCATTGTATGATAGACAATATTAACACGAGAACAGTACCTTATTTACAATAGTAGAAAATATAATACTGAGTACCATTCAGCATTCGTCACTTTAATAACAGTGAGAGAGAAAGCCCTTGGAATAGGAAATACCATGTGTTAATATCGAAAGCACGATTCAAGATATGTTGACTAGCTTTCACATAGGAGTACTTCTAGCTATTGTTTAGAGATTTTGACGATGCATTACGAGTGCAGAAAATAATAATATATTGCAGCACAGTTTGCGTAGTTACTATTGCTTCTGCATAGTAATTGTCCACTGCATTGTGTAAAACAAAACAAACAACAAAGAAGAAAAAAGAAGAAAAACAAAACAAACAAGAAAAAAACTCTATAGGTCCAAATGGTACAGTATGATAATTATCATGTCTGCATTGATTGTGAAATGCCATGTGTAAACCAAACGCCCCCACCCCCAAAAAACAACAACAACATACAGCCAAAAATTAAAGAAGAAAAAAGAAGAAGAGAAAGTTAGTTACCGTAATTAACGTTGTATAACTTTTGTTGTCGGCAGCAAGCCAGGTCCGTGTTAAAAAAACCCACACGGGAAGGCCTTTCATTTAACTGCGAGGTGCAGCTGAATGTGTAAGATCATTAATGTAAATTAAAAAACAGTACAGGACCTAGGATAGAACCTTGTGGTACACCGAGTGTAGGAATCATTATTATAAACTACATATTGAGATCAGAAAGATTACTTTCAAACCAAGATGACCCAGACAAATTTGAGTGTTGTTCTAGTTTCCTAGTAGTGAGTCAACACACCGATTACTGAGCTGGGAGACATTGCCAGGCATAGCGCCAGGTGGAGGGGCATAAATCGAAACTTTAAAAACTTTTGGTGTACCGTGTATAAACCGCACCCCCCCCCCCCGACTTTGAATTTTTTTCGGCGGCAAAAAGGTGCGGTTTATACACCGTTAATTACGGTAGTATTAGGTCTAACTGGTACAATTTGATTATTCCCCCCCCAAAAAAAAAATAAATAAATAAAAAAATAAATAAATAATAATAATAATAATAAATTTTAAAAATACACCCAAAAATGGAAGGAAAAAAAATAAGAAGAGAAAGTTAGTTAGTATTAGGATTATTCCATTGTCTGCTTTCACAAATTATAGACCCTGTCCAGTACTGGATACTCCAAGTGATCAGGGTTATTTGCAATAGTATTTGTTACAACTCTGCCATGCATCATTCACATAAAATCTAACAGAACCGAAAGGCCTAGAACCGAGGACATATGCAAGTTGTGCCGAGTTGTTAAAATACATGTACTTAGGAAATATAGTTGGGGGGGGGGGGGGTGATCGTGTATCTAGGCCCAAAGACATCAATAATCTCCTCACTCGCATCGCTGTTTCCTTTTTTTAGCCTTTAATTTGTACCTTTTTTGAAGTATACTTAAACTTGCAGTATCTTTGTACAGAAGTAATATACCAATCTAATTTTTTATTTATATACATGCAGCGAACCCTGTTACACATTTAACACCTAAGAACATATGAAATTGTACAATAGAAATACATTATCTCTCCCAAACTTTCAAAAATATACAAATATACTCATGATTTCAATCCCCATCAAATGGCCTGATAATTTTTTTTCACATCGATATATTTGCACTTTTGCTTATACACTCTTGTTAGCAGCATGATACAAAGACAACAATTTTATTTATCGCATTTTCAACATTTGCAAGATCTAACCTTGACAATGATAGATTCACGGAGTCAAAATGTCTTCCATTAGATTGGGAATATAAATGGTAAGAAATCTTGCTATGCAAATCAGGAATTTGCAGCAAAAAAAATCAAATTAAATTAAATCACTTGTTTCACAATCATTTTTATAAACCTACCGAATCAATCTTCACTATAAAACAAAATATTCGCTGTTGAGCTGCTAGAAAAAGAAACCTTATTGCTTCTGTTCACCTACACAATGGACTTCTCCTTAAACAAATACCATATTAAAAGCACAGCTGTCCAACTTTCTTGCATTTTCATTTATCTTTCTTTTGATAAAGAATATAACACACAAATACAAAAATAAGATTAGAAAAAGTCTCTAATCTGAAGATAAAAATAGTACTACATTGATATACATAAGTATTTTTCTAAATAATATTTTAGTGCTCCTTTATCCATTAAAAAAAACAAAAAACTGAGTGCTCTGAGCTAAAACAGAGTTAAATCATTGAATAAACAAACAGTTTAATAATGCCCTTATGTCCAACATTTTAGGCATCTTAAAGGTAGTGTATCCTTTTTGCAGCCAACATAAAATTCTGTAGAACTTTGCAGGAATCATGAGCATGTCACATACTTTGCTCAAACTTTCACTGACCTGTTCCTCTCATTTTTCTGCATCTAGTAAACCCAACTTAATATCAAGGGTGAACTTCCCCTTTAAAGTATTCTGCAGGTAGAGACATTCAATAGTGGACACCGCATCCTCTCCATCAAGAACGGCATCCCAACTGTCTCCCAGTGACCTCCATGCGAGTGACTAAAACCAGAGCCAGAAGGACATTAACTCATAAAATGTACATAGATCGAACACCCTTCTGGCAAACAACAAAAGATATGTCCAATGTTTAGTCCAGGAGTTACTGAGGTAACTCCTTGATTTGGCATACTTCACAGGTTTCTGAACTGAGAAACAGAGACCCATAACCGTGGACAACATCTTCTGCTAAGAACAGCATCCAAACCAATGTGGACTCCTCCTTTAAGGGTGCATAACTTCTAAGATATGCTAGACTTTGGACATATTGTCTCTGGATAGCCAGAAGTGGAAAACATCTTCCGCTAAGAGCAGCATCCAAACCGTTTCCTAGCAATGTCCATGTGTGCAACCACGCCCCACTCGTCCTTATCCTCCTCGTATCTCTCGACAGAACGTGGAAACACCTCCCGACACCTTCTGCTAAGAACAGCATCCAAACCGTTTCCTAGCAACATCCATGTGCGCAACCACGCCCCACTCATTCTTATCCTCCTCGTATCTCTCGACGGATCGTGGAAAACACCTCCCGACACCTTCTGCTAAGAACAGCATCCAAACCGTTTCCTAGCAACGTCCATGTGCGCGACCACGCCCCACTCGTCCTTGTCCTCCTCGTATCTCTCGACAGACCGGAGCCCGTCCTGTCCGTCGTAGCCCCGATGGCGTAGAGGCGGTTGTGGACGATGGCCGCGCCTCCTCCACTGCGGGGGTGAACCAGGTTGTTGATGAGGGACCACGTGTCGGTGGACGGGTGGTACACCTCGACGGATGCAAGGCTGGAATGGGTGAGATTCAGAGGATGCAAAAATAAATAGATTAATTTTCATCCTTTAAAGTGACTCGGAAACATTGCCTCAGATTCTGAAAAAATCCTTGATTTAGCTCATGCTGCAATCATGATTATAAACCTTTAGGTCAGTCAGGAATCCATGACTTTTACAAGCCGATCGCCTGTCTGATTATCAAGATATTTATGATTGGAAATCAAAATATCATTTTTCCTTTTCCTAACGTTTTTTATAACACTACATTCTATTGGGAAAAATGAGTATGGTAAAACCGATCACTCAAAGATTTTTTACTTATTTGAGGCATTTCGTGATCATTTTGAAGCGCAATTTTTTAGGGTTTCAATATAACACCATATCACAGACACTAATAACATGTAGGGCCATGTATCTCAGATTTAACATTGTTAAAGGGATGCCTTTCAGACTCATTCAGTCAATCATCCACATACAATGGTGGTAGATTACCGTACAAGAACTGCCCTAGCAACTAATAATGAAATTCACTATTCTGAATCTTTTAACACACAAATAAGTAAGTACACTACGGAGCCTTTATTATGTGCAGTTACATTTCCTTTCTTAGGGCCACAAGGGTTTGTTACTCTTTAAAAAAGATATTTAGTCCTTTGTAACTTTCAATTTTTTTATCAGGGCAATATTCACAGCCCAACTTTTGCTCTGGTCTCTCTATCTTGTTCAAGATTTTTACAATCTTTATAAGGTAAGAAAGAGTTGGAATCAGATGTTAGGCTAAGTTTACAAATGGGATTACATTATCATGGTACAGATTATTGTTTATGTTTGAAGTTAGGAATTTGGTTAGGAAAATGTGTCACAGAACCTGATGACTTAGTCGTTCTCTCATATCCTAGGTACTAAAGGAACCTGTACATAAAGACAAGCCACCTGCCTTTTAAATACCTTATTTCTTGTCTCCCTTGAGTGGTCTCTATATCCTGGGTGGTGCTGCACAAAGATCTTAAGTCGAACTTAACTCTAAGTTGGCCTCAAATATAATGGAGAGCCATTTGTAGCCTTAAAATAAAATATATTCATAAGCAAAAATTCAAGTATTTTAGACTTTCATGAATTCCACATCAAAGAATGAAATCTCTATGATAATAGAAAATATGAATGATTTGAATCAACATTTTATGGTTTTCAAAATAACTGTTACAAAATAATCTCAAAGATGCTAACGGCTTTCCATAATTATTAAATCCAACTTAAAGATAAGTTCAACTTAGGATCTTTGTGAAACACCCCCCAGGTCTCATTTCATCTATTACTAAACCTTAAAAAGGATGCTGTAATCATACCTCTTGTTGTGTTCGCATCCACCAATGACATAGATCTTTTCATTGAGACACGCTGCTGCAGTCATTGAGCGAGCCACTCTCATGGGACTGATCTCCTTCCAAACCTTCAGCTGCACAGAAGGATATAAAAGACAAAAAAAAAAAAAAAATAATAATATTTAAGATTTATATAGTGCTGGTATACAAGTACAGATAAAATATGAAAAAGGTGACATTAAATGGTAAAATCAAATCTTCCTGCACTTCCCAACACAACAGTAGCAACAGTATGAAAACAAAACAAATAATAAAATACCTGTGACAATGATGGTCGTTGTCTATCGATTCCAAGCCAGTTTTCTGCTCATGCACATTATTAAAATTAACACACATGAATATGTATAAGGTTTGTAACAACATTACCAATTCATCCAAACCATAAGAATAATTTTCAAATAAAAGCTTATGAAACAACAGTAACTTTCATAATGTTAGACTTTTGTTTACTTTTAACAATGACCATTTCTGCAGGAGAAACTTTGTGAATTAGTAACAGCAGGGTGGTCTACAAACAATAATTAAAACATGTAACATTAGAGTGATAAAGGTATCAACTATAAATATATTACAATTCCAGATATTTAGTTAGATGCTGACACTAACACAGAGTGGCTGTCTTCAGTTTATAAAACACTCTCAAAACCTTTATAGCACAAAACCTTTACATACAAACACACTATTTATTCGATTCAATTTAATGAGGTCACATCTTTTACACTTGGATGCCATTTCACTGCAAACTTTTTGTAAAATTTCAGCGATTCGAGGTCAGCGATGTCAATGGTGAAGGTCATCTCCACATTTATGAATATTTCGTGATGTAACAGTAAAATATAGTCTATACAAATTCTTATAACATGTTATTATTGCTACGTGGCCATTCACCCTACGCTAACTGAATAAACCATACTCAAAGCACTATACCTACATGTAAGTCTAGCCCTAAACCTGACTAAAAATCAAATTGAAACTCTCACTATAACCATATGTTTTTGTAAATCAATAAATCAAACCCTACAGCAATTGTCACCATAGCATATGTCATAGCACCTACATGTACCACAGTAGACTAAAAAACAATGCATGAAAAATCTAGAGCTGGAGGGGTACACAAAAGACCAGAAATTCATCATGAGAAATCAACTGCAGACAGGTATTGTAATTGGCTGATGCATGGTGTTGACTGTGTGGTTATACTCAATCAACTATAGATATTTACTTTCAAAACATTAGCCTGACTCTGTACCAGTATAAAAATATTTCTTAAATATAATTAATTGGAAAGGAAAAATAAATCAATGTTGATTGACAGTACAGTGCAGTTTTCATCATACAAAGATTTTTTTAATTAATTGGGGTCAGTGTGGGTCCCTTTTGTTAAATACAGTTATTTTCATCAATTACTCTTTAAAGATAAAGACCAGTTCTGGTCATGCGATTGAATTGTGAAAGAAACGTTGTGGAATCGTTCAGAAAAGGTTGATCATCATACTGCAAGGTTCTGGAATCATCAAAATGATAAGAAATTTGGCTCAGTCTTCGTAAAGTTACAAGCACTGTACACAGAAATGTGCATATGGGACTACGCACACGTGCCCGACACGTGCGTATTATCTATTTGGTCCCAATAGATAAACTAATTTACCAAATTTATCAATTAGTAGGCGGTTTCCTGGCAACATTTTTATCATCACGTATTAGTCAAAACATATTCTTTTACATGATTAGTAATAAGAGCTTCCATTTCATTTTTGGAGAGGGGGGTGTTTCCAAAACCGGTCTTTACCTTTAATCAACTTTACTTACTTTGTTTGTTTTCTTTCTTCATACTTATTTACTTAAAAACCAATGAATAATATCATAACCCTGGCTTTAGCAACCCTGCCATAAGGAGCTTGAAATCATTTTGGTGTTTCCATACCCCCCCCCCCCTTTCTCTCTGTCTCTCCCACCCTCCTTCTCTTCCAAATGTTTAAAATCTGTTCTTTCCTCATTCACTGACTGTTTTTAAAAAATTGTGTATGGGGGGGGGGGCAGCCCAATGGTAATATTAATATTTTAAAAGAACAGCTTTGAACTATGAAGATCATAACCATTGGTACATTGAATAAAACAACAGACCTTTAAAAGCAGGACACAGTTCAAGGTCACTTATAATGGGAGGGAAAGCGCCATGTTAGAGATTGACAATGGACTGCACACTTGACTGTTTGTATTCTTTATAATTCTTAACAAAGGATGGTAACACTCTGTAGTATGCTTTTAAAACCTTCCATGCCATTCCAACATTTTATAATTTTCTTTAATTTTCTGTTTGTGAATATTTCTGTAGAAACCTACAGAAATGTCCCCATTTATTCTTTTCTACAGTTTAACAAAGGATGGTAACACTCTGTAGTGTATGCACTTTTTAAACCTTCCATGCCATTCCCACATTTTATGATTTTCTGTAATTTTTTGTTTGTGAATATTTCTATAGAAACCTTCACAAATTTCCCATTTATTCTTTTCTACAGTTTAACAAAGGATGGTAACACTCTGTAGTGTATAAACTTTTAAAACCTTCCATGCCGTTCCAACATTTTATGATTTTCTTTAATTTTCTGTTTGTGAATATTTCTGTAGAAACCTTCACAAATTTCCCATTTATTCTTTCTTCTACTTACCAAAGGATGGTAACACTCTGTAGTGTAAAAACTTTTAAAACCTTCCATGCCATTTCAACATTTTATGATTTTCTGTAATTTTCTGTTTGTGAATATTTCTGTAGAAACCTACAAAAAATTTCCCCCATTTATTATTTTCTACAGTTTAACAAAGGATGGTAACACTCTGTAGTGTATAAACTTTTAAAACCTTCCATGCCGTTCCAACATTTTATGATTTTCTTTAATTTTCTGTTTGTGAATATTTCTGTAGAAACCTTCACAAATTTCCCATTTATTCTTTCTTCTACTTACCAAAGGATGGTAACACTCTGTAGTATAAAAACTTTTAAAATCTTCCATGCCATTTCAACATTTTCTGTAATTTTCTGTTTGTGAATATTTCTGTAGAAACCTACAAAAAAATTCCATTTATTATTCTCTACTGACCAAACGATGGTAACACTCTGTAGTATAAAAACTTTTAAAATCTTCCATGCCATTTCAACATTTTCTGTAATTTTCTGTTTGTGAATATTTTCGTAGAAACCTACACAAATTTCCCCATTTATTCTTTTCTAGTTACCAAAGGATGATAATAACACTACACAGTTTTCAGGTCTTGCTTTCCATTCCTGAATTTTATGTGTTTTTTTTATCAGCGAAATGAGCGAATGTTTCAGTGGAAACCTCAACAAATGTCCTCTTCTATGTCTTCATAAAGGATGGTAGCATTCCTCTGCTTCTTAGACCTACACCATTGGACCACTCAATTATGGCCTCCTAATTAATCAAGTCTTAAATGGGCTATCAAGTGCTAAAATGCTTGTTTCATTATTCAATGAGATTCAAATACATTTCATCAGGTAATATGAGCCTCCTGGGCCCTGTTTCATAAAACTTGTTTTCAATAACAAATGCTAAATTTCTATAACAATAATAATAATAGTAATAATAGGCATTTCTATAGCGCCGTCTATCTAGATAATTCTATTCCGAGGCGCATTTATTATTACCCGACTTTAGCCTAGCAGCCGTTTATACAGCGCTCCAGCATTTCAAGGAATTAATTCCTGCCAGGTACCCATTTACATCACCTGGGTTGAGTGTGGCAAATGTACATCAATGTCTTGACAAAGGACATTAGTGCCACGGCGGGACTCCGACCGCGTACCTTGTGATCGACAGTCCGGCGACGTATCCACTCGACCACGAATTTGCTCTCAGCCAATCATATGCCAGTATTTCAGTAGCTTATAACACTTATTAGAACTTGCATTGATAACAAATTTTATGAAACAGGGGCCTGTTCTTCTTTCAGGACAAAAACATAGCATTTCTAGTCCAAAGAAATAGTTCAACACTCTACTACTTGGGTCAAATTTTTATCATAACCTGATTTTTCTGGCAAATTTTGTTTCTACTTACTTTAACCAAAAACCTGAAGATATAATTTTTTCCTTTATAAAGATATAACTTACCAAAGGATGGTAGCACTCAACAGTTTTCAGATCTTCATCTCCGTCATACCCTCCAATCACATAGAGATAGCCCCCAAGTGATACGGCCGCGGCCATGCTACGTTGGGTTCGCATGTCTGGGGTAGGGGAAGAAGAAAAAAAAAAGGATTTTGAAGATACCATGAGTATCTATGAGATACAGCAATTCTATACTGTGTTCTCTCGTGTGGGTTAGGAAAAGAATAAGGATTTCGAAGATACCATGACTATCTATGAGTTACAGCAATTCTATATTGTGTGCTTTCCTGTCTGGGTTAGGAAAAAATAAAGGATTTTGAAGATACCATGAGTATCTTATGAGATACAGCAATACTTTGTGTTGTTTTGTCTGGGTTGGGAAAAGAAATTCCTGGAATGCTTGAGTGCCTTTCATGGCAGTTAGGCTGAAGCCGGGGTAATAATATAATTGCAGGGCCCTCAGGGAGAACAGTATTAATACTGATGGGGCTACCCTGGGTAAACAAGACGTATCATTATTATTTTAGAATGCATGTAATGGGCAATTATGTGGAGCTTAATTCACAGGGTTCATACTCTTTCTCATAAATTTAATTCCATGACTTTCCATGACTTTTCTAGCCAGAATTCCATGACCTTTCCATGACTTTTACACATTTTTTTTACACGGTAGACTGAAAATTTGATCTCAAATCAAAGCGAAGCAAAGTGCATGTTTCAAGTCTACTAATAGAAAGGCAGCTTTTGTTATCTAGTTATTTCATCTGTTACAATTACATGTTATTTTTTCATCATATTCGATATGCACTGCTATATAATATTCTTACAATTACACATACATGTATTCATATCAACAATTGTCCATTTTTTAATGGCAATTTTCACTTCTAAAGAATACAAATTGCCTGTTCCTGGTTTCATGGACCACCATGATTCCTTCAATAGCTCTCCTTTGCATGTACAAGGTAACTACCCCCCCCCCAAAAAAAAAAGAAAACAAAACAACACCAACACACAAACTCACACACATACCATCACCAATTTTGATTTCACCAACAAAACACAGTAGGCCTACTCACATCAGCTGATGAATTCTTGTTTCGCTAGCATTAAGCTGGTCAATAATTTCTGAATGAGTTTTTTCTTGAGACATCTTCATGTAGCTGTTTGAAAGAAATCCCTCTACACATTGCACCTGTCTGAATATTTGGTGGCATTGGTAACAAACTGTCCAAGTTCTTTAATAATTCTTAATGGCATTCAGCTGTTCATCAATCTGTTTCTGAATTACTTGTAACTGGGATGCCTTCTCCTTTGCTGTACGTCGGAGGCTGTTTGATTTGGAAATACAAGTCAATCTTCCTTGTGACTCTGCTTCCTCAGCATACTTGTCTGCTGAGGTGTGAAGACTTTTCACATCTGCTTGCAGTCTCATTTGTTTGGCCTTTAGTTCTTCCAAACCATCCATCAGTCCTTTTCTCTTTCCTTCTTTCTTTTCCTTTTCCTTTTTACGCCTCTGTTCATCGAGATAGATGTGGTATTTCTGCCTGCCTGCAGACGCAGCCAACATGATTGATTTGTCAATAGTCACATTCTTGATTCCTCCAACATACTTGATATGGTCATAAATGGCCCTCAATGATATCAGTGAGTGTCCCAGGAGATTGTCCTCTTCAACTTCGTTGTTGATTGAGAAACCTCTCTCAATGGAGGCTTGTCCATGGGACAAGACAAGCAACATGCGGACCAACTTTAAGAGGGTCGAATAGCGAGACTCGGACAGAAATTTGCACATTACAGAGTCCAATCTCTCTTTCTTTGGATCAAAGTCTCTCATCTCTGCACTTCTTGATGCCTCATCACATGCTTCTGAGTATTCTCTTAGGATATCGTCACATGAATCCTTAAGTCTGTGGGCATCACTAAGGGTGTTAAGCACCCTCTTCAGCTTTGCAGTGGAGTTTTCTTTGTCTTTTGCCATGTTCTTTGGACTCAAGCATCCTATATTTCTCACAAGTGCATACTTAAGCGGACATCGCTCAATGAGCTTCCGGGTCATTGCAGCAAGAAACTTCTTTGCTTGAGTGCGAAATTCCAGAACTTTCAGCTCACTGATGATATTTTTCGCCTTCAGATCTTTCAGCTTCTTCTCAGTGTAGAATCCAATGTCCAACTTGGCCAAGGGCAGCTGAATGGCCTCACTGCTAACATCTACCTGCATTATCTTGTAAGGAGAAGTAATGGTACTCCTGTCCAGCTTTAAAAATCGCTGCATAAGGGATGCAAGCATTCTAGTAAGGTCTTCAGCTAAAAAGGGCAGCATTGGTGCATCAGTCTGATAGTCTGTTAGGAAAGGATTGACCAGCTTTGCAACAGATATGAAGAAGTACAGTCTTGCTAAGAAATCAGTTATATGAGTACATTTTGAAACAGTTTCAAAGGACTTGTTCTTTGGGTGAGGGATTTTCTTCTCTTCTACTGCTTTAACATACGCACATACACTCTCCCAGATGCTGATTGCTCTCTCTGCAACAGGAAGGTTTTCCAGCCATCGGGTCTTGCAAAACTTAAGTGGCATGGTATGATCTCCAGTTATCTTCTGATAATCCTCTCTTCTGGCAGGGGAATCAGAAAACAGGTAATACAAGGATGATAGAAAGCTTTCCACCTCCCAGTCAGCAGCCTTGGCACCTGTCAGAAAAGCACCATTAACTATATGGAGCCCGCATGAGCCTATATTCAGTATGGATTTGGTCAGGTCAGCAGTGTACTCTCGCGTAAAGTCATCATACATCTTCCAATTAACGTTGGGACCATCCATTGATATTTGCAGTAATTTTTCCAAGCCAACTGTGTGCAGAACTTTATTCAGTTCTTCCTTGAGGTGAACAGCTGAACCATGTCCGATGAACACAGACGTCAAGTAGCGAGTGCAAACTTCATTGTGTTGCCATGTTCTTATGAGGAAGTCCATCTGCTTTTTCTGGAGCTTCTTGTTGAGGCTTTCATCAAACAGTATCACATAGTGGTTTGATTGTTTTATGTTGTCATAAAGGAGGTCTTGCACATATGGGCCCAAACCAAACACCGTCATATACCGACATTTTGTTTCTGACAACGTGAAACCCTTAGCAATAGCTGAGTCCGGAAACATTCTTTGAAAGAGCTCACTGTTGTGCTGGCAAGAATGAAATGATAAATGATCCTCCACCACTTTCAGACACCAGAGTATTTCAGCTTTTAAAGTTTCCTCTCTTGCAGCAACAGGAATGGGAGTTGTCACTTTAGAGGTTGATGGCGCACAAGTACTGGTTGTTGCATCTGTAGACGTGATAGATACTGATGAACTTTCTGCACCTTTTGCCTTGAAGAAGCTCTTGAGTGAGAGAGTAGAATCTAGGAGAAAAGAAAAAAATGTCTATTAAAATAAATAAAATATAGAGTAAAGTACCCGGTAATCGGTCAGCTCCGGTTTTCGGCCAATTGGTTGGATACATGGTAAAATCACTTTAAAATACATCGCATAATAGCATAACACATATCCCACACATACCATACCATGCCAGTGTCACTGAAGAACCACATTTGCAATGAAAAATATATCCTAAAATATCACATTTTAGCGATGTAATCGGCGGTCCCGCTACCCAAATCTGAAAAATCGAGTTTCTTACGCGTGTATGTAAGAAATATGGGTACCATAAAATGAGCTTTATTTCAAGTATTTTTCAGATATAGAGCCCGATTTTGTGCTGGTCGCAAGCTCAAAAGTATCTCATCGCATGTATTAAATCAATGCAGCCGCACACCGCGACGCACACACGATATGTCTGTCTAATTCAGATTCCAACTTCCGATCACCGCTGTGCCTGTATTCGGCCAGGCGAGCACCCGGGAGCTCCGGCGTGGGATACCTGCTCCGCCCGCTTGTGCTATACATCAGCGCAGAAACGCACGGCGCGCGCGAGCACTTCCTATTGACTTTGTACATGCGGCCGTAAACTGAAACGCTCGGCCGATAACCGGCTCCAAAACAGTGAAAATTGAAATGAATATTGTCATGGCAATTCGTGATTTTTTTTTGGGATTCTTTTTTTGTTTAAATAATAATAATATTTGCTTCATGATTTGAACAAGAAATGATAATAAATAGGAAGTAAAGAGTCCAATAAATAGGATTTTGTCTTAAGTGGCCGAAAACCGGGTACTTTACTCTAAATATCATCATTTGGTAAGATTTAGGGCCGAGTCAAAACGTTTAACTGCCGTTCAAACGACCATTAAAAGCATAAACGTTTTCCTATTTTGACAACCGTTTGACAGTATGGGGAAGGAAAAAAAAAAAAAATTCACGGCAACTTTTGGCCAATTGATGTAAGTCACTAAGACAAGTGGACTAGACTCTAATTTTTGACTCATTCCTTAAAAACATATTTTAAAGAAATAGAAAGGAGGAAATACTTCTCAAGGCAAGCAAACTGTTGGACCCAATTGTAAGTACAAAATTTAGTTTTATGATTTTTGGGGTCAATTTTAAGGTAAATTATTATTTTATTTTTTTTCTGCAGTCCACATACAGTGCCCGGTACAACACTGGCGTGTGAGTGCGGAGCCCCCTGGGTTAGCGTTCGGGCTGTTGCATGCAGTAACCTAGCCGGCCCGGCCCGGGGCCGGGGACGCTCCCGAACGGGCTGGTCGCAGTAAGCAGTAACCAATGCCTGCGAGGTGACATCGCATCGCTAAATAATCTCAAATCTTTCATTTTTATATAATTATTATCAGTCATTATTTGGATTCATGCTCAATAAAGGATCGGTAAAATTCACATTAAAAATGCTCACTTACGACGTTGTTGCTGTTGGAGGTTTGCTGTGTGTTTTTCACTCTTCTTGTGGCTCTTGACGGCTGCTTCGCCCATATTACGGACACTGAATTTACACATACAAACAGCACATCTAGCAGTCCCCAGATCGGAACTTTCTTTCAAAATCCAGCCACGGTAATCCGGGTGTTCTAACCAAGCATCCTTAAAATGACAATTTCCAGGCATTTTGAATATCACTTCCACAAAATTTGTAATGGTGAAAATATCCACGTGACGAGTTCCAAGGTCTGTGAAAATAAACAACTCCGTTTCATGAAGAATCAACACATGCACAAAAGTTTCAAAACACATGCCGTCGCGTCGCCGATATATAGATCGTCAACGAGCTAGCGCTGCCAATTTGCCTTGTTGACACGTCAGTATTGTTCCTTTTTTATTTAAATAATGAAAATTAAAAAACAAATATTACTAATTTACTTTTTCCTCATTTATTGGAGAAGTGTAAAAATTGTAGTAGTCTAAGTGGTCGCAATTTAATGCAAAGCCAAAGTGCAATCGAGGCATTACATTCGTTCTTGGAGTGTCACATGTCGCGTTGGCACCATCATCATATGCACACACACACTGCACACGTACACGTGCGCTAGCTTGCTGAACTGAGCTAGCGCTAGCGAGCTCGCTCGCAAGCTAGCCATGTGCGCACGATGTGGACCGTACCGCCATACACTGACCATACACACGTAGTTCGTATCGTACACGTACACACCCACGTACACAGCGCTTATCCATCGATCATAGTGAACACATTCACAAGTACAATCAGTCGGTATGTTACGAATGAAAGACTAGATGGAACTTCGACTGCGCGCAGTCGAAAATGATGCCTCCGTCATAGAGCAATTTTACAAACCAAAACAGAAGAAATTTTTCAAATTCAAGTTCAATTGTAATCCATTAACAGGTTTTCAGAATATTGTGATTACAAGCTATTTTTGCATACATAATGAGCCCATGACCTTTGACCTTATGAACCAAGAATCTACTCAGTTCATTGGCTCTGCAAGAAACATACATGACCTAAGTTGGCAGGAATCCATCAATCGGTTCTTGAGATAACGCGATCACGAGCTGTTTTTGCATACATAATGTGCCCTGTGATCTTTGAACTTTGACCTTGTGACCCCTACATCTAATCAGTTCATCGGCTCTGCAAGTAACATACATGACCTAAGTTTGGCAGCAATCCATCAATCGGTTCTTCAGATAACGCGATCACAAGCTCGTTTTGCATACATAATGAGCCCTGTGGCCTTTGACCTTTGACCTCGTGACCTCAAAATCTAATCAGTTTTTTGGCTTTGCAAGTAACATACATGACCTAAGTTTGGCAGCAATCCATCAATCGGTTCTTCAGATAATGCGATCACGAGCTCGTTTTGCATACATAATGAGCCCTGTGACCTTTGACCTTTGACCTCGTGACCCCAAAATCTAATCAGTTCATCGGCTCTACAAGATACATACATGACCAAAGTTTGGCAGGAATCCATCAACCAGTTCTTCAGATAACGCGATCACGAGCTCGTTTTGCATACATAATGAGCCCTGTGACCTTTGACCTTTGACCTCGTAACCCCAAAATCTAATCAGTTCATCGGCTCTACAAGATACATACATGACCAAAGTTTGGCAGGAATCCATCAACCAGTTCTTCAGATAACGCGATCACGAGAACGGGACGTACGTACGTACAGACGGACGGACAACCCGAAAACATAATGCCTCCGGCTACTTCGTAACGGAGGCATAAAAATACGAGAAGAAAATGGTTGAAATATCTCCATTTATTCACTTGTATAGTGAGAAAATACTATAGTTGTCCATAATTTTGATATTCCATGACTTTCCATGACTTTCCAATGGAAAAAATAATTTTCCATGACTTTCAAGGCCTTAAAAGCAATAAAGTAAAATTCCATGACTTTCCAGGTTTTCCATGACCCGTACGAACCCTGGAACATGTACTTTAAACTAAATACTCTAAGAATATCATGCAAAGAAAACATTTTTACCTCTGATGTGTTTCCACTCGTTCAGGTTTGGATCGTACTGTTCCACGGACTTCACGCTCCTCATCCCGTCGTACCCTCCGCAGGCGTACACCTGACTTCCGACCGTCGCCACGGCAACGCTACTCCTCGGCACCTTCATCTTGGCCACGTTCCGCCAGCTGTCCGTCTGGGGGTCGTAGCATTCGACGTCCCTCAGAGGGGTGGAGTCTGCCCCACCTATGGCATAGATGATGTTGTCCACAATGGCCACGCCCACACCACGCCTGGAATGTTTCATCGGCGGTATGGGGGACCAGTTGTTGATGGCGGGCTGGTAACGTTCGGCCGTGCAGAGGGTGTTTCGGCTTGGAGAGACTTCCCCTCCTGTGACAAACAAATTGAGAGTTTACAAACATTATCCAATGGGAGACTTAACAGGATGTAGTGGCACCAAGGAGACATACCCCGTCTGAAACAACTGGACGGACGCATCCAAAGCCCTGCAACCCGTCTCATTCTAAAACAACAACTGCAACAAATGTCTCACCAAATCGACTGCAATTGTCTGAAATAAGCCCCTGAGAACATTCTATTTCCTTGGAAATATTTTTACATATATGTAGCTGCACTGAACCATGGATATAATGACTGAACATAACAATTTGGGCACTGTCTGAGAGAATTAAATGCACACATCACTTGTGAAATACAATAGAACCTGGATCTAGATGAACGTATTTCCATAAGCTGGGCTCTGATGTTTCTTACTGCTTCTTAGCAAACTGATTCCTCCCCTTCAACTTACAAATGTAGATGATTCTTCAACCCTTATTCACATGACACATGAAATTGTATTATTTAAAATAATTTTTAAAAAATTGCTTTTAAACAAGCTAGAATATATAGAGTATAGGGCCCTTCACAATTTTTTTTTATCTTACTATAAAATATCTTACTAAATAAAATAAAACACAGCAACAACAAAAAAGAAAGAAAGAAAGAAATGCAATGTCAAAAGCATCATGCACTGCACTCTTACAACAACATTTTTTTTTGATGGACCTTTGCTGTTGTAAAGCTCCCTTTTTTCCACCCTACTTCCAATTCATGTACATTGAAAATATATTTTAATTTTGTTGGGGCAGATTTTTTTAAAAGGAGCTTTACTGTTCACGATGATTCCAGGGAAATCCAACATACAATTCTGAAACGTATGGTGGAAATAAAATAGCATTTATTTTTTGGTTTATGATTATTTTACATAAAGCGGGTAAATCCTGGTATACTAGTACTACATGTAGTACTTGAATATCCTGTTTACTCACATCCTACGGGTCTGTCTGCGGTTGAGTACGATAATGTGGGATTGTGGTTGATATTTTTGAGAAAAAAATAAAGTCTGTACACAGTACACACAAATGGGCATTATTATCAAGGACACATTTGGAGGAAAGGGGCATTGTAAATTCTGAAAGTAATTGATAATATACTGTACATGTATAAGATGCCCTTTTTGCACTAATGAATGAAAAAGCAAACAATTATTAAACAAAAGAAAGAAAAAACAAAAAAGGGGAAAAGGAAATTCATTTGTTATATATATACTGAAAATCTATACAGCTGTGCAAATAAAATGCATGTGAAACATTTACATAATTGAAAACTGGTTGCTTTTAATTGGTTACTGCTGGAATTCCTTTATTTTACTTTGTATATTTACATTTCTTTCAAGCAAAATAATTTTGTAACGCTCAACTGTGTATGTATAAAACTTATTCTGACTTTTCCTCTCTCTCTCTTTCTCTCTTCCTTTTTGATTTGAAAAATACAAGCACAGAGAACAAAACAAATTTGAAAAAAAACGACTCTTATGGGCTGGATCAGATGCAAAGGTCATTAAGGAAAGGCAGACAAAAGCAGTCAAATACATGTACATTTACATTGTATATCCAGACTGTGTGCTAACTAATTCATGAATGTCATCATTGAGTGATTATCCAATCAAAAACAAATCACGGTTACCATGGGGACCAGCACAAGGGCATCCATCTCGTCAAAAGAACTTTTTGGATGGACGGATCTCGTTAAAATGGAAGATTCATAAAATTTGGATGTCTTCAATCAAGGACAGCAAATGACATACTTGTGTTCAAGAGATTATATCATTAGCAGTGCTAATGAGATATTTCTAAAGGTTTTGAATTTCTCTGCGTTTTACAGCTTTCTTTCCCTCACATTCCCTTTGTCTTTTTCAGCTTTGATCCTTCCTCTCCTTCTAGTTTTTCCCGTGCTTTTCTGTCTGATTTTTTAATATTATTATTTGTATCACTTTCTTTATGCTCTATCATTTTTTTCTTCCTCTCTCTCTTCTTGACCTCTCCTTCCTTCTTCTATTCTTTTTCTGTTTCTATTTCCTGCTTTACTTCTCCCCTTTTTCCCATTCAAGTAATTAAAATGTTCTCTTGTCCTCTATAACTTACTGTACAGCTTTTCAAAATCTCTACAACTAGTAATTAAAAACATATTTCTAATTTTGCATGCTCATTTTTGTGATATTTGGTAACATGGGGGCCGTTTCTCGAAACCAACTCCATGACAGTCATATCTTTGTCGTCGACCTACGGAGATGTCATGAAGCGGATAAACCGTTTCACAAAGCCATGACAGACATGATATCGATATATCGCGATACTAGCAGCTCAAGAAGATAGTCTTTGTCACGATCCATTTGATTTACACTGTATGAAGAATAACCCAAAACAAGTTTTGGGGCTAAAATTGTTCAAAAAGAAATATATACATATGAATTCTCCTAAAATAAATAATAAATAGTGTCATTATCATATTTACATCATCAAACGATTTGCATATTTCTGTAAAGATTCTTAAATTGAAGAAAAACCGGTGAGTGTTTTTTTTTTGACAGTCGAATCAAAAGTTAGTTGAAGGATACCGTAATGTGATAGTTTATCAATACATACTTTTTTGTTTATTGTGACGAGGAATTTTAGGCAAAATGCCTTTTCTCAGCCAGTTTTTATTCTAGAGTCTCATAAATACTCGTTATATAATTGAGTTGATATTGAAAATATAATTTGGAAGAAGTAATTAGAGAGGGAATAATAATGCACATAGGCCCCAAAGGTATGACGGTATCCTAAGAACAGACTATGGATCGACTATGGAAAACGGTGTGTAACATTCTTATCTCTCTTATTCATATGTTATAGTTTAATGATTTGTGATTTAATGTTTATATTCAGTTTTTAAAGTTTCTGTATAATTTGTATTCTCACTTTTGTACATTTGCATTTCACATTAAGGCTGCGACGGGTAGTCGAATGCTCGAGTACCCGCACGGTTGACAACTACTCGGGTACGATTTCTTGTACCCGAATATTCGGCCGCAAAAAAAAAAAAATTAAAAAAAAAAAAAAAAAAAAAAAAAAATGTCCAGGCCCACGCTTACCCGTGCCAGGGAGAGCAGCATCCGCTGGCATGGTACCGTCGGTAAAAATGTTTCCAAACTCAAGCACTGTCAAACTCACCTTTCAGAAACTGGGACCAAATGTCCAGATTTCTGTTTGGACTTGGAGGAAAATGGATTATTCTGCCATCTTTGGTTTTTAAAACAGCATTGTTTACTGTTATTATTCTTATTAAATCGGCGCCTTCAACTGCAACTCAAAGTAAAGTTGCATGCGTTTTCAGCGAGCTGCGCGAGGGACCTGAGAAACTGCCGAGTGGTATGGTAGTGGCAAAAAAAGAAAAAAAAGGAAAAAAATCCAAAAATCCAAAAATTCAAAAAAAATCAAAAAAAATCAAAAAAATTCAAAAAAATTCAAAAAAATTCAAAAAAATTATAAAAAAACATGGCGTCCGAATACTCGAGTATTCGCCTGTGAGCCTGGGAGTGTACTCGGGTACCTCATTACACTGTTGTGCACAGCCCTATTTCACATCCCAGAGAATTACGTACCGAACTCGTCTATATTTTTCTCAAAATGATAGTGAAACTAATCGTCCATTTCGCGGCCCATGGAATGGCAACAAACTGACTTGTGATGGCGCTTTACAGCAATTAAAAAGATATGACAGGTTCGAAGCAGTGACAACTCACTTGTCGCGGAAGTTGTCGCTCATCTTGGCAAAGACGGCTTCGTGAAACACTTAGCTGACAAGTTGCGTGACAGTGGCGAGATGTCGTTGATCTTGTAGTTATGACGGTTTCGAGAAACGGCCCCATGGTCTTAACATTTCTTAAAGGCCATCTGTACTAGTTTACAAGAGGGCTGAAACCACCCTGCATGGTCATTGACAGGTGGTTATCTCATCAAATCAGCTCTTACTTAACACAAAAATAATAGGATCATGGGGGACCAATGGTCACCGATTAGGCATTGTTTGTTATATATATAGAGAGAGCAAATAGCTATAAGTAGTGTAGTGGGCCTTTAATACCTTTTAAATACACTTTTTAAAATTGTAGACGTCACGCTAAAGAATATTGAAAGTTTGTTGATGTTGTAAATTAAGATAAAGGGGGAAGATTTTAAAATTATGTTGCTCATAAACAGGCGATACCAACATAAACTTGTAGCCAAAAACCAAAACAAAACCAAACAAATTAACAATACAAAACAAAAACGAAGGGACTTACCAATGACGTATATGAACTGCGCCCGGCTACAGGAATGTCTCGGAACTGTCCTCAGGCTCACTTCCCAGTGTAGACCTGGGTAAAACGTGCTGCCATGGTAACGACGAGCCTCATCCACAAACTTCTGGAACTTCTCGTCCTTCATGAGGAGTTTGTTGTCTATCACCCGAGAGTTGAGGAACTTCCACGACAGCAACGGGAGGCGGACGTGCTCGAAGACGTCACCGATGAGCTGTACCCGATCGTTAAGGTCGTGCTGTATCCAGCGAAGAGCGGCATGGTAAACCTCCTCTTCTTTGGCAATGTTTAGACTGTCCTTCTCAATGAGCTTGATAAGGTCTGGTGATGGGAATATTTTAAATCATATTAAATGCTCAATTAAACGGCCTTGAATATTGTACATATTTTGAAAATCATATTTTTGTCAATGTTTTATTTGAATTCTTTGAAATTGTGTCATATTTTTTAATTTTTAATATGTATTCTAACCTTTCTAGTGCACAACTTCTAAAATAACCATTGAAATATAGATGAACATGACTGTATGCATTGATAAATGGAATTTCATTGCAACAACTTAACAAATGCATATTTAACAAAAGCTCTTGACTTTCCACCCCTGCACTTGATTTGGGTTTATCTCCAGCATCGACCTACAAGTAACAAGTTAAGCATACCTTTAGTACTGAGTTGTAGGAATTCATCGTGGGCCACAACCTTGGTGAAATTGAGCTGTATGAAGGTATCTGCTGCTTCACTTAGCTCAAAGCAACCGTGCATGCTAGCAAAGTTTCTGAACCCCAAGCAATTTGTTGGGTGCAGTTGAGTCTTCAAAAAGTCACTGCACAGATTAGTCACTGATTCAACCTGCAAGACGCAAGCAGCATCCGTGATGCTCTGGACGTTGTCTTCGGTGATGTCTATGGTCGCACGGTAGGCAAACTTCACGATGGCTTCGATGGCTTCAGCGTTCATTCCCTGGAGTTCGACCACTTCCTGTCTCGACTCCTTAAGTTGACTGGTGAACATGGCATGAAAGTAGGGACTGAAGGCTGATAGGACCAAGCGATGGGCAGGGATGAGTTTGGAGTCGACGGAGAGGACAACATCACAGAGATGGTTCTGGTCTTGGAGGCTCTGGATGACGGAGAGCATGCCCAGGGCGTGCTGCTGCCGTCTGATGAAGGTCTGGTCATCCTCGCTGCTGCTCACGACCTGGGACTGGATCCGGACTCTCTTCTCGGTCACAGAAGGCCCAGGTTCAAGAAGCCTTCTAGGAGTGTCTCCTTCTGTCTCCATTTTCCAAACTGAAAGCCACTCAAGAGGGAATCAAAGGGAACAGAAGGACATTTAGTATTAAAAGTGTTAATATGTCTCTACAACATATTGATCTGTTCAGCACTGAATCAATATTTTTATTATGGTATTCTTCAAAAGTCCAAAGTTACTAGGAGAACGCAACACATAGAAAAGTATCTTACATAATAGTTACAATCCGTGCATGCGCTTTACGTTCGACAGGTCTCAGTCTCATTTGCCCTGAAGGGAACTTCTGATTGGCTAACGCTGGCTGCCATTTGCTCAATGTTATAAGTTATTAGTGCGAGGAGAAAGCTCTGATACCCAACTCATGATATTCCAGTCAAACCTTGATTTTGTTATTATTTTTACTAATTTTAGTTATTTCACTCAAGTTGAAGTCCTACTTACATGTACATGTAACTGTAAGTTTGAAAAATTCTCATTTTCCTCATATTTAATTTTTAGGTACAAACTTGCAAGTTGTACGTTTGTTGATTTTTCTTTAGTATGTGTTGACCTTTGCCTCGTGTGCGTCAGATATGTGTGAAGTGCGTCACCTGTATAAAGCAGGACATGTCAGTGTGTTTGGTACAATTTTGTATGGTCAACACCATTGTGCTCTCTACTTAAGTGGGCCCTCTCTCACTAAGTTGAAGACCGTCACTACTACTGGGCCAGAGGGGACTAGACCACACAGCGAGGTCACTGACAGGTGGCTATCTCATTAACTCAGCTCTCACCTAACATAAGAAAAAGAGGATCATGGGGGACCAACAGGTACCAATAGGGGAAGATTTCTATATAGAGCAAGTAGCTGCAATTAGTAGGACAGTGGGGCTTTAAAGTCAAAACCGCTGGAGCAGTCAGCCAATGGGCCTAGCCTGGGAGCATGTTGTACGTGCACACTTGTCTAATCTTTATATCCTCGCTGTGATACCCTGACGAAACACCTATCGGTATTACATTGTTAGTCTCTGTATTCTGTAAAATCAAATTTTCTAAAATCAGGATTTTATTATCTCACTCTCTCAGTCTCAACTCTCATTCTCTCACTCAGTCTCAGTCTCAGGCTCAGCTCAAGGACGACTGTGCGAAGTATTTCTACATGCGTGTGATACGATAGTCTCATATCCAGATCGCTTATGCTCATTAAATAATATATCCCCCAAAGACGAAGTGCACATTTGCCCATTTCGATTATCTTGCCGCGCCGTCGAGTGGCGAGCATCCATGGCTGTGCATCCACCCAAGCCTAGCCGGGCGGATGTTCTACTAGCTCCGGTACCCACCCTCCTCGCAGGCACGGTAAGGGATGATGTAACTTTGATTATCATTGATTTTACAGAAAAATCATTGGATTTAAGCATGCTGTGGACTCACCTACGGACTTTTTTCCGTTGTTGAATAGCAAATATAGCAGGAAATCCACAGATAGACTAGACTATGTCAAATTAGCATAACTTTGCCGAGGTTTACTCTGTCCTTGCCGGTCCTTTCCTCCTGCTCGTGCGCAATCTTTTACATGAAATAACAAGTTTCTAACGTAGAGGGCCGGCGAGCTCCTCCCAGGGATATCAAAATTAAGCTAGGCCTATTGTAGACTAATCAACGTGTCTTCCAGCTCTACAACTTTGCTCTTGAATATATCTGCCAGTCAACAATTTATGTAATGAGTTATTATTGTGGATAATACTGAGTCAGAAGTATTTGAGAAACATGCCTGCCCATAATTGTATATAACTACCCGATTCTCCATTCCCCAGTCTCTCTCTCTTTTTATCTCTCCCTCCTTCTAGCTCCCCCTCTTTCTCTCTTCCTGTCTCTCATATCTGCTTCTTTCCCCTATTTCCAGGTGCACACCCTTTTATTTTACCTTTTATCGTATGTCCATGAATCTATCAGTCATTTAAAAAATAAAATAATGTGTGATTGCCAAAATCACACCTTTTGAAGAGCAAAACCAAATACACAATTGCCAATAAAGTTGAAAGTTGTGTCAATATGATTCACTTTGAAAAATAAATTGTTTATCTTCTCAGAACATATATATGAGAAGATACAAACTTTATTTATCAGGATTATATCACATTAACACAACCTTACATGACAAGAGTAATACAAATTATTCAAACTTAACAGGCAAGTGTATTTTGTTTGAAAGTCCATCAAAGGGCAAGTTAAGTGGAATTACCCCTACATCTAAATACAATTCAAAACACCCATACAGTTTTTTACACAATACACGTATTGCCAAACAAAAGACAGAAGTATAGCAGAATAAATTATGACATTCAAATCATTTATTTCAGTCAGGACATCACAAGCTAGATCATCATTTAAGAAAATAATTAGTTTTGTTCATGTCTTTACTTAATCATTGTAACACAAGGTAATGAAAGAAAGGATTTAGTTAACATCACATAGTCTTTATATCTTTGTAATGCCCTCTTAGCATAGGCCTACAGTTTATGACATCAAATTAACCCTGCCATACACAAACACAGAAAACATTTTTATAACCGAGTGTGTGAAAACAAATCATTGTACTCTTATTCTCAACCTCCCCCTCTTACCCCCTATTTCTCTCTCTCTCTCTCTCTCTCTCTCTCTCTCTCTCTCTCTCTCTCTCTCTCTCTCTCTCTCTCTCCTTTAATCATTTGACAACAGATACCCTACATAATACTCAAAATTCAATTGGCATGATTAGCACTGTTTCAAGACAGCATTCAAAGATAAACAATTCATGTATTCAATAGATAATATCACATCTCCACAAGGCTGGCTCCAGGGCTGGTTCAAGGTAATGCCAGCAAAGAAACTAAATAAAATTGACTTTCAAATTGATTTGGTAAAGTTCTACCTAATCTCTAAGGTATAATATGCCCCTCTATTTAGATGAGTTGACATAGAAAACTTGCTAGAAATTCAAAAACTCATACCAAATTGTTATCTTCAATGCACAAAATAGATAAAGTGGCCAATTACTTTCTAGCTAATTACATATGTGTACTAAATAAAACGTATTTGAGATTTCTTCAATGAAATAATGTTTTATCTCTCTAAAGCCACATCTGAAAAAAACCTTCTAGATTCATTTTGTTGTGTTGTTATTACTTATGTATATAAATATATTTGTTTAAAAGTACCGACTGCTATCTGACTTAACTTCATTCACATATTCTCATTTACTTGCACTTTAGAAGGCCAATATGATACAGAAACAGATACGCACTGTTTTGAACATTTTACACAAATGTATACTTACCAACCCTGAATTTCTCAATACGAGAAAAGAAAAATATATTTATATTTAAAGATATCATGAATCCAATCTAAATTTAGAGTGATCTGAATTACGAGACTCAAGAACTCTTACTATTAGCTAAATATGTAAATGGATCAAATTTATCCAACCTACTTCAACTTCAAATGAAATAAATTAAATGTATATATAATTCCACACATGGAAATGAGCAAAGAGAATACTGGAAAATCCATTTATCTCACACAAAAAACCCACTTCTTTTTGACATCATTGGAAGACTTGAAATAACAATGGATATCAAAAACGTTTGTGATTTCAACTAAGTATACAATATATGCAGTACAAACATGTTTTCATGAAATCCGTGATCCCTAATACTAAAGTGCTTAATCTAAAAAATGCCTTTTGAACAAATATCAAAGTTTATGTAGAACACAATAACTTTTACTTCCATTGTTTTTGTGAGGACAAATTGTGATTCCCTTTTTAAGAATATAATTTTATGAAAAGAAAAGGTTAATAATGATCAAATTAAAAATAGAAATGTACATCACATTTGATATCCATAATATATTCACAATCAAAATATCGCCCCCAAATAAAAACAAATATACATGTAACTCAATTATAAATAAACTGATTTAGATGGAATCGTTTTTGATTACTGCATCATTTTGAATGATAGTCACTTTTGTCAGTACAATGAATAAGTATCACATTTTAAAACATATAAAAGCACACAATTCAACAACACCAAATTTTCTGTCACTTATGTATCAATAAGTTATAATCAATTTTACATCATCGTTTTGAGGATCCACAATCCTTCATTCCCTTAGGACGTTTTCAGACCGTCATCATTCCAACTACCGGTATGAAGAATTTAAATATTATCACTGCATCATTTTTATATTATTCTGGAACATGAAGAAAAAAAATAAGAAAAAAAATATCAACAGAATAACATCAGCAACAAGTTAAATGCTTGTGAGCCTAACATGAATACTAATATTTTCTGTCACAGGACTTTAAAGGGAATGAAATAGCTCAGTAATCAAGAAAGCTTTATAGATTTTACATGCATGCCCACATTTCTCTGTCCATTTTCTTCTTTTAACAATGTCTCATATTCATTAGTCATAACGCTTTCTTTTTTATTCACATTCAATATTCATTAGGAAAAAAATAGTGTAAAAATACCACTGCCCAATCAGGGCCAAGAAATAAGATTATTCTTCAAACAGATCGAAGGTCCGATTGGCGAATTGCATGATTTTTCATGATCTCTCGCAGGTCTTATTGTAAAGGCATTTAGCACAAGTTTAACAGGAAACAAAATTCATCCAACTTTCCAAAACTGATAACAATAAGTTACCAAGCACATATCTGAGTACATTACAATGATTTATCTACGCAACTTTGGAATGATTTGAAATTGAAACAAAAGTACACAAAAACTAATACTGGAAACATTGAGCATTGCTACAGCGAATTATTAAAAATATACATGTAATTGTATTATTAAAGTTTATGTACAGTATTGGTCAACTAGATTTATTACTTTGTCATTTGATAAATAACTAAAAGATTTTCATACAGAATATACAAGCAAAAGGACAAAATCAATATTTTATAACAAAACTGCCACATAAATTAAGTTTTGCTTCTACCTATTTGTAGGTTTCCAAGCCAAGACTACTCTTTCTCACATGTTCTTGTGGAGCAGAGTAGAGTACAAGCAAAAGATGCCAATAATAGTAATAGAAATTACCATCTCTTTTCCTATGACTTTATGGGAAAAAGAAAGTAATGAATGCCCTGGTCATGTTTCACATGCCAAAATATTTATGTCGTTGCTAATTTCTCTATATTTTAATGGTATCTCCTGGAAAACATTCTTCTATTTTCTTATGGAAAAAAAAAATGGAAAATAGACAACAAATATATTTCTAGGCTAATAATTTTGATCAAAAGACAGATGAAAATAGTAAAAAATAAAAATAAATTTTCTGTGCTGTTTTTTCACTATTTTTCAACTCCAATAGGTTTAGACTATTTTCTTTTGACGAGGGTGTGCCTAACAAGTACAAGCTTACAGCATGGTATTTATTTATTTCTTAAGAAAAAAAAATTAACACATACACATTTTGCAGAATAAATTTGCTGCAAATCAAAGTTATCTAAATTAAATCATAGATTACCATTATAATCATTTTATTACAATACATAACATTCTTATTAACTTATCTTTCACATGAATATGAGAAAAATAATTTACAGTACAAATTAATTTATAGTGCTTTACATGTTTTGAAAGATTGCAATAAAGAATGTTGATATAATTACACAATAAATTAAAGGCAAAGAAATGGCACTGAAAGATTGTCTGTATTATTTCTTATTTTCATCTGTAGTTATTGTCATTCAAATCATGCAGCATCATAAAAGGTATTTCAATACGAAGCCAGTGTTTTAAAGTGCTAGCTTCTTTACAATTTTACAAAGAAAGGGAAGATGTGGAAAATATAATGGATCAAATGAGGTGTGATATGGCTTAGTGGTCCAGCAGTAGTCTTGAAACTAAGAGGTCCAGGGTTAAAAAAAAACCAAGTCAATGTGCTTGTGCCTTTGGTTTGACATTCCCTCAGATAGGACTCAAAGCTGTAGATCCCCTGGTTGTTGTTTTGATGAACTTGAAAATGACTGCACATCCAATAATTTATGATGTAATAATAATAATAATATTCTGCTTTTATAAAGTGCCCAATACATTGATACAATGATGTTTCTAAGGGCTTTAATTACAGATATATTATTACCCCGGTCATCGGATTCAGGCTTAACCGCACACAATGTATTCACATTCTCCACTCCCTGGGGAGCATTCTGGCCAGTCGCCATTTTACAAGCGCACACTTATACAATGGGTGTACAACGGGTAGTTTTCATAAATATTTTGGAAGACTGAGTTCCATAGAAGTCTGTCCTGTGTTGTCATGGTGACAGGCTGTTGATCATGTGATCTGCTGTAAGAGTTTGCAGCCCCACGCTTGCACATCCATTATTTCATGATGTACAATGGATAATTCCATTTCTCCTACATATTCAAGACAAATTCTACAGGCCTGTCCGGTGTTGTCATGGTAACAGGGTATTGCAGGAGCTCGTGATCATGTGACCTGCTATAACAATTTGCAGCCCCATGTTTGTGGTACCACCAGCTGTATCCACGAACTCTGCAGAAGGAAAGAAAAGAGAAAGAGAAAAGATATGGAAGTAATTACATTATGTTCCTCACTATATTATCATTATCATTATTATTATTATCATAATGATTATTATAATTATTATTATCATTACTATCATCATCATCATCATCATCATCATCATCATCATCATCATCATCATCATCGTCATCATCATCGTCATCATCATCATCATCATTATTTTTGCTGCCTAAAATAGGGCAGAGGAAAATAGAGAGAGGGACGGAAGAAAGAGCAAAGAAGGTAAGGGAGAAAAGATAGGTGGAGAGAGAAAAAGGACACACAGAGAGCGAGAAAAAGGGGGGAGAGAGAAAAAGGACACACAGAGAGCGAGAAAAAAGGGAGAGAGAGAGAGAGAGAGAGAGAGAGAAAGAGAGAGAGAGAGAGAGACGGAAGAAAGGGAAAGGAAGGTGAAGAAGAAACGATAGATGGAGGGAGGAAAAGGACAGACAGAGAGAGAGAGAGAAAGGGAGAGAAAGAGAAAGGGAGAGAGAGAAAGAGAGAGAGAGAGAGAGAGAGACGGAAGAAAAAGAAAAGAAGTTACAGGAGAGGAGATAGATGGAGAGGAAAAGGATAGAGAAAGAGAGAGAGAGAGAGATAAAAAAAGAAAAAAGAAAAAGAATAGAAAAAACAATAAATGCCAGTTTTGAGGATTAGTAAAGCACACTCACCCTATCGTAATCGCAGTATAACCTGGCATACCACTCTAGATTGTAGAGAACTAATATCAACCCCATGCCAGAGATGAGAGTGATCCACATGAAGATATTCCAGATGGCAGACTTCCACTCGCCGGTCATAAATATGGACAGAGGTACTGGGGATGGCACAAATACAAAAAGAAAAATATTGAGAGGAGTGAAGGTACATGTACTTGGAAAAGTTGGCGTAATTGCTACCTGCATCACTTCACATTTTGCTTGCTTTCCTTGCCTCTCTGCACAGCCACTCGTTTACCACATGTGCAATTTTGCACAAAACAATATGCACCAATTGCTTGTTAGTTACTGTAACACAATGGCTTGGCAAAATCACCCATTTTTGGTCTTGGTGCGCCCCATGACAACCGTTTTAACACCGGTGTAGATTCACGTTGCATTGGAAATGGTGAAATAACCTAGAGGCCTTTAGAATATCTATCCCATTATAAATATATAGATATATGGTATAGATTCATGTTGCATTGGAAACAGTGAAATAATCTTGAAGCCTTTGAAATATCTATCCCATGATAAACACAATGTGGCACAGGGAGATTATTCAATATTTGTTTGGCATCTAAAGGGTTAATAAATCGTGAGCATTTCAAAGTCCAAATATCCCTGTGCTTTGAAGATATCAATAACCCCCTCCCCCCCCTCTCTCCTCCTCTCCCCTCCTCTCTCCCTCTCTCTCTCTCCCTCTCTCTCTCTTCCTCACCTCCTCTCCTCTCCTCTCCTCTCCTCTCCTCTCCTCTCCTTTCCTCTCTCCTCTTCTCTCCTTTCCTCTCTCTCTCCCTCTCTCTTCCTCTCCTCCTCTCCTCTCCTCTCTCTCTCTCTTCCTCTCCTCTCCTCTCCTCTCTCTCTCTTCCTCACCTCCTCTTCTCTCCTCTCCTCTCTCCCCCCTCTCTCTCTCTCTCTTCCTCTCCTCTCTTCTCTCTCTCTCCCCTCTCTCTCTGTTCATTTACATTGGGAGGAGTGCAAGTCTTTTCCTTTCCATTGACGCATTCAACTCATTCTCGCTACATTCAAAACATGGCATCAGTATGGCAATTCATGCACAATCAAATTTTAAAAAAGGAAATCAAAATGGTCAAATTTTTTGAGCATAAACAGTACAAATCAGCAATATGTAGAGGACTTTAATAATTGGAATTAAAAACAATAACAAATTGTTACACTACATAAAAATGCATCAGATCTATACCAAGAGCCCAAGAGCTGTAATCTTATTTCCAGATATGTATATTCTTCTTACCTCCAACACCCACAAAGAATACAAGCAGAACTGGATAGAAGTATCGGAATGCCATGACGATAATATACTCGTGGACTACGGCCGATATTGCAAATACCATCAGGCTACTTGTTAGTCTTCCTAAGCCTAAAAGCTGGAAAAGAGAAAATATGAAATGTTAGCAATCTTTTATCATATTGCCTGTATATATCCCTCCCACAAAGTGGCAGCACTGTGGTATGTTGGTGAAAACTCGCACATACAGAGTAAAGACAGGCCAGTTGGAAAGGGGGGGGGAGTTAAATAGATGGGTGTGATAACACACCCTCCTCCCCTTTTGTGAGAAATAACATGGACTGCAAAAGCTGATGACCTTTTTTTTTTGCTTGGCAAAAGAGAATTTAGGATTTGTCCCCTTCATATTCAAAGATAGATGTCCACCCATATGTGCACACCTGTTATTTTGTGAATGAAAACGCCCTCCGCCCTTTCTAAAGGCTATTTATGGAAGTAGATACAGTCAAACCTGCTTTAGTGACCACATGTGTAGAAAGACCACCCGTCTATACAGACCACATTTTTTTGTTCCACTTAAATGTGGTTTCTCATTGAAACTTGTAATACAGGAACCTGCACATTCATAAAGACCACCAGCTTATAAAAAACATTTTTTATGTTTCCCTTGGGTGGTCTTTATATACAGGTTTCACTGTACTTCAAGCAATACAGGGGGTGTTTCATGTGGAAGTCCCTCAATAGGCTTCGCACAGGGGTGGGGCGATGCAAATACAACATGCATAAATGAGGATACACAGATGACACAGACACCGACTGCGAGTGTGGAACATCCGTGCAATCTATGTCACACTTATTAAGATGCTCACTCCTAGATAACGCCCGGCTGGAATGCTCCCCAGGGAGTGGAGATTGTGCACACAGTGTGTGCGGGCAAGCACTGAATCCAATGACCGGGGTAATGGTATATTTGTAAAGCGCTTAGAGACATTGCATTAAGCGCTATATAAAATTTAAATATTATTATTTTTATTAGATGACAAATGCTGCCAGGAAGACCTAGTGGCAGCAAAGGAGAAGGCTCTTCAGTGTACAAAAGCCTAGCAGAACATTTGAGCTCACAGGGGGGCATTTCATGAAACAACCGACTAATATCATGTTCACCGACAATTTAGTCAGCGCGGACTAAATTTGACCAATCACAGGCCTGGAAAATAGTCAGTGACAAAAGAATTGTCGGTGAACATGATATTAGTCGGTGAGAACCACCGACTAATTGTTTCATGAACGCCCCCCTTGAGGAACACAAAAGAAGACAAGCAATGAGGCTGCCTGGACTTACCTGGCAGTCCCTGTAGATATATGTATAGAGCCAGTCATGGACAACAATATTCCATGTCCTGTAATAGGTGGAGTAATTCTTACATGTCCACCAGTCCTGCAGAGAGAGAGAGAGAGAGAGAGATGTAGGATCAATTTGCTATGTTGTCTTACAATAGTAATGTACATGTATCAGATTTATTATTCATGTTGTTGTAAGATAATAATAATAATAATAATCTTTTAAAGTCCACTTCAAATCTTATTAAGTTAAACCGAAAATGGAAATTCTTTTTGCCCAATTGATCGTGAGCCCGGCAGCCACTGATCGAGCAGCGCAAGATCAACGTTGCTTTATCTATTGACAACAAAAAGTATTTTCTTGAGTTCACATTAATCTTGTTCAGGATTACATATAAAAATGTTTGAGTATTGGGAGGAAAAAAAGACAGAAATTCAATTTCTATTTAGAATGAGCTCACACACTAAAAAAGTAAGAATTAAACCTAACCATTGCGTCATTATTTTATTACTGGCAGGATGAGATTACTAGTATGATAGTATCACTGTTATCTAATTGCATAACTTAATTAGCAATCTATATCATGCACTATAGTTATCTTCTTTAATTTATATCCAAGGTTCAAATAGTAAGTCAAGTGATTTGCAGCAGTTGATCTACAGTTCAAGAATATTTGCTCTCTGATTCCATATCAAAACGTTCAGCTAAACCAATATGTACTTCTGCAATTGATCAAACCATATCTTTATATTTTGCTGACTTTTTATTTCTATGAGGCCATTCACCCATTAAGGACAGAAATATCCAAAGGCTAAATGAATTATCTTTTCTCCTTTTAATTTAGCAACACAGATATTTCTCATGTCTCCCTAAACCATTGTTGCAAGAAGTCATCTATTTGAATTGCAAGGAATTGAATAGAAGTTCAATTGAATTAATTAATGAACAAACAAATTGTATTTTTAAAAAAAATTGTACATTTTTCAATGTGTTGCCAATTCAAAATTCTGATCAGTACATCTTCATTTTGGGGATTTCTTTCCTAAAAATCACAATAAGGTAATAAATGTACACAACTAGATCACCTTTTGAGAGCAAGAAGGCAATTAACTCCCATGCTTTGTACACAGACTTAAAACCCCTTTGGATCTCAACAGATAAATCGAAGAATGCTGTAATAACAAGCACCTTGAAAACCTATCTTTATTTTCATCCCTCGTTTTTAAAATGTATCTTACTGGGCACTACAAATAAAGAAAACAACTTGTACAACCCAAATCCTACCAAACACTTTAGAAACATAACATCTCCTTGTAATACTGAATCTTACTTTGTACTATGACAACCAGGCATGTAATAGTTAAGCGCTTTGTAATACTCATAAAAGGTGATTTATTTATACAACTTTGTTATCATTGTGAGATTTGTTACCTTGTAAAACTGCCTGTCTGCAAATCGAAGCATTTCAGCAAAAGCGTTGAACCAAGAATGGAGTACTGCAAAGAAGGCTAGTAAAAGCATAAGCGTAGCTGGAAGCATACAAGTAAAAACTGTTCTCGCCAAACTCTTCATCGTCATTAAATCTTCATTAAAGTTCTTGAAGAGCGGGATACAGAAGCAGTCGAACAGGTAGAATGTGTAGAATAAACATCCAAGTACCTTGATTGATGAAGAGAAAAGAAAAGTTTACATCATTAAAAGTAATATTTGATATTTTGACTTTGTTCATTCATTATGTATCAATATATATATGCACTCACTCACCCACCCACTCACTCACCCACTCACTCACTCACCCATTAACTCACTCACCCACTTACTCACCCACTAACTCACTCACTCACCCACTCACTCACTCACCCACCCACTCACCCACTCAACCACTAACTCACTCACTCACCCACTCACTCACCCACCCACTCACCCACTCACTCACTCTCTCACCCACTGACCACTCACCCACCAACTCACTCACCCACTCACCCACCCACTCACTCACCCACCCACTGACCACTCACTAACTCACCCACTAACTCACTCACTCACCCACCCGCTCACTCACCCACTGACCACTCACCCACTCAACCACTCGCTCACTCACTAACTCACTCACTAACTCACTCACACACTCTCACTCACTCACTCACTCACTCGCTCACTCACTAACTCACTCACACACTCTCTCTCACTCACTCACTCAACCACTCACTCACTCACTCACTCACTCAACCACTCGCTCACTCACTAACTCACACACACTCTCTCTCACTCTCTCTCTCTCTCTCTCTCGCTCACTCTCTTTCTCACTCACTCAATCAATCAATCAAACTAAAATGCATTAGTATATCTACTTGTACATAACTTTACAAAAACGAAATTCAATCAATCTATCAATCAATCAATTGATCAACTGAATAGTAGTTTCAATCTTAAAGTATTTTGTGTAAACGAACCCCTTCCCCCTCCACCTCCCCACAACTTAAAAAAAAAAAAATTGCAAAATCAAATGTGAAAATTTCTAAATATTTTGAGAGATATCAAAAAGTAGATATAAAGAGCAAAACAACTAGCCTTGTGCTGACACTAACTGACACTGTTTTGACATTGCTTGTCTAAAGTAATTATTTGTTTTGAGTATACACTGATAATAAATACAAACATTTGATTACGGATCATACGATGTCGGAAGCTGCTTGCTCCTTTGAACCGTAAATTGACAACAGAGCAGTTTATTCCAGGGCAATTCTAGAAACTACCATGTTTTCTACAAGCTCAGATCAGCTTTAAGTAAAAATGGCTACAGTCTTACTTAGATCACATTTACTGTATGTCACCCGAAGAAAATTCACGACATCTGATAATTATGAACAAATTATATTTGGATGGAAAGATTTTCTCTTGAAAAACACAAATAATTTGCTGAAAAATCATATACCGTAGATATCATGGAAGGGCGTAAAATGCTTTGTGGTCCCCCATGGTCCCCTTTTTCTTATGTTTATTGAAAGCTGCTTTGATGAGATAACCACCTGTCAGTGACCATGCAGGGAGATCTAATCTCCCCTGGCCAAATTAGTGCAGATAGGCTTTAACAAGCACACCTTAAGCCAAAACATGAATTATGAAGCACAATGATATCACATACTCCTCATTTGTTAACCCATTGAATGTTGGATGCGTTATTTCAAGGTTTATTTCAAACATTCTAGCTGTACACAAATGATTTCTTTTAAAGGTGATTGGTACAGTGCGTGATTTCAAGTTGGGTGTTAAGGGCTGGTGTTAGTGTTTAATAAACACTAACACTAGCCCTTAACACCAAAATGGAAATCAGCTGGTGCTAAGGCTTTGACCTCTGAATATCGTCAACTTCCGGTACCTAGTGTTATCGATTTTGCAAAATTGGCGTCTGCTGAACCGAACTTTGTGGCTGGTGTTAATATTGTACGTACAAATCTCCTATCCACTAACACTAGCCCCTAGGGATTAAGCAAATGTTGATTTCCAGTTCCGTGTTAGTGTTAAGCTGACGATATTGATATCTGGCTCTTAATGTTATCAGCAAATTTTTAGCTTGATTTAAGAGCTCCTGACTGCTCTAAACACCGACACTTACACTAACACCCAAATTGAAATCACTCAGTGTAATGCTTACCTGGAGGAAGTTCACCCTGACCACGTCCCATCTGATCTCAGCCGTCCTGGGATAAGAGTCTCGATAGATGAGAGTTGGGCAGAACAGAAAGTAGAGGTACTTAGAGAAGTCTGGGCACGGTGTCACCACTTCTTCTTCGGTGTGATTGCCGTTAGCGACAGGGTCATCTACATCACCATCGGGTGTTCCTTTTGAATGGCCGTTTGTGGCTTCTGAAATAAGCACAGAAGAGAATGTAAGCGGTTGGTCATTAATTGTGCAACAATAATTGTCAAATAGGGGGAAAAGAAACACATGGGTACATAGCAGCAAAATAATGATAAGTATTTTGAAACTTTGTCTCATGCATACTTTTTTCTCTCCCTTTGTTTATGGTGAATGAAACAATTAAAAGGGTCTGCTTCATCATTATTGGGAAAAATGTTAACAATATTGTTTTGAATGGCTTTTTTTGGCTTCTGCAATAAGGACAGAATTACTACTGTCAAATAAGAACACATGAGTACATAGAAGCAAAACTTTGAACAGTATTTTGACACAATTTTTTGATGCAGACTATTTTCTTTTTTCCTTTTGGTGAGTAAAACAATGAAAAGGGTCTGCTTTATTATAGGGGGAAATGTGATTAGCTTCTATTTGATTTGTTGTTCTTCTTTACTCAGCAATTCCAATTACTTGACTTTGCAGTTTCTTTTTTGTCAAATCAACAAAGTAACATACAATTTGTAAAAGAAAAACAATGTATTATTTGTATAACACTTTGACACTAATCTTTTAAAAATACATAACACTGACAAAAGGTATCCAAACAAAGCTTAATGTCAGCATCTTAAGAAAGAGCTAAATGGGAAATAAATCCTGAGGCAAGATCCCATCTTTCCTTACTTTTGGCTGCTATTCTCTGTCGTTTCCATGCCAACGCCCTGGGAGCATTCTCCCTCATGAAGGCGTGCATCTTCATGAGGAGCCGGACCTGCTCCGCGGTGATGATGATGGAGGATGCGATCGGGAGAGAATGGACTAGGACGGCCCGCATCGGTATGTAGAGGAAGATGGCTTGGTAGAGGACATACACTACTAACCATGCTGCATCAGGAATGTACAGTCTGCAGATAGTAGTAATGAAATTTAAAAAATGAATAATAGTAAAAAATAAGTACATGTAAATGCTATTTCTTTCTATCATATGGTGAAATATAATATCTTTGTGCATTAAATACATTTACACCATTATAATCATGCAACACCAGGTAATGTACAAACTGCAATTAAAAATAATAGTAAATTTTGATTACTATTTCATCCTTTAGTGTGCATCACATAATGGTGATATTAAATCTCTGTTATATGCTTCCAAAAGGATTGGAAAGATTAACCCTAGGTTGAATTTCAGCAACTACTATCAGCACACATTATTATTATATCATCATCATTATCATCATAATTGTTATTATTATTATCATTATTATTATTATTATCATTATTATTATTATCATTACTATTATCATTATCATTATTATCATTATTGTGATTATTTTTATTGTTGTTATCATCATTATCATCATCATCATCATCATTATTATTATTATTATTACTATTGTTATTATAATTGTATTATTATTATCGATATCATTATTTTCATTATCATTATTCATATCATTCATCTTCGTATTATTCTTATTATTATTCTCATAATTATCATCATTATTAATTATTAATATTATTATAAATCTTATTATTATCATCACAATCATTATTATCATTATTACTATTATATCTGCTCAACTCCCCCATCATTACAAACACTGTAAATAATGATCAATGTTCTATGCATGTACCTGAAAGGGCTGTAATAAGAAGACCCATGTTGAGCCCAGTACTGAAAGGTGCAATAAAAGAATAACATAGCCCAGATCTGCATTAAGAACCAGGTCCAGAGGACGGTGGGGGCCTGGCCGAAGGCTCGCTGGAGTAGACCAAAGTCCAGACGTATGCTGAAGAGAAAAAGAGAAAGAATAACATCATTTCATACACATACATTTAGTTTGTTTGTCAAAAATAATTGTTTGTTGGTTACAAGAAGGCATCAATGATTAGACTTGCTCCAATGAAAAATAGATGGGATAAAATTATTGCTTACAAATAAAAAATTAATTAACTGGTTATATACAGTATGTTGATTTGTTGATAATAAATATTGTATTTTTCCAATAAAAAAATAAAAAAATTGGACTAAAAATATAATTAGATTAAACAAATAATAACACTAACAAAATAAGTAGACTACGGTAACAATAATTAGACTAAAAAGATAATTACAATTTGAAATTATTGGACTAAAAAGAATAATCAGAAAAAAAGTAATCAAGACTAAAAAGGGAGGGGTGGCATGGGAGGCAAGGTCTTTGTCATATCCACTAGATCTAACAGTAATTTAATATATACAGTGTATAATATATCATATCATTAAAAGTCAATGTAAGGGCATAAAAATATCCACAAATGGCATGAAATTTGTCACCTTAATTGCCTGTTATGGTTTTACTATTTATAGAATACAACAATAGAAACTGCAAGCTCTAAATAAAAATTATCATGTGTATTATTAACAATGAGTATTTTCTCTTTTCACCTCCCACGTACTTGAAACAAAGTCAATAATCATCAAGTTTGATGTCATGTTCAGTGATAAGATTCTTCCCATTTCCTTATTTGAGTCAATTATAGAACAGTGTGAGCGACCATCATGTCTATTTCTGAAGCAGATGTCATGGCTAGGCATATAAATAATTAACCAGGGTGTCACACATTTTATCGGTTTGAAGGCGTACTCTGGAGTGTTGGTTATGACTGAAAACAAACTAAGGTGATCGCAACATTTGCTCTGGGCTTTGTTTTTATCAAAAAAAGTAAGGGTTAGGGTTGAAATTTAGGTTTTGGATATCTGGGATAGGTTAAAGGTCAGAGTCAGTATGCAAAAGACTTGACTGTTCATGCAAGCTCATTTTGGATTTGTGGTAAAATAGCAATATTCATACTGCAGTGAATTTAATTGTATTTTTTCTTCTTCTCACCACAGATAATTTTGTATACCTGCATACATGAAGTTCACCATAGATCTTTTTGAGCTTTCCAAAGCTAAATCACTCATCACTCCAGTGCATTTTTCTCAAATTCTCAAAGAATCATTATTGTACGCCGAACAAACAGTGAATGAAAAAAAACCTACAGTGTAGAAAAATTCTGTAAATATGTACCTACATACATGTATATACATGTAGCTGTGAAAAGAGCCAATAAAGATTAATTAAGGAAATAGAGGAAGACTGAGCACATATCAAACGGTATCTATATGCTAATGAGCTGGGATTTTCAATAAATGTGATAAATTCCTGCAAGTACTTTTGGTTGTTTCTAACAAACTACAGAATCGATTACAGCCAGTTTCTCACAAAAAAGCAACTTCATTACCACGATTGGCTTTAAATAAAATTATGATTCATCAACTCAGTTGTGCAACTGCATGATGTACAATTGTGTGTCTCTCTATTGTTCTAGACAACACACAATCTCCTTGAACAATGTGCCGTTCAGCTAGCGGCGGGAGGAGGGGCACAAGCTAGGGTCCCACATTTGTGCTTTTTAGAAATTTGAGTCATTCAATTTGACATCGACTTTTCTTCTGTTCTTTTCTGCTTATCAGAATTGTTAAAAAAACGAATTCCCCTCCATACGTGATAACGTGTTTTTTGGGCTTGTCAGACTTAACAAAAACTAGACTCCCACCGCAAATCCTGCACGTGCCCCTGCTCACAATCCAAATATTACATGCTGGGAACATTTTCACATAGCCCAGTTGGCAGACAACATGTGGTACTGACACCCCATAAGACCAACATTATTCAATTCAAATTCAAATTCAGTCAATATAATCTGAAGTGGAGTACCGTAGGCTCCATGGCAGAATGACCTAAGTAATCAGTCAAGTATTCTCTGCGACAAAAGTCCACCAAATTCTTTTTTTTTATGACAGAATGACACAAACTGAGACCAAAGTCTGATCAGTTCGCTGTCCTGTGGTGATCCATCTTGCTAGCAACTAACACGTACAAAAACTAAAAATAGTGGCTTCTGTAAATATTGTGATATGTAATCATGTAAATTTATCTTGGCGGCATCTATATATGACAGAGACACCAAGTTATTATTTCTCTATTTTATTTCATTATTTTATATATATATATATATATATATATATATTTTTTTTTTTTTTTTTTTGGGGGGGGGGGGGGGGGGCAGCGGATGTCCATGTGTATTGGTTCTGTAAATGTACTTATGTATATCTGTTTATAGGCTTAAAGGTATTACAAAGTTTTGGTATGGGGTCATGAATTTGGTTCAAATGAACATATTGGAAGCATATGCATTCCTACAATATCCATTGATCGTTGTCGCGGTTGAAATCGAGTCTAAAGTTATGAAATAATAAATAATAAACTCTTTATGTTGTATAGCTCCCTCTCAAGGTCAAGATATTGATTTAGCTATGAAACGATGTTTTTTGACTAAAATCGACCGATAAGATATTCTCGTTTGGAACTTGTATATCACAACAACATATTCTGAGATTTTCATAGTCGCAGCTACCATTGTACGGCCATAGGCGCTATCTGAAATCTGAAATTTATCAAATTTACCGGGAGCACCGGTAAATTTGTTATTAAATTTTTCTCGAAAAACAGAAGTGTTTTGGGGGCTAATTTATTTAGTGCTTATAATACATCCACAGGGGCATCCAAACATATAAAATTGTAAAGATTCACTTTCCACCCAATTTTCAAAATTTCCCAAAACTTTGTATTACCTTTAATATAATTTAGAAAAATTTGTACAGACTTTTCCCTAAGGCATAGGCCTCCTAAAGTATAACTCAAGCAGTTGCCTAATCCGAAAATTAAATTGTACAGGAATGTTGGTTTTCTGGTCTTTTTCTCAATTGAACTCAAAATAACCCTGGTATAATCTTCAAATGATAAGATAATCTCTTACAATGACCTGACCAGTGACCATTCATGAAATCTCTATGACTGAAGTGCTCATGCCAAGATTTCTTTGACAATTGCAAAAGAATTTTTAAATCTTGGTAATCGTGGAATGGTTACGTAATCTTAAACCTTGACGAATCAACAACTGGACCTTTAATCATTCGGTATACTGAAAAGAGACCAACAATGATCATCGGTCTATTCTTTCACCATTTCAAAAAGAGGCAAAGGAGTAAACGTTACTCCACAAGTCTCGTTTATTATCTGATTATCACAGTGGAATTACTTGTAAACTAGGTTGGGCAAGCCTCTTACAAGCTTTTGTGTCAGTTGACAAACTTTTGTTAGAAAGATATGCATACAGTTGGGAAACAGGTATATTGAATACCTGTTTATGGGCTTAATATGATTTTGAAAAATTGTACAGACTTATAATAATAATAATTACAGTGCTTATATAGCGCCTAACACTTACTTTGTCAGAAGTCTCTAAGCGCTCTACAATAATGCAGCATAATTACCCTGGCTTTAGTATCCACTCGACCACAACACCATTAGGCATGGGCTTCCTAAAGTTCAGAGACATTGCATTTTATTTTATCACTGTTCTGATAAAAGAAAAATATTATAGTTGCCAATTTGAGGAACAATATTTATATATCATTTTAGCCCTAAGACAAAATCCTGTCCTATATTGGATGGTTGTAGTAAATGTAACTCAAACTTACCTGCCAGTATCAATCAGATCTGTGATGAATGTATTCATGATGATGACGATTAACATCGCTACTAGGATGTTATAGATTGTCTGAATATTCTTGTCTTTTAAGAGTATCCTGGAAATGAAAAAAAGAAAAAAGGAAAAAAAAAAGAGACAGAAATGTTGTTAAAAGAATATGTGACTACAAGGATAGCTCGATTCAATGTCAATGTTAGACAAATGAAATGTCATGGTTCACATGTTTACACAAAAACATCAACCAAAGTATGGAAAATCAAATCTAAAACTGTCAGTCTTTGAACTGTAAATATTACTCATCTATGAAACAAGGAATGGGAAGCTTTTAAAAAGGCAAATCCATGTAAGCCAGTAGCAAAGTTCATCTATGTTTATTGTAAATAATGTTTACTGTATCCTAGATAAGATAAGACATTTATTTGTCTTTATTTCAAATGTCACATGTAGAGTATAACATTAGATCATTACACATTTTCAATGCAAAACAAACTACAATTTTGTTGAAACAATAGTCTAAAGTATATCAAACAAATGATAGAAACAAAACAAATGCAATAAACATAGTCATGATACACAATGTAAGGAAACACTACTCAAAGAGCAAAAAATAATATTTCTGGGTTTAACAAAATCTACAAGCTTAAAGTTTGTTCACATTGATATCTAATGTAATCATTGTAATGATGTCTGATTACAAGGTATGGCTTTCTGTTTTACTTCTTCAACTAAAGTTCTTTTCTTTTTCCTGTACATTCACGTGATCCTGTAACTCTACTGTGCCAGGAAAAAACAATATCAAATTGCTATTGTATTCCATACAACAAATAACCTTTAGGACAATTTTATCTTTTACCTTCCTCTCTCCTTCTTTGGTTTCATTTTGTCCACTATACACTTCTTTTGAAACGTTATTCAATATTTTCTTTGTCCTTTTTTTAAACCTGATTTTCTCTTACTGTATCTATGATGTAATGTGTTCCCTCATATTTTGAAGCGCCTTGAGCATTTAATTAGAATGGATAATGGCACTATATAAATCTCTTGCATTATTATTATGTTAATATATATATTCTTCACTACATGTTGCATTCAACTTATTCAAGTTGCTTTAAATGGATATTAGAGTGCACTAGATTTAGTATTTTTTTTAATGATTGAGTCAGCATATGAGCCAGGCACAGGGGGCAGAAAGGGTTTTGTAATTTAGGGGAGGGGGGGGGTAGGGTGCAGTGGGGACACAATTCTATTAGCAAAACATTGACAGGTAAACAACAAAAGTTATCACATTTTTTTCATGTATCATTTTGGGTATAATATTAGAAGGGGGGGGGGGGAGGGTGAGAAACAACTGTACATGTTTCCCACTCCATGGCTTGAATCCGACACTGTATGATATCATTGACTGAGTTTTTGTTAAAGGTAAAGACCAGTTATGGTCATGCGATTGCATTGTGAAAGAAACGTTGTGGAATCGATCAGAAAAGGTTGATCATCTAGCATCTAGCATCTGCAAGGTTCTGGAATCATCAAAATGATAAGAAATTTGGCCCATTCTTCGTAAAGTTACAAGCCCTATACACAGAAAGATGTATATGGGACTACCCTATATCTCTCACAGACCATGAGAGAAACAAATTTACCAAACATATGAATTAGTAGGCGGTTTCCCGGCAAATTTTTTATCATCATGTATTAGTCAAAACATATTCTTTCACATGATTGGTAATGAGAGCTTCCATTTCATTTTTTGAAATTGGGGCGTTTCCAATACTGGTCTTTACCTTTAATCACATGATCAAATGAATACTTGACCTATTCCATCCTTTCTGTTTTCATTTCACTGAAACCAAAATCAATATATACCAATCATCAGTAGCTTAGCTTCCAAATAACAATTTTGTCTGTTTGTTTGTGAGTTATATGTCACAATAATAGTTTCCTGACCGCATGTGTATAACAGCCTTAACAGACATGTGATCACTTCCCATGCTAACGGTGCATATTGGCGCTTTGATGTATGAATTTCCGTGTAGCATGAGTGCATGTGCTATTAATGGACAAACCATGTGTGATGTCGCTCCAGCACTCGGCAATGAGTGGACCATTTCATCATCGGGAATATTGAAACTAAAAGTAGCGCATCATGAGTAATATATACGATGTCGCACCTTGAAATGATCGCCCCTTATATCATGTTGATAAATCATAGTGTAGACCATGAGTCTTCCACTGCACATACACATGATAACACGTACAGCTGATCAATTTTACCACAAATATTTCTAAATACAACTCTCACAGTTATTCAAGTCTCCTTACAGATCTTGTACAACCTGCTCAGGAGACCAGTTCTTGATCTTTACTGTTGATTAATTTCATTCAAATTTCATTCATGTCATCTATTTCTTTATATTAGTACAAGGGCCCTCGTAATAAGCTTTGCTTTCTTCCCGGTCCTTCAAACACATTACTTTGTACGTATTCATTACGTAATTATTATGTTTCAATGGAAAAAATAAATTGGATTGAATTGAATTACCGGTATTTGATAGATCAACAATATGCTTTGAAAATAATATATGATAATATGACATTTGCCTCCACACAGTCATACAGGTTGAATAATCATATGCGCAGACATGATGAAACAATCAATACCCAGTAGTGTATAGAATCATGTGTGTTATACATGTACATGTATGTGTATTTTATTTGTTTGAAGGCTGTTGTAAAGTGCATTGACAATCTCTATGTCTAGTCATTGATGAGTTACTTCCTTGTAAAGCATCTGTGCATCATTTTACATCTTAATTATTTCCTTTTATTTCCCATTCTCAACTTCTTCTCTTCTACATAATTTCTTCTTCTCCTTCTCCTCTTTTTTCTCTTCCTCCTCCTCCTCCCCTCCTCCTCCTCCTCTTCTTTATTCCGCTTTAATTCATCATTTAGATTCCCTTTGTTACGGTAGTTACATTACTAAAGTTAATGCCCTCTCTAACGAGCTTTGAAGTCTTATCATGTAAATTTCCCATGCTTTTTTTCTTTCATCAATACAGAAGTTCAAAATATTTGATACTTACGTTAAAAGGGATTCCCTAGGTACAAACACCTTCTGTGCAAGAGGTTCCCTGTGGAAAAAATTATAAACAAAAAATAGTGAAATTGTTTAATTATCTCTTTAAACACAAGGATATCCAAATGTGGTTTAAAGTTTACCAATCACCTGAACGAAAAATAATCATTCATAGGAAAATGGAACCTCTAATATCAAGTGCATAACATGTTTTGGTGATTGGCACATTTCAATATTTATCTTACAACTTGTATTTGGATTTAATTCTAAAAATCATGTAAAAGTTAAAGAAAAATTTGATGTCAAACAATATTATGATTAAAAAAGGTTGAAATTATAGACATATCAATTTCTGGATATTATATAAACGTACCAAATACTGGGTAATGATTTAAGGCAAATGCAAAGATATTTGTTGAAAAACCAAACCAAAAACCAAACCAAACCAAACTTGCATCTCCAAAGGAGCGAAACTTGAAAGGGGCGGGGGGGGGGGGGGGGGGGGGAGCTGATAAGGGGCACGTCTTACCTTTTTCCTTTAGGGTTTTCCTTCACAGGTGATTCTAACTCCCCCATCCTTGTAACTTCTCCTACAAATCCATCCAGCATATTATTTAACCTGTCTTGCATCTGGTCTACAAAGTCAGTTTGCATCTGAACCAAAAATATCAAGAAAACAGGAAAAATACAAGTAAGTTTCAACAATATAACCCTTTCATGGGCACAAAATAAAGTTCTGCCAAGTGCTTTGTAGTGCTAAATGTACATGCAGGTTCAAATAAGCATGAATTCACTTTTTTTGTAAAGTATTGTAAGCTTCCTTCCACATAAAATGTTCACAAATTTTGTGAGCAGAAAGTTTTGTGCCACAAATATTTGAATTATTATACAAATAATGAATGGTTATGAGTTCAATAGTGCGAATATGTTCATGAGTTGAAAGATTAACATTCTATTCAACGAGGCGTCAGCCGAGTTGAATAGAATTAACGTTAATCTTTCAACGAATGAAAATATTTGCACTATTAAACGAATGAAAAACATTCATTATTTGTTTTATACAACATCGAAGAAGACCTAATAGAACGTTAATCAACAAATTATGCTTTACTCCTTATAAAGATAAATTACCGTTCGAGTCAAGCCTTCTCAATTACATGCAGATTGCCTTCGTGTCAGATACACGCAGGGATACGCGCGCGCACATGCAGCAGAGAGGTACGCAGTCTGCATATAACCAAAAATACACGACCGTGCAATATACCATCTATTGAATATCATGTGACCAACAATCGTCCAATCAAATGACAAGGATCCACGTAGGTGTTGTATAAAACTAGTGATAACACTGAAGTTTGTGATTTGGTTAATATATGTTGCTGTGGAAATCACTATTGTTTACCATTCATGACAGTTTCATGTCATCATACATCCAGTATCTGTGTGTACAGTAATAGGCATCATATACACTGTATGTAGGTTAAAGCAATAGATTTGGTGAAAATAAATAGTATCTATCATTTCGTCCCTATTTTCACGAAGTGACGTTAGTGAGGAAAATCGTAACGCAAAGTGAATGCGATTTTTATTCACTACCGTCACTTCGTGAAAATAGGGACGATTTAGCCTGTCTATGATTAAATAATGATCTATTTCCTTCAAATAGAATTAAAAGCTTTACAATATTTTCAACAGATGTGACACTTTTGAAATGGACTTTTATTCAAAGTGATTTTCAAAAAGTAGACTCTGCAAACAAACTGATAACAGACAATTTGTTTACCTTTATATATATCTAAGTCTATAGATGTCAAAACTTACCAAATTAATATTGAACCTTCCAGCAAAACCAAAACTATATACTGTATGTCAATATATTTAACAGTATTTGTAAATATACCTCATTCAAAAGGACAAGAAGTAATGTCAGGTACACACATTAATAACAGCAAAGTAATTCTAAATGCTCTTTTTAAAAAGAAGTACATGTATCTGAATACCAGCATAATAGAGATATACACTGTACTTTTCAGTGTACGTTGTGTAGTTATAAATGTAAATATACATCGTCCTTATTCAGATACGTACTTGTACATGTAATTGAACGACCAGGGAGAGTTTAAGAAATTTAACAAAAGTACCAGCAAATATACATTATTTATGCATGTCTACACAATTGAAGTGGGAGGGACAAGTGTACTTGATGCTAATTTGAACATCTGGATCAAAAGATGATGCACAAAAAAAAAAATCTGAACTTAAAGGTAAAGACCAGTTTTGGAAATGCCCCCCTCTCAAAAATTGAAAGGGAAGCTCTTGTTACCAATCATGTGAAAAAGAAGATGTTTTGATTAATACGTAATGATACAAATTTTGCTGATAAACCGCCTACTAATTGATATATTTGGTAATGTATTATATCTATTTTGACCTGATAGATATCGCGCACATGTCGCGCACGCATCGCGTAGTCCCATGTGCATCTTTCTGTGCACAGTGCTTGTAACTTTACCAAGACTGGGCCAAATTTCTGATCATTTTGATGATTCCAGAACCATGCAGTACACACCAATACTTATATGCTAGATGATCAACCTTTTCTGATCGATTCCACAAAGTTTCTTTCACAATGCAATCGCATGACCATAACTGGTCTTTATCTTTAAAATAATATTTTGAAAAATATTCACAAAATACAGGGCTCAAAGAACAGAGGGTTAATTCAAGATATACAGTACCTGCTGTGCTGCATTCCTGATCTGCGAGACGGCCATGTCTCGATCTCTGTCGGAACTTCCGGGAGAAGAATGCATTCTCCCGTTGTGACCTCTGTTTCTCAGCCCCTCCTGAACCCTGTGGTCCAGACCTAAAAAGTATGAGAGAGAAAAACAAGAGAAAAAAAAGAAATGGGATGAATTGCCAAGAGTCAACACAGACAAATTTAAACTTTGTGATATCACATGGCAAAAATTGTGTTTGATGTGGGAAATACATTGAGTTTCTCTTGAGAGTATCTCTCACCCAGGTCTACACTTCAAGCAAAGGGCGTTTCAATTTGTGTTATAACTTTCCACTATGCTGGCAGTACTAGAAACCAGAATTTTAGCATTTAACCACTCCTTTACATGTATAAACTACATGTGTTATAGGAGGGTATATATCAGTTCAGTTCAGTTTATTAAAAACACCATCCTAACATGGATCCTAACATGTGCATTTGATCCGATTGTGTTTTCAGAAACACACTCAGCGATTCACAAATATGAAGTAAATGAAAAACAACAATTTGTTGCTGTTTGTAGAATTCAAAATTAATGTATGCATGATTATGAGAACACTCTTGATTAGACAATTCAGATTAAATACATTTTACAAGATGCATTACCCCCACCTCCCCTGTTTGTGTCTCCCCCTATCTCTCTCCCTTTTTTTTCAAACTTCAGACTGGAGTGAAAGTCTAAGCATCATAGTGTGCGAGTCAACCAAGGTCAACAAACTTTTCCACTGACCCAAATAATAGAGAGTGGGGTGAAGTGTATGCATACCATTCACAATGTACTGATGCGTGTGAAAATCTGGGGGTGAATACAGAGGCTTTTTCTACAAAGGTATTCCTTTGTCTAAGGGAGTATTGACGTTGAAAAGGGGGTCATGGCAAAGTAAGGGGAAAGATGATGAAAGAACTGAAGAGCAAATTATATGACAGCCTCACACTGGAACAAACTCCAAATTGACAAAATCTAGACCATTCAGAGGTTAATTGTTTGAGCCTATTGTTGTTTCATCTGTGACTGCCAAGAGGTATGGATTTTTAAAAACAATGGTGAAGGGAAGGGGGTGAAGTGAAGGGGGGGGGGGGGGTTAAGTGAAGTGGGGGGGGGGGGAAGGGGGTGAGGGGAGGGGGGGGTGAGGGGTGTTAAGAAAGACAGACAAACAGAGAAATAAATACTAGCCGTACTAAAGTACTTATAAAGGTCTACATGAAGTAAGAAATAGAATGTAAATTAGTTCTGTTATCATATCTCTCCTGGCATGTTCTTTGCCATTTCTGTGCTGGCTCTGTCACAACAGAATTCATTAAGAAACTTCAAAGATGAATTTCATACACTACTGTACTATCAAATGAACTGATCCCTTTAATAGGAGTTTAGGTCAAAATGAAGAAGAAAAAAATTTAACACAATCCTTTTTCAGATTTTCTAAAAATAATCTTGTTGAACTTACTGACAAGTATCACAGTGCACCATGAAAATTGGAAAATTACCCTAGCATTAGTCATGTAATTATCTAGATATGACTTTTGCTCAAAGGTCATTAGACCTTGAAATATGATTTGTGAACCAAGTTTATGTCCACAGTTGTAAACCCATATAACATTGAATGTTTATGAGTGCAGGCAGATTACTGAAAATGTGTATTCTGTAGGCTCAATTTATGGACAAGGCTTTGTTTCTTCTCTTTAATACTTTAACAATATCACAAAACTTTTTATATCTCAACGATAAGACCATTGCACCCTTAAATCTACATTATAAATATTAACAAGGATAAATCTAATTAAATTGTGAGGCAAATTTGTTCACACTATTCCAAAAACCAAACAAAGTTCAGACCAAGTTCAAGAAACTTTTAGAAATAAAAATAAAACACCACCATTTCTCACAGAGGTAATAAATGGTCATGTCACCATTTGACCATTTCATTCACACATAAACAGAAAAGCAGATCAAATTTCCTTTTTAACTACGGTATGCATCTTAGAATTTGAGGGGAAATTTCGTTCACAGCATTAGAACAAAGTCATACAAATTTCATACTAATGATGACCTCCAATGCATACCATAGAAGCATAACAATTAAATTAAGGCCAACTATACAACAAGGATGTTTCTCAGAAGTTGGAGAGGAAAATGGTGACCCCAAAACCACACAAAGTTCATACCAAGTTCAACAAACTTTTTTTTACTCCCACTATTTCTCACTGCAATTTATAGGTCAACAAACTTTCCACCCCCCCCCCCCCCCATGTGACCACTTCCTCCACCATTGATAAAAGCACTGCCATAATGGCTTTAATCCCATTGATAACATTACAAAAGAACAAGATCTTTTGTTTGAGAATAGTACATGACTCTTTGGTAGCTAGTTCTCACAAAGTCACATTGTAACCGATGCCACTATAATAGTGTTAGTTTGGTTTTTACAAGTGCTTATCAGTCACTTTTGAATAGTTCAAATTAATGACACAGCACTGTGTCATCACAGGGCAAGTCCACCCTGATAATCAAGTTGGTTTTAATAGGAAAAGAAAAAGACAGAAACAGGTCAGTGAAAGTTTGAGCAAAATCTGATTGAAAATAACAAAGTTCTCTGTACAGAAAATATATTAAAACTTTCAAACGTACAACTGGGAATTTCCTTAGGGCAAAACAGACATTTCTGAACTTCCTGAACAGAGCAAATGGGAAGCCAGGGCTCTTGCAGATATGTCACAGAGTTGACAATTTAGGTTTGATTGATTGCAACTTCAAACATTCATAACTTTCTTATTTTTAAATCAGATTTTGCTCAAACTTTCACAGATTTGTTTCTGTCGATCTTTATCTGTTTCTATTAAAACCAACTTAATATCAGGGTGGACTTGCCCTTTAGGATGATTTCTACAGTGTGAAAGTCAGAAAGTGGCAAAAAGCTCAAACTATTCATCTTTCTGACTTCCACACTCAAGGAAAATGTATATGGTAATTTATCATCTGAAAGACATTGACATCAAGTTATATACCACTTAGATTCTGTTTCTAAATTTCATTAAAAACAGTGTACTCCATTAAGATTTGGTTACTTCTATTTATATGACCTGACAAAGATATGAAGAGGAGACAGGAAAAGAGGTAAAGAGTGAGAGAGATAGAGAAAGAGAGAGGGTAGAGATAGATGAAGAAACAGAACAATACACATCTCGTCCTAGAATATATACAGAGGGGATTTAAAGATAGAGGAGGAAAGAGAAGGAAAGAGAAGGAAAAAAGGGAGAGAAAGAGAGGAAAAAGAAGTCAAGTCCCTAACCCCATAACTCAAGTTAAGTGGGCACATTGAATAAAAGCAAGACGCAATGGTTTAAACAAAAATTAAATCCAAGAAAGGAAAAAATCAATCATGGCCCAACCCCTTCATCACCCTTCACCCATCTTTTCCCCTTTCAATTTATTGTGATGTGAACGGTGATCTATATTAGTAGGCTGTGATCTACTTTCTTGTACTGCGTAGTGTGTACATGTACATGTACACTGACACACAGTCCATGTGGCAAAAGAGTACAAGTTCAATCAAATCTTTGTAATACACTGAAAAGGTGACCATTATTCAGTCTCGATCTCTTTCTACCAAAATTGATTTATTTCCTTTGTATTCTTCCTGACCCCCCCCCCCCCCATCATTCTTTCCAGAACTTCAAAAAGTGGAGTGAATGGAGTAATAGGAAGGACAAAATTAGACCGTGGCACTCTTTGCATAACAATGAATATTATAAAGAAGGAGTACTTAAAATGCCCAGTCTATTATCATTTGACCGTGTAATAAAAGCTACTTATAAAGAGATACTTTGATGGAGGAAAAAAAAGTAAATGGAAAATGTTTCATGCACACTTTTTGAGCAAAATGGGAAGTGATATTTTTTAAAGCAGCAATCTCCACTCTATTCATTAAATTATTAATAAATAAGCAGACCTATTCTGGAAATATCTTTTGATTGCATGGAGTCACTACAAATACTATAATGCAGGAAATTATTTCAAAACCAATTTGCCTGAAATGTCATATATTGGTCGACGGAAAACCTTTCAATATTAGACATTTAAATTCTGATATGACATACATGTACATGTACATGTACATGTATGTTAAAGATATTTGCACAATGATGGTTCATTTATGTCTTTTGTTATCAAATCCAAAGTCAAATGAACTTTCTGTCGGGTTCATTTATTTTGTACTGTTCGGTTCTTTCTGCATTGTAGGTCTAGTACATGTACAGGTGTAGGTTAAAAAATATTTTGAAACATGGACATTTTGAAAAAGAAGGTTCTTCCCTAAGTTGTGTTGATACTGAACTTAAAGGCCCTCTAAAGTTAAAGCCCCTTTCAAGTGTTGGGTGTCCCCAATTCGCCAACAATTTGATGGCAAAAGAAAGAGGATGTCATTTAAGACACAATTCTGCAAAGGTTTCCCCCAAAAAATTTGAAGACAAATATTGATAAAAGAAAACATGATTTGGGTTTTCTGTTGTATGCAGAAAACCAAAATTTTGTATTCTTTCATTGATCATATTTGACTTCAAACACATTTGTTTTGAAAGTCGTTGCAGAAATGTGGCTTAAATGACGTACATCCTCTTTCACATTGTGATACAATTTAAGTGAAATGTTTCCATCAATTTTTTGGGGGCTCCCAACACTTAAGAGGGGCTTTAGTTTAAGACATCCACATTTGTGTACCATATTTTCTTGAAAGCATAGACCTATTCATTAAATATCTCAGAAACTAGATCTAGTTTCAAAATCCCATTTTAGGTTAATAAATTACTTGCATTTTTCCTAAAATGTTGTTGGTTTCAAGAAACGGGCCCCAGCTACCATGACATATTTTGCAAGAATCTTTAAACAATAAAGGAGGCAGACTTATTCAGAAGAAGAAGAAGTACAAGCCGCATGCAATACTTGTCCTAGCAGTTCGTTATGATAAGGATACGGGCAAGTTCCGGGTGATACTGACTCACTCGCTCCGCTCAACATAACACCACATCAAGCAAAGAAGATGAACACATCAATATTCTCATTCACTCACAAACATAACATGCAAAAGTAAAATAAATGTTATATTTAATTTACCATTTTGAAGTACGGGTCGTCTTCTCTCTCCTGTTTCGTCCATCTGTGTAGTGATCACGATTAATAAATATACAAATAAACTATTCGGGCAGAACCAAGTTCATGAACGACTGGCGTTTATCAATGACAATTCATAGAATGGAAAATCTAAATGCATCCATCAAGCTAGCTCAATGCATATATCGCGATGCGATGATAACAACACATGTGACGTACGTGTGTGAGCATTTCTCGATTCTCGGTACAGGAAAGTTTGTTGACCTTGTGTCTACGTCTGATGACGTCGTGCATATTTTAAAGATCCGCCTCCTCTCGATCCCGCAAAAAACCGGAGGTAGATGTGTGATAACAGGAGTTTTAGCGGAAATACACAGAAAACTGACAAATCACGGACGAACTGAATCACGAACTACAAATAAATAAATGAATGAATGAATGAATAGATAAATGAATATATAAATAGATAAGAAAATAACTTTTTATATATCGAATGAATAAATAGATGAATTTATCAATTATTAAAGTAATTAATTAATTGGTAAATCAATTAATCAATTAATTAATAAATGAAGGTGTCGTATTGTATCGAGGTCTATACATCAATAATCTGTTTATTTTGTTCTTCTATTTATCCTCTTTCGTGGGACTTTATTTTGTTCATATCATAAAATAACAGCTATTTACAACAGTGTTTAAATACAGAATTCATGCAGTTGTAACATATATCATACATAGTACAGAACATGAAACTAATGTGACATAATCACTAACTAAAATAATGAAAACATTTTTGTAACTTCGTTTCGAATTTCTTTTGATTTCATTTCATATTGAGATAGGTGCGAATTTATACCTTTAATTCTTTTATCAAAATATATAGAGCATGTATTCTGTGCTTTTCACTTTCAAAACATTCTCTAATATAGTTTCTATAGATAATAAACTGAGCAAAGTTTAAAATAAGATTGACAAGATTCATTTCTCAGGCTCTCTATTTCATGACCTATTAAAAGAAGTGTTTAGTTCAAAAAGATTTTAAAATCAAACAAAGTATCGATTAATTTGGATACAATCTTCCAAAAAAGCGAAACCTTCTTGCAAGCCAGGAGAAGGTGGTTACTGGAATCTTACACAAATCACATAGATTATTATTTTTAATCTTCTATTTACATAAATTGTCTTTATGGGCAATATTCTATGAATAAAATAAAATTGCTTAATTCTGTTGTCATTTACAAAGTAAAATTTATAATAAAGCACCGTTTTCCAGTAAAACTCATTGGGTAAAACAAAATAAACGTTCCAAAAATAAATGCACGGCAGATCTATTTTTTTTTAACATCAAATTTTGGCTCTCATGACCGCTACATTAATGGAGTCACCTGTTACTATTTCTATTGTACTGGATTCCACTGCATACGGTGGACTATTTACACATTGTAACCTATTACGTAACTTCTGCAACCAAAAATTCGGAAATGCACTTATTAACTTTGCCACTTTGAAGGCGGAAAATTATTCATTTTCTTGAAAATTAATACAAATGGATTCAACTTCTTTCCAGATACCGTTTACTAAGAATTGTTTCACTTTGAGAATATTGTTTCTCATCCAGTTTGGATAATACAATAACTCATTCATATCTTTAATATGGCTATTATACCAAATCATTTCATTTTCAATATATCTGTTACTTTAAACATATCAATATATTTCAATTCAGCCCAAGAACAAAACATGTCAACATAAAAGTTAGGCAACTGTTTTTTTCTACAAATACGATACATATCGCTCTTTTTGCAATTAAAATGCAAACAAAGTGGCAAATCTCCAATTTTCTTGATCCAATATTTAAACAAAATTTTCCAAGCACTTCATCTCTTAAATACTTATGAACCAATGAAAGATGGAATGACCGGCCTTTCGACTCTAAGTCAACCATTCCCAACCCCCCTTCTACTTCAGGATTGTGACAGATGTTTTGTTTAACCTTTTCTTTTTCAGAATTCCATAAAAATGTGTAAGTCAGTTTATTTATACGTTTAATTATTTCAGAAGGGATCGGAACTGCCGTGGCAGTATATGTACCATCTGAGACTAAATGTTTAATCACAACAACTTTTCCGTACAATGTAAGTTTTCTCATTTTCCATAAATCTGTTTATAAACAAAATCAATTTACAATGCAATGAAACAAGTCAATATTCTGTTTATAAACATATATTTCATATAAATCAATTTACAATGCAGTGTATATAGCAAAAACAGAAGGAAAATTATATACAGCAGAAAAACTCTTTTTCTTCTTGAAATAACATCACATAATGCATAAAGTTAATAAAATAGTTTAGCATAAAACATCCGAATATCAGTAATATAAAACCTGATATAGCAATTTTCTGAATAAATTATAACTCATGCTAGGTCAATGAGGTACATGGAATGCCTAAAATAAATGAGGTAATAGTATTTATACATAATTCATATGCAACGTACTGTAAAATTGAACCAAAAACATAAGATTGTGAATAAATCAATTGATGAATAGAAATAAGACTAAATAAAGATGAAAGCATTAAGATTGTTTTTAGTTGTAAATTTGATGACATCATATAGGCCTATCGTTTCACATCCGGAGTTGAGGCCCGGCATCAGTTTAAGTTCAAGTATAAATAACATAAGTAAAAGTATGAGTATAATATGAGTATAAGCATTTAAGTATATGTATGAGTATAATTAGTAGGCCTATGAAAAAGTATAGATGTAAGTATATAAGTCTAGGTTTGAATAAAAGTACAGAATACGGATAAGTATAAACATACATTATGACTTAAGTGTTTGTATAAGTATAAGTAATGAAGGCTATGAACTATAAGCTAAGTACTGTTGTATATTCAAGTATAGGCCTGTTTTTATATTCCTCGAGCTCAGTTCGCCCATGCATGGACCTATTAAGAATTTCACCATTGCAAATCTTCTTGCTGAGTTCCCTCAGATAACATACAATGTACAATTACAGAAGCAGCAGATACGAGGAAAGGGGGGGGGGGGGGTGGGGATTGGCAAAAAAGCCAAAAATGTCCAGAGTTACCACCCTCCTAGTAAATCGTAATATTCTTGCTAGACAAGAAATATATTACTGTCATGAGATTTCACAATCTTTCATGATTATGATATAATTATCTGTTATAACATCTGTTCAATAATAATGGGCTTGTATAATATGTGTGTTGATAATAAAGCAAATTTTGAAAAAGATTTTATTTGTAGCCGCAATTAAGCCTAAGCAATTTGGTGAACATCCGAGAATATTAAGATTTATAAGTGGGTTCAGATTAATATATATTGTATTCGTATAAAATACATGTGAAGGCGAAGGTGTGAAACTCAGAAATTTTTCTTGCTCAGTCGATTCACTTCTCCACATAAAAAAAAAACATCACCAGAGTCTCTTTTTCTCCTACAAAGGATGGCTTGCGTTCAGTAATGTTGTGGAAATCATAATTTTGAAATACGCTGTAATTTGCTCATGAGTTGAAATTTCTAATTGAAATCTGCTTGAGAAGGGTTTGCCTCCGACATTGCCGTTAAACAGCCAAGGAGCAATTTGTGCACCCCTCCCTGCCCTATAGCTCCTCTCTCCCTCCCGCCCTCTATCGCCCCTGCCAAATTTCTAAGCAAGAAAGAAATACGCTAATTATAATTTTTGTTAATCTACGGGGCAAGCGCGTAGCCAGGATTTCATTTTAGGGGGGGCGGTAGTGAGCACGCGAAGCGTGCGAATCACTTAAAGAGCGCGCGAAGCGCGCTCCCTAGGGGGGTGGGTGCAGGGAGGGGGGAGTTTCCCCCCTCCCGCGCGAAGCGCGGAAGCTTTGAAAGAAGACGATTCGTTGTACCTTTCTCGACTCATAATCCTTGTCTGAATTCAGTCCCTCCCCTCTCTCACGCGAAGCTTTGACGTTTCATTAAATTATTAGAGAAAGAATACGATTCGTTGTACCTTTCTCGACTCTTAATCCTTGTCTGAATTCTGTTCCCCCCCCCCTCTCACGCGAAGCTTTGACGTTTCATTACATTATTAGAGAAAGAAGACGATTCGTTGTACCTTTCTCGACTCATAATCCTTGTCTGAATTCAGTCCCTCCCCTCTCTCACGCGAAGCTTTGACGTTTCATTAAATTATTAGAGAAAGAATACGATTCGTTATACCTTTCTCGACTCTTAATCCTTGTCTGAATTCTGTTCCCCCCCCCTCTCACGCGAAGCTTTGACGTTTCATTACATTATTAGAGAAAGAAGACGATTTGTTGTACCTTTTCCGACTCATATTTCTTAATTTGAACTCAGTTTCCCCCTTCCCGCGCGAAGCGCGGAAGCTTTGACGATTCATTGTACCGTTCTCGACTCCTTTTCCCTTTTTCTTCCTACGTCCTCTTTCTTTTTTTTCTTCTCTTTCTCTCTCTTTTTTTTTTTGGCCGGCGTTTTTTTTTTTTTTTTTGGGGGGGGGGCGACCGCCCCCACCGCCCCCCCCCTGGCTACGCGCCTGCTACGGGGGCAAATAGTCATGAACTTTCTGTCAAAATCTTATAAATTCTGAATATTTTATCATCAATGTTTGCTATCGGTCGCAGACGAAGTTCTAACAGCTTTTCCAGCCCGAGTCAATGGTCAAACTGGATTAGAACCTAAGAGATCTAGCGCCACCTAACGTCGAAAAACGCGTGATGCATCTAAGCTTTCGGCAATGGCGGCGTACTGCAGTGATGCTGACTTTTCAAGTTAGATTCCGAATCGCGAATTCAGAGGAGAGGAGAGTTGACAGGGTGTTGAAACATATTCTAATTTTGGCACTCGGATTTCTAACACTGTGAACATTTACCCTGTCCGACATGGTACTTCAGCAGTTAGATCATGAGGTAAGAAAGATTTTGTCGCCAGTTTTGCTGTGTGAGTCTGACTCTGTGTGTGACTGTATTACCATGATTACGTGTGTGACACTTGAGGTCAATCTCAGACTCGGTGACAGTTTTAGTTGTGAATCGTGTTGAGTGTAAACTTGTCTTGCTTGTGACGTTGCTTTGCGTGTGTTGTCACTGTAAATATCCTAGATTAACTTAGCCTGAAGGACTAGTTGATAATATTGGTATCACCTAGTCTTAGG